TCCCGGCCATCATGCTTCGCATTCGATGCTATTATCGCCGATAACGAAGAGTGAGAAGGGCTCTTCGTATAAGTACATGGCCTTACAACCGCAAGGGTGGCGGTCTTAAGGTGAGTCCAATGACCTCGCGTATTCGGTTCCACGGCGCGTCCCAAAATACGCGTCCGAGGGAGTACACGCCATCTTGGGTAGGTCAGATATATGGATCAAATAAGAGGCATGACGACAACTCACGTATATATGGATATCGTTACTTCATGATCATCGAATAAACGGTTTACAGGCCGCACAGCCGACGTGCGCCTATTTCATTAATGCTGCCCCAATGAATGATAGGCAGTTTTGAGACACCCAATGGATAAGGATTACTGCGGGTACAGCCTCAAAATGAATGTCGTGACCCAAAGACGCCTGGCTTGGAAGCTTGGGACACTTGATGGCGGAGGAAGGTACTGACGAGAACCCGAGGTTTGTCGTAACGGTAATAACAATACGCTGGATAAATTGGCGCCAAGGATGCAGTATAAAGTTCATCAGAGATACAGTAATTCGGCATCAGCTGGAAGATTCATATGTCGCTTCAGATCTATAGAGGCCAAGAGTTCCGTTCACACCGCAACCGTGCAAGCCAGTGCAGAAGGATCCAACATAGGAGCGGCTGAGACAAAGGACCAACACGGGTACAATGAATCAAAAATAAGAAACGATAAGACCAGAGAAAGAGCCGATTGTCGAATTTTCAAGTCAAAAAGAGGGGAAAATAGCGAAGAGCAAAGTGGCTGTGACGTCCGGTTCCGGTCAGGTTACCGGTTGCTGCCGGCCCGTTAGTCACTACTTTTTACCTCAACGCGTCCGTGAAAGACGCGGGTACAACGCAGAGTCAAGCAAATGGGCCTCTTTGCGAAGGGAATCTGTGTTACCAAATTCTAGAATACGACGGACGTTTCATCCACTCCTCTACGATGGTGCCAATTACCGTGCAACGCCACCGATTCCGGCTACTTCTCAGTGTTTCTAACCCCGAATGTTCTACTTCATAGATGAACACCATGGACCCATATTCGTACCGACAACCTCCCGAGGGCCCGTCTATCAATATCTCGTCTCTCCTGGTTAGACCCTTCTTGATCTTTCTCCATGGCTCTTCGAGCACTCTGACTGGAAGGATCAAATCGCTTACTCCGAAAAAGAATGGGGGTACCGTTTCATCGTACCGGAAATACTACAATATGGAGGAACATAGAAGTCCGTGGTTCCGGTGTACTACAGTTACATTCTGATGGCAAAGGATATCTTAGAGCTGCCTGGATACCGAGAATATCGATCGCGCTATCGCTATTGCACACGACCGGTAAGTCAAACTTGGATCCCAGCCATGGCTTGGGTTTACCTGAGACTTATTTAGCCGTTGGGGCTCAGCCGTTACAAGCCGAATAGCAAACTGCTAAGCAAAGATGCATCTTTACGTTCGGCTGTTTATCCTCCTCTTGGCCCCAGTACGAGGAGGCCTGCCTGCCAACGCTGTTTACTGTTTCAGATGACTATTCCGACTTTTCGAGCTTGGCCTAGGAAAAATCTGGGTACGGAGCTATTCGGATCCTGGGCTTGCCTATCTGAGAGTGATTCCTTGACAAAACCGGGAACCTCCCCGACTCTGTGTATAGTATCATCGTTTGCGAGGACGCGGTACACTGCAAAGAGCATCTTTGCTCCGCTGGGTGGTTTCAAATCATGGACAGAGAACCATCGAACAACTGCACCAGGTTCCTTCTTGATTGGTGAGGTGCATCGGATATGTATTGCCACAGAGGTGATTGCTCATCGCTGCTGCAGGATCAACCATAGAGTACAGATGGGGCACTACGTAAAGGTGGCCTTTCCTGTTTACAGTTTTTTACTGCAAGGTCATGACCTCGAGCATCAAGGCGGGTGATTCGCAAGGTAACTTCAATATCAAGAGATCAAATGGCTTGTGGCTCATATATCTAAAAGGATCCCTACCAACCCTGTCGAATTGACCATGCCTGTGCCCTTCGGTGGCGCATCGAAGGTCTATATGTGCCTGGAAATAATAATAAAGCGGCTCTGCTGCTGTGCAAGGACCCGACCATTCAATCGACGATGGCGGTTAATGTGTACCTCTTCAATCGAACGATGAGGTCAGTAACGATCTGTTGCGAGGATTCATACTGTCTATTAGGCAAAAAAAACAGGTTCGACCATTCGTTCAAGGTGTCATATTCTGTAAACATGACTAACATTAATTGACTTGGGGTCATCAAATGGCCTGGATCTCTCCAGCCGGTGAGAGACCTTGCGCCCTGGAAGCATGTCGGCCACTTCTTCTATTGACTTTTGTTCGACAATGGTGCTAATGAACCTACTCGGAATATCGGCCCGGAATGCGAAGCGTCTGCCGAGCTGCCCTCCTCTTTCTTCCCCAACGTACCATGCGTACAGTGCTTCCCCAAGCCCGCTGGAAGCTCCCCCAAATTACTCAGTGAGGTTCGAGCGCAAAATTATCACGGTGATCATACCTTGAATTACCAACTTCCCGTATTGGTTTCATGCGACCCTCCATGCTCGACTGTAGCGTATGGATGGCTGCGTTTGAGCGGTCATCCGACTTGCGCATCCAACATCAACGCGTCCTTCAGTCCTCTCTCTTCAGCCTGCATTCCTTTTGGTGTAAACTATACATCGGTAACCGTCTTGATCAATAGATTCCACTGCTAGGAAGGCCGTCTACATGTCCCTACCCTATTAGATCGCCCCCTATCTTTGTACCATCGCCATTATCTTCATACCTGCTCCCTAGTCCCGCCGGGCCAAGGCAGCGCAGCTCGTAAAAATAGCGCCATCGAGGTTGCAGTTCTCACCAGTGCTGCAGGATAAATTAATACCCCTCGGGCCTCGGCTGTCTAGCATTGATTAGCCCTAGGTACGCACCTTGGTATCTCTCTTGTCCGTGTTCCCCCTATACATCGACATCCGCCCCGTCAGTTTAAGAAGAGGAATAACGATCCACCACTAACGTCTCCTCTTCGTCGTAGCGTTATCACCGCGATGGAAGCGAACTCCAGGGCCGCTTCTAGCAGCCTCGAGAAGCCCTCTCTAAGTGGTGGGAAAGTTGAACCATCAAGAAAGCACTGGCATCGCATATGACTCTGGTTCTAGCATTGGATAGATTGCTGATGGACTAACTCGGCTAAATTATTCAGCATGCTAACTTGAATTGTACATTCACTTTGATGGATGGTCAGGAGCATACATTGCATGCATGGACGACGAATCTTCGAAGTAACTACCCTGCACAGTTGTCCTCATGAAATGAAAGCTTTGATGGATCTATTCCGTTTATAAATCAAACCAAGCATGGATAGAATCGTCAGATCTTCCCGAGTTGTCGTGAGTCCATATCTGAAAACTACAATCGTGTATACATGTACCACACAGCCGCATTTCAAGGTTTTGTTCCACGAGTATCAAGTTCTTGTCCCCTTACCCGCAGGGGCACCGTGGACAGAAAGATATCATCCAGACACATCCGCTGATTGCACTGTTAAGAATATCTAACCTCGGTGAATTTATCACGGCCCCTTCGAGGTACGTCGTCAATGTTGGGGATCACAAGAAGTACCGGCTCGCCGATGTGTCCCAGCTTGATGGGGAAGTGGAGAGAGAAGTATCCCTGATAATCGCCGACCACCTCCATATAACTGTAATAATAGATGGTCTATCGTCGATGGTGCTTCGCCAATTGGTTGAGGGCTGAGCGACTGAGATCACGAACGATTTATCATCTATCTGAGCCTTATGATTAGCTGGACATTAACGTACGAAACACTAACAGCTGACCTATAAGTAAATGGATGTCCTACTCCTCCCAAATGTGGCTTCCTCAAGGAATGGACTTAGTCCAGTGAAGAATACCTTGCCTTCTTCTTTCCGCGGCTGCCGGGTTACGAGAGGCATACAGTCTCTCGAGATGCCCAGACAAGGCAGGAAATCCCGTGTAATATCAACTCGATAATAACGGATAGTGACCAAGCCTTACTGCGGTACCACAGCCCGAAGTATTCAATAGCGGGAGAAACGATGCAATCTTAGAGTCTGGAATTATGGTTCCTCGTCGGACTGTTCCAAGTTTACAGCTTCGAATGATCATCTCTTGCCCGCAGAGCCTTGGGGACGACGTGGGAGAGATATGCAGGAGAATCAAGTTGGTAGAATGCAAGGGAAAACTTTGTAGCGCGGCTGTCAGAATAATTTGGCTGTTGGAAAGCAGCAATGAACGCGAAATGAAGGGGCCAGGGACATAGCTAAGGGCAACACTTTATGAAGCACCCCGAGTTGACAAGAATACAAGCGAGGTCTGGTGACCGGTAAATCTATTCAGCCATAGATGCCTGCGGAAGATAGAGAAGCGCTAGAAGCACTGAGTTGATTGGAGATGATACCGGGAATTATACAAGATACTGGAGAAGTTGGTGGAGTTCGTATCAAGGATGAAGTGAAACCCTCGAAGCGAAGCTTGATATTGTCCAAGAGGCAATACAGTCGGTATAACCTAAGGTGCTTGAAGATTGACAGATCAAATGTTTTCAGTAGAGAAACCCTAGCAGACGAATGAGAACGACAAGAATTTGTCTTAGAGAGGATGTGGCATAGAACGGTCAGAGAAGTTATGCTTCGCCTGTCGTCAAATGAAAACCTGAGAGGTAGGTTGCCAGATTGGACTCAGCTCGGATGAATATCAGAGAGTCCAGGCTTCTCAGATATCAGGCCTTCAGGTCTGGGAATGCCACGGAATTCGCATGGCGTTTCTTTACGCTGTCATTGGCCCAGCTGTAGGAGCCAGTCGCAGATGGCAACAGGGTACCGAAAGGAACCAGAAGAAATTGTCAAAATTATCTGACGCGTTCTGGTCACATGAGAGGGAAATCTTATCTCGGAGTCGGAGTCAGAGATTACAAGTGGCGTGGGAACACTGAACATGTCACGGTCTCAGTGTCTGCATTTTGATATTACATTCCAGTGTTGCAAAATAGTTCAAAGCTTGGGACAGTCCATTACTACCACTGGACAGAGACGACACGAATTATTTCCAGATTCTACTTGATTTCTATGCCGTCAAGTTTGAATCCTCCAGGTGTGCTGGGCGCAGAGGTCATCGACTGGCTTGCTTCTAAGCTTTTCCACACGAACTTGGAGGACTCTGGTAGCCCAGATATGCAACTGCAGGAAAAGAACTCAGTCGACGATATCGCTCAAGAACTCCAGAGCCATGCGCTCGACGACGATTTTTCGGACCATCTTATTCCCTCATATGGCGACCTTGATATAACTAATGCGACGACAGCATCGTCTTCTGAAGTCTTTCCTTGTGGCGCAAATGAGAGGACACCTACGCCCATCCGGCATCGCGACGCGTACACAGTTTTGTCATCGTTTCTTGACAATCTTACTTCAGTCCTCAAATCTTCAATTCCATACTATCCAAGAGGCGCATTGGTATGCTTCGATAATAAGCCGCAGCAGCGCCTTCGTGGCGTGAGTCAAAGTTTCCTGCAGTCAAAGCCTACGGTCTCGGATTCAGAAGAGACAGACGCAGTCAAGGCCTGCCGAAGTCTGGCTTGCCTTATACACACACGGACTGGTATCGACCCATCGCGTTCCAAAAAGTTCATCAAGTTACCTGGAAGATTAGGAGTCTACGAGATTGTGGGGAGAATATCTTGCATGTATAAAGTCATAAAAGGTGATACTCCTGCGTTTGCGTGTTTTCTGGTATGCTTATATCTTGGTTCGCAAGTAAAACCGAAAGTCGCACGCAAACTGGAGTCGGAGAACCGCGATTGGTGTACCACCGACCAGGCGGATGTTGACTGGGTATCTCTCACATATCGGGATACCAAAGAACTCAGTACTATGAACTTTTTCCCATCACTGATCATAAAAGACTCGTGGTTGAAAATGGATGAAGCTGCTGAGGTAGGCCAAAGCATGTTTCGGGGCGTTTCGTGTTTCTTCGGTGTACCGGAAATGCTCGCAGCATATGAGGTTAAAGATTGTCGTGGTGCTCCAGTTACCACGCGGCGTTTGCTCTCTAACCATGTCACATCGTCGGCTGTTTTTGGGAGAAGTTTCAAAGAGAGGGTTTTTCACAGGGAAATCATCAAGACCGAGGGAAAGGATCTGCGCGAAGCGGGTACTGTCCAGATCTTACTGAAAGCTATATTACACGCAATGTTAGGTGAGCGCACTTCTTTTGTGCCTCGTGCTTTTTTGAGTCAGTTTTGACAGGACTCTACAACGTCTACCTAAACGGATGGATCCACCAAGACGTAAATATCAACAGTGTCCTGCTGATGGTGAACCCAGAAGTGCGGCGTAATGATAAGTATGCTAAACTCTTGTTTGATCATCACGTTCAAACCCCGTAATGTTAGTTTGCTGTGTCTGACCCCTGAACGGAGGCAGATGCTAGGAAATTGTATTGGAATGCTCGTCGGTGATAACCAAGGCATCAAAGAGGAGACCTTCTTCGATACTACGAGGGAAGTCTCGGACTCTGGAACAGTGCGTCCTGTGAACACAGGAAGCGTATCGTCTGATGACATGTTTCAGCCTGGGACTTTACCCTTCATGTCGATTCGCCTTCTACAAGCCTTGGCACTTTCGACTCAAACGATCACCACTGCTATCGATGACCTCGAGTCGTTCATTTGGGTCCTTTGCTGGGCCGTCGTCGATGTTTGCCTCGGACATCGGAAGTTAAACATTTCTGAGGAACTCCTCGGTTTGTATTTGCATGGGAGGGACAACTTCGCCATGATGGCCGAAGACAAGAGAACATATACTAGCCACCTGTATGGGACCATGCTACCTCTCGGGCCATCATTTTCTTCCATAACGCCACTAGTCGAAAAATGGTGTGCCATAGCTACGAAATATCGCAGGAAGGTTACATTCCTGTTAACTGGAAGCGACTTCTCTTCAGACATTCAGCGATCCTTGAATGTGCTCAGCAAAGAGGCATTTGGGGAGTACTTGGATGAAGGTTTCAGAGCATTGGACGAATTAGAATGCACAGTGATCGATTGGTGAACTCCTGCTATTCGTTTGTAGCATCACGATCCAATTGCTGATTACAGAATGTTGTCGTCATAACGCAGCTACCGTCTGCAATGTAAAGAAATCGAGGAGTATTTTAGCCCAATAGGGCGCTAACTGCCTGCCGCTTGTTCCAAGTAGCAACGAAGTTGTACTGTCTAACATTGTTTTCTCTCTGCGGTACAAGCAGCACCCAGGAGACGTTTGTAAGTGATCGTTCCATGGTTTGGAAACACACTGACACATGGCGATAGTACAAGGTCGGGCAACCACACTTGCCCGAGAAGCGAACCATTGCTGCACCTACTTCACTTCAGTCAATCTTACCCTATCATGAAACATACACCCGATTATGATTATACAAATTCGTCGATTCGAACTAGCTCACCATCGTCTTGGCTTCCACATCCTGGATCCACGTCAACATATCCTGGTTTACTTCATCTTTGGCTTGCATTTGTACCCAATGACCCGTGTCATATACGTGAATGGTCACGTCCTCGCAGTTTTCTTTAGTGACTGCCTCGCTCACGTTGTACAAGGCGACGAAATCTCTCAAAGCACCACCAAAGAATACAGGCTTTGTCACCTTCAGAGCCGTAGGGGGGTTCGCTGCAAAACCAATAAGCAGTGACGAGGTAGAATGGCACAACGTGCATTACCTTGATAGTCGTCTGCTTCGATGGTGCTATATACAGCTTTGTAGTAACAAACGGGGGCTGCAAGTCCACCCTTGCGTAGCTCCTCTCTCTGAACTCGTCGGTCCTAGAGCAAGTTGTAAGTGCATTCCAGTTTCAGTGCAGTCATTAGCTCACCTCTTCGGTTAGGAACGAACCAACCGCAGTCGTCTTCTTATTCTCCACCCATGCTTTCATCGCTCCAGGGGGACCCATATAATGTTTCCAAAGCTCAGGATCATCGCCAGTACAAAAGGCTATACACTGATTCAATGCTACCGTCCAGTTTATCACGGGGACCCTCTTCAGAAAAGAAATCCCAGTAACCAAATAAGTCAATACCAAGGGTCGACTTGACCTAGATGTCCGCGTCAGTAGCCAAGACATGCCGGGATGCGGATCCTCCGTCACGGTGGCGTACCTGCTGCATCATGACTTCGTACGAAAGCGAAAAGGCTAGATAGTATCCAACAGCAAGAAATCCGAATGCGAGAAATCGATCGGGATAGTAGTTGGCCATGCGGCTGGTAACAACCGAGCCCTTACAATGCTTCGTTGCGAATCGATCAATGTGTGGAATGATTGATAGGCATACCAGTTATGTCCAATAACAATTGTACGGTGGACCTTCTCGGCATCCAAAATTTCTATCATGTCTTTCGCCAGTAAACGGTGCTTGTAATGGATCGGATCGATGGGTTTGGATGTTCCTCCATACCCGAGCATGTCGGGAACGATAAGAGGATAGCCTTTTTCTTCGAAGAAGGTGACCTGGTGCTTCCAGTCATACGAGGTACTCGGAAAGCCGTGGATAAAGAGCAAGACGGACTTAGAGGCATCTCCGGTGGAAAAGAGATAATGGTACACGAAACCACGAGAGGTGGTGAAATCTTTGTAGAGGGATTGATCCATTCTGATGTTGAGGGCCGATGCCATTCGAAATTCCAAGAGAAGTATAAATATGACCGCCTTACGCAGGCCTGGTTAGGTCATTGCCAGGCCCGAAGCAGACGATGGAACTCACCTCCGTTCACGTCAAAGCAACCCTCTCGGCGAAACTTCCAATCGTCAATTCCAATTTAATGATACTTCTTGAGGGTCTCGTTTACTACTTCGGTCGAGGGTAGGATTTCTAGCACAGACCCCCAATAACTTGAAACAGACTTGGGCGCTGACATAGCACAAGAAGCATCAGTTATGGTCTGTGTCTCCAAAGGACCAGTACGTCTTATGCAGTGACAGTCTTCGTGTTTGTTATCGGACCCCCCTCCGGGCCGCAGTGCTCTACTACTGATTCCTCAAGTGTTAACGGCCCAATAGAGTGCACTTCGAATGCCCGCTGGGCCGGAATGCTCTTATTATTGGTCAGCCCCTCAAAAACCATGAACCTCGTTAACGGAGCACTTCATTCGTCTCCTTCACTTATTATCTCTCAATTTCTTCGTCACTGTTGCTGATGTACAAGCACCTCCACCTTCCAAATTCATCATACAAGTAAATAATTAGGTATCATCATCATGTGTCCCTTCGTCGGTAGGTTATTTTCCGTGATCTTACGGATTGGCGCATCTATGCAAGAAATCAACTAAGCTGGCCAAAATGAGTCTCGTCCAAATCTGGTGTGGTTGGTATAGAATATTGGTCTGGGACCCGGAGCATAAACCGTGCCAATCTTAACCGTCTTCTCCACGAGGAAAGAAGCTCGTTCTGCAAGCACAAAGGTAGCAGCACTGAATGGCAAGACAACAACACTACACTGATCACCGCGATGTCAGCATCTACATGCTAGAATTATTGGGACTGACCTAAATTTTGAAGTTCCCAAACTTCAAGCCTTCCCAGAGCTTGATCTCGCCTTCCAGCCGTCGACACGCCCATTGATGACCAGAGGTCCACCATACGCAAGAGCCGAGTCTTGCACAACGTCTCTCCACCGGTGGTTATTTTTTGATCACGAAGCTCAATCGACGGATACGAAGGCAAGTCAAGCTTCCACCCTGTGACGAACCGATGAAGTCGCATACTACATAGGAACGCTAGACGGTGTCGCGAGCAAATCAAGGACTTCCTGATCAGAGTGCTTGATGATTGCGATACAGGGAATGGACCTCCCTCTAGTGTAGCATAGCTAGATTTGTCGTGAGATAGATATAAAGTCAGACTTTTGCACGTACGCGTTTAGCAAGATAGGACTGGAGGCTGGGTGCTCAATTGAATCTAATTGGCAAACAAAAAATTACGCACGAAACATTGAAGCTCGGCCTGTCTATCTTTGAATATATCGTCCCTTTCAGGAGGGCAGGCGGGAGTGGCTGCCAGCCATCCGGATCCACCTCGGGACCTGGAAGTGGACTATTTTCTTGATACGCAAGCTGACGAAAGATTGACGGAGGGTCCGGACGTATCACCAGCATATAGCCAAAGGTTGTCTGTAGAGGAATAGAATATAACAGTAACACGCGTCCCGGGCTTGATCGATACAAGCAAAGTATACTGAATACTTGCCGGTATGTTCATTTCACGGAAAGGTTGAGGAAGACGGGAGGGACCGAGATTTCCGGCGGTGGGGTATGGTGAAATCTTGAGCATAATGATGACTTCTTTAGAAATAGGGATAGAAAAATGCCATTGGTGTGTTCCAACGACTGACTTTCCTGCTTAACAAAGGGGATGCTTGGTGGATATCAGGATTTCCCGTGTCCTTAGACCATAAAACCTTAACGATGTCCAAGAAATTCCAAGAAGTAGACAGAGGAACGGTCGATATCTCCCCTTGCACCTTGTATGAGTCCTCAGGCAGGTTTCAAAGGATCAAAACGACGAAGCTGACCTTTATTCTAACCAAGTCGATGGCCTCTTCCTCTAGCAGAGAGTGAATGATCCCGAAATCTCATTACCCTCCAAGAACGTTGGAATCTGTTCCGAACTTCGCGCACGACTGTTAGTCAACGCGAGGGTCGCCCAAGGCTTCCCCTTGTTCGTGGATAACTCATACTTGTGTCTGGTAACCGGTCTTTGTCCTTGATTGGTTCTATTTCTCCAACTGGGCGACCAAGCAACCGCAGTGCTGTAAGTGAGAAGGTCTGGATATGTCGGAGGATTATCGAGGGCTCCGCCCATCTTGGACTGGAATAAAGACATGCCAGAATTAGTACCATTGCCAAACCGTATGAGAAAGCATACATAGTCGTCTTGTGATCAAGGTGGTTGAAGGAACAGGCACCAGAGTCAACAGGGACAGACATCCATACTTGCACGTCACCTTTCACCAAAAACGAATCGGTAAGGATATGTGAAACGAGAATGGAGCTCACCCTATAATGTCGTTGAGAGGCACATCGAGAGGATCATCAGGTATAACGCCAGGAGGTACAGACATATCTCCAGTACTACGCCAGAGTGCCCGCTCCAGTTCCAACCCCTTATCATAGAGGCCTTTTCCAAGAACACCAATGGCATTCCAAAATGTTTGCATCACGTCTGATCCCATACTCTGTCTTTCCGTCATCATAAACTCCCAGTACTCGGGAAACCACCCTGCGGCTTCCCAGTCGATGATGGCTGCCAACCGATTATCCTCACTGACGATAATATTCGTTTTATTAAGATCACAGTGGGAGAAACAAAGCCTGTGCGGCTTATCGTATACAGGAGCGGAGAGCTGGAGCAATCGAGGCATGCGGCTTTCCCATGACACGTCCGCGAGTAGCATGTCATGGAAAGCACGGATGTTTTTGAAAGGCTGCAGCACGCAACGATCTGTACAGCGCATGTAGATGAATGGTGAACCATGAGGTCCAGACACTTGACCCGAAGGAGGGGGAGGAATGGAACGAAATTCTGTGAGAGCCTGTTTCAGGTCGTCGATAAGTTGAGCACCGCCTGAAATATCGAGGGCCGGATTAAAAGTGCGAAGAATTTCCGATATTTCCTTGACGGTCTGGGTGCCTCGCATGTGGGGAGGGCCTTCTAGAAGCGTGAGATAATAGTGGAACTCGGGTGAGTATTTGGTCCTAGTCCACAACCAATCTTGAAGGGTGACTCCTTTGATTTTTTTCATAAGGATCAGCCCATCTGGGAATTGGTCCATGGAGATGTCGGGAAGGACGTCAAGAATAAGGGGAACGGGAATGGATGTGTTTTTGCGGATAAAGTTTATGTTGTTGGCTTCAATTTCTGGGGGCCTATTGTGGGTATATTTGAGGATCAGTCCAAAAGGAAGGTGTTGTATGTTCCATTGTCCAATGCCGTACCACCTTGGGAGACGGAGGTACACTGAAGATCAAATGGATTTAGGGAAACACAGCCATATCCGCCAAGAAAGTGAGGTGAGCACGGATAAGACTGAGGGACACGGATTCATCGAAAAATAAATGGAGATTTGATGTTCAAGTATTGAAGAAACTGAGATTAACTCTCATGGTGGTTCATCAGAAAGAAAATCCGGTATTCGGAACGATCATGTGACCTTCCGAGTTCATGTGTATTCTATTTATTCAATATTAAATTATTATTTCTTGAGGTTCTACAGTCACGACGACTTGCAGGCAAGTACTCTTTCTTCTGTTCTAATGCACACTGATTTGTATATCTAACTGTCTATAAGGTATAAGGTGATCTATGCTTCAGCGAACGGATAGTCTATATATCCCTCTGGGTGGTAGTCTGCGAGGTAGAACAACTCTCTCTTGTACGGGTTGAGAGGTATGTCTTTTTGCAGTCTGAGTACGAGGTCGGGCTGAAGAAAATTATTTAGGAATTTCAAGGAAGATAAAGGTCGCCGACACTCACGTTCGAAACAAAGTGTCTTCCAAATGCAATCAACTCGTTGGTCTTGTCGGCAGCTTCCATGGCAGTCTGTCTGTTGTACCCGCCTGCAGCGATGAGCGTCTTGGGAGCCCATATCTCCCGAATAAAGTCGTTCTCTTCGTCGGGTCCGACCGTCTCACGGTCGAAATTGCCAAACAAGCGAGGCTCGACGATGTGGAGGTAGGAAAGGTCAGGATGCTGAGACTTTATCTGCGGTACAAGGTGCGCGAACGTTGGCTTTGGCTCCTTCATGTTCATATCTGACTCTTATTCAGTTTTTCGCCTTCTTGAGTGAAGTCAAGGCCGTACCTTGGTAACCGTTCCATGGACTAATCCTATATGCCGTCCGCTCCGCACCCACAACCTTCACGACAGCGTCGATGACCTCTAGTGGGAACCTTATCCTGTTCTCGATGCTCCCTCCGTACTCGTCTGTTCGAGTATTCGCCCCGTCACGAGTAAATTGATCCAAGAGGTGTCCGTGCGCTCCGTTAATCTCAACACCGTCAAATCCTGCTTTCACAGCGTTCAACGCCGCCTGCGCATATAGCCCAGAGTATTCCTTGATCTCATCCACTGTGAGAGGCCGTGGTGCGCGAGAACGTCCGGTCAACGGAACGTCTGAAGCAGAAACATACGGGAACCCTTCCCTGTCGAGGATTTCAGGTATTCCTGCCCGTCCTAGGGCCCATAGTTGGCAATATATGAAACATCCTTTTTCGTGGACAGCATCCGTGATCTAGTGAAATGTAAGTGATGGAAATAAAGGAGACAAAGCATTGATACGCGCCTGTTTCCACACTTCTATCTGTTCGTCACTCCATATGCCCGGAGCGTGGTCCATTCCCCCGGCCTTAGCTGCGATGAACGTCGCTTCGGTGACCAGGAGGGTTCCTGGCGCGTGCGCTCGTTGGACGTAATAGTCCTTCACTATTGGGAGGTGCGGTACATGCTCCTTCGATGCTCTCATGCGCGACATAGGCGCGAGGACGACGCGGTTCTGAAGGGCCATTTTTCCGACCTTGGTCGGCTGGAATAGTTTAGAGGACATGGTGAGGTTGATAGTGATTGAACGCATTGGAGGGCAGTCCTTTATATGATGGTCAGTTATCTGCATATTTAAAAACTATAATACCTGATTGTTTGTTTCAGTGCATGATTGCTGGCTACAATCTACCCCAATATCCGTCGTCTATAAATAAAAGGCCTACTTACAGACCAAGTTGCGACGCGTCAGAACAGCAGTCGTTCCTGCGCTGACAGAAATACTCCAAAAATATCAAACATCACACCTGTGCGATCTAATTTAAGAACTGTAGGTGATCTTTATCAGTCGCTGCACAAGTGTGCTGATGATCCCACTCATGTTCTAGGATGTATCTCTTCATACCCTACCATCGACTCCGGCAGAGGTGACGAATCACGTTTCAATGTGTTGCAATGAAGGAACACTCTAGGTGAATGCACACCATTAACACGGAACTCGCCAGGAAGACGAGGATCAACGAACCCGGGACGAAGAGATGACCGGTAACTGAAAAGGGGCAAAGGTTAATAAATTTGCGGGAGTTTAGGGGGGGAAAGGGTTACTATCTGTTACTATGCCCATGGGTACTATGTAAAAATGAAATGCCGTACCGAGCTTAGTTGGAACCCAGTCAGCTCGGCGCGGGAGCAAGGCAGCACACATTTGCGATGACACGCATGTCCGCAATCAGCAAGTATTGGCCTTGCAATTGATCTATGAACAATTTGTGGTACTATTACTACAACATATAGCTAATAAAAGCCATATTCAAATCAACATCATTTCACTGCCCAATCTCAATTATTGATGGCTAAACTCCGATGTGAATATACGCAATCCACTTGCGAATGTCCAATTCCTTCCTCTCTGCCCACATCCTCCTTCTCAGCTCCAAGATGCTATCTTTTAGACTGTACGCAACATCTATCCAGCCTCTAGACCTGGCACTCCTGTAGAATTCCCGACAAACGTCGACGGCGAAATCGTCGTAAATGGGATACAAAGTCCCAATCACACTTCTGAAGCCACAAATTTCCATAGCCGAAGCAAGATTGACGACTTCACCAGACGTCTGATCTGGGGAACTTGCAGTATCGCAAGCAGAATAAAATGCAAACTCTCCTTTGAGCGAACGAGAACGCATGATTGTTGGTAGAGTGAGGCTCTGCCCATTGAGGGTGAAACACGATTGAAATGGTCTTTCGGGATCAAAAGAACCATGGCAACCAAAGTGGACCCACGGATGGGAAGGGAGGTTAACCAACACAGCGTCGACTGTCGCTTGCTCCCCGAAAAGGCAGGTACCTCGGTCCCCGAACTCTTTCGCGATTATGTCTCTTTCGATTTTCACATGAGGCAATGCTTCGACTGCTGGATTGCCTTCCCCGTCGTCCCCTATGAATAAAACTAGAGGAGGCTCATCACGCCGTACTAAAGTGCTCGACATTTTTGCCGATAACAGCATGCCAAGGGTCGAGATGTAGGAGATTGCGTATAAAGACGAAAGATCTGAAGGCTCGAATCCTTTGCTTTTATAAGGGCCAGCGGCATGTAGAGGGAAACGGCGCGCTAGACCAGTCGGTAACAACCAAAGTCGCGACCCAACTTCAACGCTCAACACCTTCAGTTCCTTAGTGACAGGTTCGACGGCTTTCCTCCACAGCGCCTTCAAAACTTTCTGAAGCTTCCCGTCCGATTCGACAGTATCATCAAGTTTCAGAGAGCTGTCAAGTGCACTGGCGAGCGATGCGAAATACTGATACTCCCTCTCTCCTCCCAGCGGGACTCGGACCGGCGACTCATTCCCCTCGACAATGATGAGAGCATCACATCCGTATTTGCTGAAATTGAATAAGACGATCGTTCCGCCATTTGCGGCCTTTTTGAGTTCGGCATAAGAGGGGGAAGGATTGATGCGTGTTTCAGGGAATTCTTTGCTCAGAAGCTCCACGGATATTTTATCCCTCTCCTGCAGCACATTACCGTGATTCTGAAGGAAATCCTCCCATGTCAACGGGGTCTTCACGTCCACGGCCTCGCCCGGAACGGACACTGATGACCATTTCCAACTGCTAGAGAGGAACAGTCCGTGAACGTTACGGTCTAGCTGTTTACAGACAGACTCAAAACGAGCTACAGCATCCGAATCCATACTTCCTAGGTTGCGAACGTGCTCGTCGTCCTGTCTCATGGCACGAATGTGGGAAAGGACAATGTCCCTTCCGTACTCGAGAAGCTCGACGGCCTGCGCGAGGTTCGGATCGCTGGATCCCATAATGGCAGCAGCGACGTCAGCAGGGGATATAGGTCTGAGGATCCCTGCTATGGCATATCTAATCTCGATTGCTGGGTTGAGGTTCATGCAATCACGAAGAATGCGCAATAGTATAGGATAGGCCACGACTACGAAATGGTGTTTCATCTCCAGAGCCTGCGAAACCCATATGGACGCAATCGACAGCTGGTCCATGATATCGCAGGTGGATGCAGACATGCTGGACGCCTGCTCGAGCGAACCAAAAGCTTGGTTAATCTGCTCCTTGACTGCCGCATCTTCATGATCATTATCATTCAGTTTCAAGACTTCCAAGCGCATCCTGGTCACTTCACAGATATCAAGAGGCGAAAATGAATATTGTCCATTGTGCAAATCCTGCAGGGTCTTCATGGCAGATTCACTGTATTGGAGGGCATCGACGAGGCGCTCGGGATCCTGTGTCTCGTTGTACCGCCATGTCGCAAGATACGCTCTGTGCTTCAGCGCGATCGCCACTGCTGCAGCGTCCCCTTTCTCAAGCTCCTGCAAACTTGATTCCAGTTTCTGCAGGTATGACTCCTGAAACATTGAAGGAGTCTGCAGAACCTCAAGCAGGCACCAGCTGTAAATAAGTAGAGACGATGGCCGGTGGGCGTGTGGGGATGGACGGTACTTTAAAGCCCTCTCTATCCACATGATGGCTTTGACAAGGTCAGCGCTACCTTGGTTGGAGTCCGGCTTTTGCGAGAAGAAATGGGAAATGGCGTGTCCAAGCGCAAGATTGTGGGCGATCAAGGGAAACGAAACGTGACCTTCGCCGACAAAGGTCGCTTTTTCAAAGCAATCAACTGCCCCTGCAAGACTCGGCGGACTCAGAGTTCTGAAGAAGTATCTGAGTTTGGCGTGCCCGAGAGCCTGCAGAGGACGTGATGTATCAGGATCTTCCTCACGTTCGCGCAATTGAAGGGCAGTCTGGAGATATGAAATCGCTTTTTCCAAGCATGCAATGTTACGCTCCAGGGATCTGTCGTATTGATGAATGAGTAGATTCCCTCCATTGATGAGGCAGATGGCACGCGTGTGATCGAGGGCAGGCTCATCCGAAGACACAAGGGCAAGGGCTCTTTTCGTTCTTGGCAATGGTAGATTGCAGGTCCTCAAAATCATGGGATGTTTCATATCGGCTTGCGAGAGCACGAGCAGAGCACGTTAGAAACATCGCCATGCTGCCTGGAGCTGTACTCCCTATAGCAATCGCAAGATCGAAATGTTTAATGGCGCGTTCGATATCGTCACCACCAGTGGTATGACTCCGTCGATAATATCCGTTTCCTACATTGTGATGGATGGCGGCTATATCCGGAGCTTCTGGAGAACACTGCTCTACAGCAGTAAATTGCAGACTCGCCGAAGTCAACGAGACGATCCAGATCAGTAGTGCGGTGCGAGTCGGAAGCCTTCTGAATGCCTGTACAATGCCATCGTGTATAGAGAGGCAAAGGACAAGTACAACGGCACCAGATCTTTTGTCAAACACGCAATGACCTGGTTGTTAACAGCATCGCAGTCTTCCATAAAGCTGGACCATCGGGCTTCGTCTAACGTGGCTTGTTTCATGCCTCTAAGCACTCCCCGAGTTACAGCAATGCCATTAATGAGAGTGTCGACATGAGCGTCGCCCTCGAGTTCTTGCGAAGCACTAGATGGGCCTGAGATATCAATTGAAGAGCTCCTCGATATTGACGAGTTTTCACTACTTTGTGATCTCTAAAGGGTCGTGAAATTCAGGTCGTGGAAGCGGAGGTGGAGACTGACCGTAAAGGCCTCCTCTTGGAGAGTATCGGTAGCATCAGTGCAAGGAGAGAGTGAAAAAAATTCGTCCTCGTCTTCCTCGCTTTCTTCTTCATCCTCCTCCTCCTCGTCTTCCATCAAGGCGAACTGCAAATATGATAAGCTGCGGGACTCGCCGGTTAAGGTCAGTCACTCACCTGAGTAGGTATCATTTGCTCGTCTGATGTCGACATTAAACCGCCAAAGAGACCGACCGCTCTCGGTGCATTCAAAATCCTATTAGCCTGGATATGGAAATGTGAGATAATGGAAGGCTGGGCGCGTATCGATAAACCCACATTTTGTTGCATTTCGTCCCACTCAGCTTCTGTCTATAATCAGGACAATCGTGTTGAAAGGTTGAGGTTTGATACATAAAAGCCAACCTACCATCCCTTGCGCGAGTAATTCTTGGTGAAGGCTCTCAGGGTATTGTATATTCCACTGGTGAAACCATCCCGATGATTAGGTGTGTATGAGCGCTCTCGAACGATTTACCTGGAACGTTGGCTTTTCATTTGTCAACATCAGCGGCCTTTACAGCGGGAAGAACCCTGCTCACTATGCCATCCTCACGAATAGTCAATACTTCGTTAACGAAGGCAGTATCCTCCGGGTCCTAAAGGTTACAGCTTCCGATTAGCAAGAGTTTGCCGTCAACAGTACGAGTCGCACCATGGTCGTAGCAAAAGAAACAGTTACAATTGCAGCAAGTTCCTGCGTGTAAAACACGCTCCTTGACAGTGATAACCACTGGGATAGAACAAGCGCCCATCACCTAAAGAATTCTCTTCGTGCTGTGTATGCTGTGGTGGTAGCCGCATAAAAGCAATACTACGGTTCACCGGTCCGATCGGCGATTTCGAAGTCAACCTTCAACAGCACTCCTCCGAGGGTGAAAATCAATGTCACGGCCTTTCATGTAGCACCGGGATCTACCGTACCATCTTTCACCTATTCCAACTGCCATCGATGAAGTGGATTCCTGGTAACTCTCGCACTGAACAAAGAAAGTGCATCGATCTCTTTTGGAAGATCAACCATGAATATCTGAATCCCAATGGTCTGCCTATCACGGTAAGCGATCTCATTGAATACTAAAACAAGCGCCTACTCTGATGCTGTGGTTAGATAGGTGACTTTGGAACTCTCGACAAGAAAACGGGAGGGTTTCAACGCGAAGGGAACATATTCGAGCACCTCGAATCTAGGGACATCATGGCCAAGCACGACTGGAAGGATCCTCGAAATACTACCTCCATGGAATGCATTTTCAGGTGCACGAGCAATGTCCGGCGATTTGACCTCCCCTTCGGTGTCGGAGGGTAGGTTCTTATCAGTTTCCTCCATCGTATCCAGACTAAGAGCACGCGACAGAGGATTAACTGGAGTAGTAGACGGCAATGTATCCGCCCAATTTCAATTTGACACTGAGCGCGGTGTTCTGCTGTGCATGCGCAGCGTCAAATATTCGATGCTTCCCATTGTCGAGACTTGGGTGCGGAAGCTCGAGAAAATACCCGTCTTCAAGGCTAAGGGTATCGTTACGGAAACGTATACTTGTAGTCAATATGACCTTTGCATGAACCACAAAGGTGAGCTGTGTGTACTGCATGATTTCCACGTTTCTCATAGTCCTCCTATAGGGAAGCGTGGTGTGGGTGTGACTACCAGCGCGAGCATTCCGATTCCAGTAGCACCAGCTATTAGTGCATCAGCCAATACTGGATTTAACATCTCAGGTAGCACGGCATCAGGCTCGGTGTGGCAAGGAACAAAGAATGCAGAGTCTGATAGCTTCGTCCCTATGTACCGTTTGAAAGCTTTACGAGGTGGTTCGGTCTCACGGGGAACACCATTGGAAGAAATTTTGGTTCAAGAGTACGCGCTTCTAATCTCAAAGCTTTCATTTAATCAATACTTATCTTCGCAGCTTTCCTCGACCATGGAACGAGCTCGATGACGATGGGAAAGACATTGTACGTTTCTTCATAAATTATGTTAACGTTCGTAAGGTTTTGAGCCTTCCTGGTAGTTTGACTCTGACTCTGACAACTCTGACGCCGACTCGGATGCATGAAGCAAATTATAAAAGTTATGTGTGTAATCATCTCTCCTCCCCGCGTCGCTCTGCGTAACAAATAAACCGTATTATCCATGGCTGCTCCTGGACGTGTGGCGAATGAAAATCTAAGCGGTAGATCTTCGAACAGAATAGTCCGAAACGCGTTTCTATAAATGAGGACAAGCAGTAAACGTCGTCGAAGAGCAACAAAGTCTTCCTCCAGCAAGTCCTGGGTCTAACCTTCCGTCCCACACCCCGACAAAGCCTTCTCGATGGGAAGCAGGCCATGAATCAGAGTAATACGCTGCTTCACGATGGCATGGTCTTCACTCCACTCCATCGTAAATGCCTCGTCAGACGCCCAGTGATCCATATTAATAATGTAACTCTCCCACATGGGTCCCGAAATGTCCTCCCGAGTTGAGAGCTTCTCAAGAAGATTGGCAATACACTCCCAGTCTATTTTGTAGAGAAGCAAACGGGTGAGGAATGATAGGGTTTCCGCAAATGAAGATGTTGAAGATGCTGAACCCGAAATGTGTAGGGGGTCGAAGATATCAGTGGTGATCATCCTATTTGTGATATGACCGGCAAGGTAAGTAGGGAGCTCCTTCTGCTTGCCAGGAAGAGTAGGCGCATCTCTGAATCTGGTATACAGAGAGAGTATCCCCCCTGCTTCTTCGGAAACCCTGATTAATACTCCATCGTCGTTTAGGGGATCGAGGCTGGTATGTATGCAGGTGTCATCACACTGTGCGGCCTCAGGGCGTAAGGTTGGGCACTGAGCAAGGAGAGGAGCAACCACATCCTCCAGCAGATCCCATTCTAATTCCCAGTATTGACGATGAAGCTTAGGGTGGTCGTCCGGCGGACGAGGCGACATTAAACACCGTATCGCATTGGTGTAGAAAGTCCTTGTGGGTGACGAAGCTGTTTCGATCAGCGAAGGTATGCCGTCATGGAGAATCTTTAATAGCGCCATTTGACCGACTGCCGTCAATGGGATGGGATAAGTACGAGAGGAAGACAAGGTGAAAGCCTCCTTCCGAGCTTCCGTCATGCAATTTGGTTCTCTCTTTTCCTGCGCTAGTAACTGGATGGCGGTAGCAATTCCATCTAGCAAGATATCGATATCCAGATCATCATCATGGAATCTACTGCGTAACAGCCGGATCATCTCTAAAAATACTTGACCCAGGCTCAAAAAGTTTGGGTGGAATAGTAGAGTTGGATTGTGCAGTTTTAGGAACGAACGAATCCAGCGGATGACTGACTGAGAGAGTTTACTTGTGAGTGATGACAAGAGATAGCTGATAGCACCACTTTCGGATGGCTGATATTCTATGCTAACAACCTTCTGGAGCGGAGGTTGATTGCGATGCTGTGGCTCCCGGAAATACAACGAAGGACGTTTCGATTTGTCCTTCCAAACTCTGATCAGCTCTACTGCTAATCGCAGCGCTGATGGAGACTTGAAGTCAGCGCAATCCACAATGGAGATCCAAACGTCCTCTGGTAGGTGAACACTATCCCGTAGTGGTGATTGGAGTATCGTAAGCAAGTTGGAGGTAGTATCCGTGAACGGCATAGCCAAAGGATTTGGAATCAAATGACGGGAATGCAGCTCCAACCTCGTGATGGAGTGCTGTATTCTAGGCTCTAGACGACCAATTTGATCGAATATCTCTCCCACGGCACTGTCAATGTTCGTATCAATTACCTTTCCATTGTGGATTCCGAGAATGGCCTGAAGTACGACTTGTTTAACGGATGCATTCAGCGACATTGAACTCAACCATAAAATGGCTTTGCTGTCAATGTCCTTCGCGGCATTTCGGGTGCCTTCTTGCTCTGCCTCTTTCATTGAGCGTGGACCGGAGAAGTGATCAGGCTCATGGCGTGAGTAGTGAAGATTAAGAAATGGAAGCCTATCGCGTGCAGAGAGATAGATTTTGAATAGATAGAATGTGAGCGGAGTTTTGTATGGACAGTTGTAGTAGAACAGAGGAAGGACGAGGCAGACGCCATAGGCGATATACACGCAACCCGAGACGAGAGCGACACCGTATGCGATACCCATATTGAGTGTGAATAGATAGACAGAATGACCGGCGAAAAATAGACCCAAGGAGACATGGAGAAGAACTGGAAGAAGTCCAATAACCATCGGAACCCGCCACTTCTCGAGGCCCATATACCGAGCATGTCGGATTCGACCACGGTCGCGAGACGAGCTTTCGGAGATGACGGACATGTACTGATGAATCCATTGCTTGACTAAAACAGCCACAAATGCAGTAATCAGACTGAGTCAGACTGATGAACCACAAGCTGTTCACCCAGATGTCCGCTAGAGATGGAGAGAAGACAACAGCAGGGTAGGAGGGGGAGGATGGGATTGACGAGGAGGAAGATGCATTTGATGCTGCTCTTTGGAACCCGACAAGCTCTATAAGTAAAGAGGCAGATACCTCTCCATAATCAGGCTGCAGATTTTGTGATGTTTGAACCACAAAGGTTGTGATGATGGCAGAAAAAAGACCAGTCTAGCTAATGTATTAATACAAGTAAGGTTAGGCAGAGAGACTACTCACAAAAATCAAAAGGCCGTCGATTGTGTCTTTATACACGCTTAACATCTCTTCATCAAATATAACAGCCTCATCCCCATATGTTCGCCAGAATCTTCCATTGAGCGACATTTCTTCACCGATAGCATCCCGGGGGTATCGCTTTGTATAGTCGTTTGGATTGTCACCTGCGCCTGTTTAGCCGCTAGCCATGGAGGTAGAGGTTATAGTTAGAAGTACCTGCCGCTGCCGTCGGCCGTTTTCGATACTGCCTATTTTGTAACCCAGAATGCATGCCAAGAGATGGAGCTCCTCTACCCCCACCTCTTGGAGAACTAGATTCTGTCGTATCATCCAAGAGATCAGCACTATCAAGTGCATTCTCCAGCACTTTGGACGCGGCGGGTGAATGTTTGTCGCCATGGCCGTTCGTCATCTCCTGTAATTTGGTCATTTCAGATCTGTGGGTGAATTGAGAAATGGAGGAAAACACCTACCAAGCAGTTACAGTATACGCAGACGTGTCCTGTCAGTCAGACTCCCAGGATCACGACTCTAGAACTTTGCTTAGCGCCCGGGAGGCAAAAATTTTCACAAACAGGATATTGGGCACCACGCTAAAGTGGAAGGACATCCCTCGGGTTGACACGTTTATGGCCCTCATTGATCTGGTCAAAAACAAGGGCGAAACGAGGAAAACGTATGTCCTTGGTGCTCTAGCTAGTCATCTCTGCTCCGAATCTCCGATATACCGACCTACACTGTCACTTGGAAACACTATAGAAATCACATTGCAGAATGGTGAATATTTAGCTTGGGCATCGTTGAGGTTGAAGGGAGAAACAAGTTACCCGGGTCTCAGACGCGAAACGCGACGCGGTACACGTGATTTGCCGCTGTCAGCTTTCGGCAGGCAATGGCATGTTGCATCCACAAGGTACTAAGGTAGATTACTATTAGCAATACCAGGACCCTGCTCAATAATAAGGTCAACAGCATCCACAGTTCGATCCGTGGTTACTGGAGTGTCTACCTAGATGTCAGAAATATAAAGCAGTGTCTCGACTGCATAGGTATATTCCAAAAGCACAGCAGTATAAACAGCTAGAAATCTATATTATTTCTAGCCTTTACGATAACAATGCAATACACATAGAATACATAAAACACAAGACCTAACTACTAACCTTAAGAGAACGGACCATGAATCAACGCGTCCCACGCGCTCTTTGACTGCAGCGTCTCAATAAACTTAGCCTTGTTGGGAGTACCCGTTCCAGGAGCTGGCGCATGAATAGCTGGCGAACCGGTATTCGTAGGACTTGGCGGCCCAAGCGGGGAGTCTGGACCGGGGCTACTGCGGGGTGACGGCTGGGATGACGAGATATAATCTGTCGCCGAGTCCTAAGTAGATAGCACTGTCAACTTTCAGCCAGCAGCAGCATGCGATACTCACCGATTGGCACAAACGCGAAGGCGTATGTGAGTGAGAGATAAGGTGTCCTTGCGGAGGCAGAAGAAAGTGGCTTGTCGACTCTGCTTGCGATGGGGTCGAATTCGGCGGCGGCGGCGGGTATGGTGAATGCGGATGGGTGCTGTAGTACATATGCGCAGGGCTCGCGGTGCCAGACGTCGAGCGTGAGTTCGGCGGGCGTTTCTACAGTTGATCAACGTGAGATAACGACGGTCAGCGAAAGAGAGAGAAAAAGGCTCACAGGTGAGAGAATGCTTCCCAGAGCAAGTCTCAGTGCCTCCCTGTGCTGCATGTGAATGATTTTGTTCGCCTGCTCGTTGTCATGCTGGAAACTATGAGCGTCGAGGCCCTCTGGCCCTCTCGGAAGGGTATCAGAGGATCGGGTCTGGACCTGCGTGGGCTTGGCCGCGAAGGAAACAGGTAAAACAGTCAGTGCGGCCGGTGAATGGACGCGAAAGTGGACTCACCATCGTCAGCAACGATGAGAGCGAGGGGCGGCGGCGACGTGGAAGACGGCGATGGCGGCGATGAAGGCAACTGCCCAGGACGTGGCAGTGGTGGTTGAAACCAGAAGAAAATGCGCATCTGCACCAGTATACTTACTGAATCACCCGGCACCAGCTGCCGAGGCACATGATCGAACCCCACAGATTACCAAATTGCCTCGATCGGAAAATCGCGGAAAAATGCGGGGAAAATTGGAAATTAAAGGAAGGGAATGTATACAGAGAGTTCCTAAGGTAGTAACAGGCATGCAAGAAAGTAAGAAAGAGACGGAGATGGGACACCCAGGTCAGCCATGATAGGCAAAAAAAACATAACGGCATTGATCCGACCGAACCAGAAGCCACGCTGCATCGACCACTGATTGCGGTTGAGGTTCATCCGATACCGACCATCAGCCGTAAATTGGCAGGAGCAATTGGTGCCGGTCCCGTTCTCAACCAACGTGGAACTGTATGAGAAGGTTTCTCCATGTTCGCGCGGTTGACGGTGCCCGTTGAATATCAAAGAAAGGGGATGCGAAAGTTTCGGTGCAGACACACCTGAACGTGCACCAGGGATCGAAGGTCCCCAGAACGGGTACCCTGAACTGAGATAGCTGGGCGGTATGGTTAGAAGAAGCACTTCCATATCTGCCTCCTGCATTCCACGAGCTCTCCGGTAGCAACAGTGTTCAATTTCGATCATGAATCTGTCATGGGCTTGATAGTGCTGAGTAAATGCCACCGTATTCCCAGCCTACCGACAATCGCTGGTAAACGGGACACCTGCGCGTGGAAAGCGAGTCAGAGGAGACACACCTAAGGAGAGAATGCAGTTACCAACCGGAGGGGCGCATATAATTATATGTACCATCCTCTTGGCTTGCTGTTTCTTCTTACGACGGATATTATCTTTGCGGTATCATTAACTTACTCTGGAAGTCATCGATGAAGAAAAATTAGAACGTGAAATGTCCGTTACACGTAGCATCATTCATGAACAAACAGGAGCTATTCATCTATCTGGGTATCACTTTTGAATCATCTCTATTAGCTGTGCGAGATCGGAGAACCATGGAATCTATCGTTTTGTTCATCAGCAATCTTTCGCGACTAGGCCAAGTTCGTCTTACCATGACTCATTTTGGTACATCCAACCAATGTGTTGTTGGCCTTCCGTCAGAAACACCTTTGCGGATCAGTTCATCCTGATTTCTCTGCGACAATTCCGGCCCTATCCAGGCCTATACCAAAAGCCGGTACCGTAGCCGCAGGCAAAATACCTCATGCAGATAAGCCTGTCGTAGCGCATCCCAGTACCTTCACCTTGGTTATATTCACAGCTCAGTATGCCATCCTGCAGGTTTTCGCCTTGACCTCTGTGCGTGGGGGACGGGCTGTAATGAAAATCCCCATTGTCAAGGAGATTCCAGATGGAAAACGTCGACCCCCAAGCCGCCAAAGAGTCTGCGGGTCTTGTAGGCGGATGCTTAGTAGCATTATCAGCAGAAAAATGAGACATAGCATCAAAAATCAAGAGCCAAAGGATTTCGACGGATCCCTTCAAGCGGCGACATGGGTGTCAGTGCCCAACCAACATTTTCATCAAGGCTTCCATATCTGGAATTCCGGCTTTTACCGAGGAGCTGGGAATCCGGGCCGTTGCTCGTATTCTCTCATTCTGACTTGCGCCCTCCCGAAAAGTCTCCATTAAAACCTAGAGATGTGTTCTCTTCACTCACGAGCACTTTGGATTATTATCAAGCCTCAAATGACCTTTACCCATGACTAGACGAAGGACCAATCAGCTAATCACTATTAGTCCCAATGTATTCCCTAACAAATGCCTCTCCGAGTCATCGTGTCAAAAGTAGGGCATGTCAAAAGCGACCGCCTGGCTTGCTTACGTCTAGCTGTGCAGCGCAGCTCTCAAGGACAGCATCAAGCATCATAATGCAGGAAGGCAGGAACGTGGACTTGGGGGGACAGAAACTTCCGACGATATACCCCCAGAGCTAAATCTCCGAGAAATCAACGTGAATACTATTCATATTGACCTCCAAGCAGATTATTAACAATTTTTTCTTGCCAGTGTTAGAATAGTTCACTAACCTGAGCTTTAACTCCCTTCTTCGTTGAACGAGTAAACGTCGTCACGGCTCCCGCTTTTCGACGCAAAAACACTTGGCAAGACCAGGGTTGGTGCGGTCATTCCGATCACATGGAGAAAATCATCGCTGCGCTCCCGCCCACTCGCATTTTTCAAGCTCGTTTCCGTCGATTATATTCTGATTTAAAAATTTCCTCCATCATGCCTGGTGGTAGATTTGCAATAATCTGCGTTCTCATTGGCTAGAAACCTCGTTGAACACCGCTAACAGGCTTCGGCTCCCCCACGGTACATATTCACCCCGCTTACGATGGGGCACTGAATCTGTCTAGCCAAGAAATTTTAAGACCGAAAGCACGCACTGGAATTTTCTTTGTTGTTTGCTCGTTGGCCTATAAAACGCGTAAATGCCTTGACAATAGGTTTCCCATCGCATCTTCTTCCCATTTGCGAACATGAAAATCACTGCTCTCACCGTCCTCGCCTTCAGCCTTACTCGCGGCTGCTCACGCGCCTCAGAAGCGTTCCGAGGAGCAATTGGCTCGCCGCGACCTCGCTTCGGCCAGGTGCGCACGTCATGTCGGCGAGATGCAACGACGACGCATCGAGAAACGCGCCGAGGCTTTGACCAAGCGAAGCGGCTCGTACTCGTCCGTCACAATCACGACCGAGTCTCCCTACTATCCTACCATCCAAAATGATACCTGTATCCTCACCCCGGAGATAACTACTGGTCCATATATCTGGACTAAATCCCAGACGTTGCGCCAGGATATGACTGAGGGTCAGCCCGGTATCCCCTTGATTTTGGTACGTCCTCTCCGTTAAAATTTCATGTATCTCGCTGGCTAACTTTTATTCCTGCATGTAGGATGTTGGCGTTATCGATATCAACACCTGCGAACCTATGCGTAATGTACTCGTCGATCTTTGGCACTGCAACGCCACTGGATCATACTCTTCCTTCACCGGACGTAATCCCCAACACGCCGTTTCGAACAACTGTTGCAGGAGCTTAACGTTACCATCGATGAGAACTTCGACATTCACACCGATGACACCACCTTCCTCCGAGGAATGTGGCCCACCGATGCCAACGGTGTGATGGAGATGAAGACGATCGTCCCCGGATTCTATGTGGACTAGAACCGTACATATACGTTTCGTCCCCTTTTCCTTCCCCGTTACCATCACATGTAAAGCTAACACTTGTCTTCTCCAGATGCTCAAGTATGTCGATTTCAAATTTCCTATACAAGATTCCGTCTAACGACGCGTTTGTCTTTCCCTCTAGGTGCACCAGAACTGGGTCCTTCAGCCTAACGGAACCATCCTGACGGACACCACGGCCAACACGGGTCAATTCTTCATTGCAGATGATATCACGGAGTATTTGATGTCGTACGAGCCGTACGTCTCACACACAGAAATTGAGAGGACCACCAACGCCGTAGATTCCATCTACTCCTCGGAAACTGTCAACGGGTGGTCTCCCGAGCTGGCTGTTATCCCGATGGACGGAGAGGACTACGCGAATGGTATCATTGGGTACATCACTATGGGTGTCGACTCGACTCGTTGGAATGCCTCCTCTTTTTAAATGCGAATCGGGTAGAGAAATGGACAACTTTTTTACGCGCTCAGCTTTCGGGTTAGGAGTACAGAGCAGTAATGATAATACCCTTGAATGTAAAACTGCTACTATGAGCCCCACTATTGTTCCTTCGTAGCTCGGTCAGAGCAGTCGTTCATGTTCTTCCTCGCGTCGACTGTCTGTTTCTAGATACAATGAGCTTGAGATTCCGTACAGTGATATGAGACCCTCACCTTCAAATCCTCGTCATCAAACCCTTCATGTAACTCGCACTGCTTGAAAAGCTCGAGACCTTGATAGTATTGCACCGCTTTATCCCACTGTTTCTGAGCATGGTAAAGGTCCCCGAAGCAGTAGCATGCTCTTGTGTAAAATTCCGTCGCAGCCTCCTTGATGATACCCCCCATCCCCCCTGGCATGGACTTATACTTCTTCTCCTGGTCAAGGAGAATCTCTTCTGCCTGGGTGTATTCTCCTTCTTTGATATGTCGGCGGACCTTCTGAATTAAAGTCTCGCCGCCCTGAGGGACCGGACCTGAGGAGAAGCTGCTGAAGAAAGTAGACATGGGAGTCGATGCTTGAGGAGGAAGGGACCAAAGATATCTATACTCGAGATATAAGAGGGCTGTCTGAGGTCAATGTAAGACATGCCAAAAGTTGAAGACTTGGTCTTACTCAAGGACTGATCTCTGCCCCTACCTCAAGTAGTCATTTCTACAAGCAGGCTCTCGACATGGTGAAATGCATCCAGCTACAAACCTCAGTTTCATTTTTCAACGTTGAACGCTCATGTTCGACTTTACATATTTTCGTAACTCCATAAACATCGTCCATATCGTGTACTCAATCATCATCATCATCGTCTTCAAGACTATCATGGACCCTTAGAGAGGCATTCTTCGTCTCCTTGGTGAAATATTTCTTGTATGTCTTCGGAAGACAAGTGAAAAACCAATTTTTTATGATTGGTTTCTTCCACTCAGTCAAGCGCCCCATACTGAAAACATCGATGACCAGACGGTCCAGTGCCAGGTTCCTGCCGCAAAGGGCGGCATCTAAATTTGGCCACACTGGCAATGCCACGTCCGGGAGGTCACTCATCTCGGAACTGATGAAGGTGACAATCAAACGCAACTTCTTGAGTGCGGAGCCGACGCGAACAGCACTCAACGAGTTCGCCCACCACTGGAACTCGGTTTCGTATTCATCCCAGTGGCGCGGGATAACAGAGCGTAACTCAACAGTCTTGAACCTGTCGAATATCAGCGGGTCATATTCGCTGCTGTCTGGAAGAATGAGGTTAGCGTGGTGGTCTTTTGGAAGGGACAGAATGACTTACCTTCTTCGGTGAAAAAATATTCGTCTGGGCTACCAAGATGTAGCTTTTGGGCGGATTTCACAGCCTTGCAGTCGAGGAACCGCTGGAACCGGGATACATGTTCATCAAGGCTCCATTCGCTGCTGAAGCTGACGTTGATCATAGAGCCCTCAGCGATGATAGGGTGTCGCGAGGTCGCGATCAAGTCCATAATCACAATATCAGATGTTGTGATCACATCCAAGCGGAAGTCCTGTATCGGGCGTTGCAAAGCGGATTGCGGCTGAGGAAAGCGGCAGTCAGGGGAAGTAAAGTCTATCCCAAGCTCCCCCTCTGATGAAGGGTAATCCCCAATGGTGAGCGCACTAAGCCTGAGATGGGTCAAGCAAGGAGAGCTGAGAAGGGTCATGAATTCCCGAAAGGTCATTTGAACACGCCTGATTTCGAGACTGGTGATCTGTAACTTTGAAGGGGTGGCAAACACATTGACATAGGGCCATCCTTCCACGTCGCAGTATGTGATAGACACCGTGCGGAGATTCTTCATACGGGCAATGAGTGCACCGAGGAAGGGCGTGTCAAGCAGGTGACTTTCGTTCATACTGCCAAGGATTAACGTTCTAGGATGAACTGTCAGCAACATGGGATTCATAGTGTGAATTTCGTTCAACAGAGCGATCGGACCCGTACGATCGATATCGAGGATCGATTGTTTCAAACATATGCGCTTTGGCCCGCTCTCCCATCACACGGGATGCTAGTGTGATGGCGGCGAGAGTAGAACCGGCTTCGTCCTCCTCTGCGACGGCATCAACGATTTTGTTCAGGAGCTCGGTTGGGAGTTGAAGCGAATCTTTGTCGTCCATCTATGCAGAGACAAGCAAAGAAGGTGGGAAGGATGAGGGTGAAGAGCGATCATCCTGGAAAGGCTTCTTTTATAGGGATTGGGAATGCACAAGAAGTGCGTCCACGGTGGCAACCATTGTTCACCACATTGGGGGCCATTGAGACCAGCTTAGGACGGCGGATCAACGATAAGCATCATACCCGAATACGAAGGGATACCCAAACTAACCAGATTACTTTGTATTCCTTTTGACGGCCATATGGACAAGCTGCAGTCTGGAGGCGGTAAGGGGGAAGAGGTAAATCAGAAGAAACCTGGACAAAGGAAAGAGACTGTGGCTGTCTCGGCACAGTTCAACGTGCAACAGGGTCGATTTCCGAGAGCAAGGGTTGCGTCTGAGGGCTATGCTAGGCTCCATAACTTACGTTCTCATGGAAAGTGTAATTGACGAAAAGACGACTCGTCAAGATTACAGGTATGAGTGCGGCTGCCTGCAATGAGAACCAAGGGCCGGTCTGGGTGCCAACGTAGTCTTCATCGGAGTTCTCCATATACGTCGTCTGAGTCAAATTCACAATCAAGGACAAGCCGTATTATTTAAAATAGACGGATCGTTTGGGTCAAGGGTGCCAGTGCGCGTACTCATTTTGATCCGTTTTCCTCTCTTCTGACTGATAGTCAACAAACTTTCCTCCTTCTGTACATTTTCGAGCCATTCAAGTACCTTCTCGGTGGACAACCATAGATTAAGGCCAAACTAATCAGGTAGTAGTACGTCGATGGTGTGCTTGTAGTTCCGGGCAGGTTTGGAAACATTGCCAATAGTAACTAGCAGATATTTGACTGCAAAACGCATGGTCAGCTAGGACAAAATAAGTGCGAGCAGACATACTGCCATCCGGGGGCAGATTCATGCCGATGGCCGTGGCTGAAAGATAGGTGCACACCATGTCGGTGCGCCATCTCATCTGAGCTACGGTTTCAGGGTGACGTTCGTATTTGATGAGTTTGTAGAAGTCGGCGAGCCTATACTGTCCATCGAAATGGACTACATTCCGCTCGGCAAAGTCAGCGAGATGGGAACCCGTGAGGCGATGGGACTCTACGAGGACGTGAAGAATTTTCTTCCTGTGTTGTTGTAACTAAGGATAACATGATACACCTCGACATCAACATACCGTTCTTCCCTATAAATTTCCGAAAAGTTTGGATATGCAGTTGGTTTTCCAGTCTTCCAAGATCAAGCAGCCCTGACGCTCGTTCTCGTAGTATCCATGGAAAAAGGGTGTCAGGGGGCCTTGTATAGACGCGAGGGGTCCTTGATAGGTGTCAGGCTCGCGGGTGCCGAGATCCTCGAAATCTTTAGGACGATATTTGCGCCTGCTGCATCTGCGCGGTACACGATAGAATGACGAATGACGATGAGTGATGCACGTCGACGAAATCAGCAGAAGTTGAACTGAAATGTCAATTTGACAGGGATTCTGGCCGTCGTCATCGTCGATGGCGACATGATAACGGTTAACATTGCCATGGTAGATGAAACGAAACAAGAACGAAGAGACGGACCTGGAGATTCAGACTCAGCAATGAGCATAGCCATCACGTGATGCGTCATTGCTCCCGGTCCGGATTGAGTCCGGAGACCTGTCCTTGCTTGGTCGCTCACCACCACCTTCTTCACCCAGCAATTCACGTCGCATATTCGACGGTAGAATATGTCACCAAGTCCCAACTGTTAACGACAGATGGTGTATCTCCGATGATTGTCTACGTTTTCGATACCAGAACCGATGTTTTGACGCTCAATACACTTCGGGTGGGCATGATTTATCTTATCCAGAACTACCAAGGAAATGCCATACAAAGCGGCCCAGATACCGTTATCAGGGCCAGAGCTATTCAGGTAGCTCACATAACATCACGGTATGTTCCATCAGAAACTAAAGATAATCTCTACAGCTTCCTACAGCGCTTCATCCTCATTGAATCAAAAGTACATGCCGGCTGCACCTCTCCTCTCACCTGCATCTTACTCGGTGGTATCGCAGTACAATGCTAACCCTCTCTGATCTGTCTTCGTTGATTCGTCGACTCTGGCTATCACTCAGGCAAGGAGGCGCCTCGAAACTTGCGCCATTGTATAATCGAATATCCCTCGACTCGTTTTGCAATTTCTTAGGGCGCCTCTTCAGTTCTCTCCCTTCCCGAACAAAGCAGCGTATATCGTGGTCCCTGTGTTTCTTGGGACAGAGGTGCACAGGCTCGACAACCGGAAGCCTGCAGACAGACATCCACGTTAGTTACGACTGTTCGAGCAGTCTACCCGCCCATGTGGTTCCTGTGCACATATCCAGTGAGGCTTTACACAATTCCATGCCTAGTCATGATCACTTGGCGGACACGACGCCGCAGTCTGGGACATTATCAGAAGCTGGGAATTCGAGTATCATGTCCCAGCCTGTTAAAGCTGTGGATACCGCCTTTCCATCGCCTGACACCGCAACACCGTTTAGCGAGTTGGAAAAGTCCGTGCAAATGGCTGAGTGGTGCTCTGTCATTGGGGAACTATTCTACCCCATTGCCCCTACGGACTTCGAGCGATATCAACGACCAGATACGGTGTAGGTCATTCTGATTATATGAATTATTTAAATACTGAGCACTTCTCTATCCAGAGAAGACAAACATATCAACTATGACATCGCTAGGTTGACAGTCTCATTCTCCCGGTATGTCTAAAACACATTTATTTTTCGCACGACTGAACCTCAACTTTCTGTGGAAGTGAACCTCCTCAACCGTGGACTTCATATATCCATCCTGAAGGGGGCCGTTATTTCCGCTGGGAACACGATGTATGTACTATTTTCTGCCTCGTCTCCAACATTGATTTAAGTGGCACACAGCTGTTTACTGTCTACACTGATGCGCATTTGTTTAACCCTGAAGTATTACAAGCTGTTCAGCAATTTGTAGACCAAGTCGATGGATATCTGACGCGCCATGATATCACAGAGGTGTCATTTGACGCAGAAAACGTGGATCTCGTCTTGGATGTTACTCTCAGCAAGTCGAACAGGACAATTTGCGGATACTACTTTGCCTATCACCCAAATCGAACAGTATTCTGGTTGGATGAATTTGAATCTTCAGAACGCCTTTGGCGAGACATCAATGGGGTTGCTTCGCAAGATCACATTCGTCAGTATTAATATGCATGTGGTGTTCTCATTTCGTGCGTTAATTGCTGAGTACCGATAGTACATGAAATACAGTCACAATACTGGTATGGGCAATGGGACTTACTATGAGCGTGCTTGTTAACGAGCTCCTCCTGCAGGCATCACTGCGCTCTCTTTCCGTCTCCTGGATGTGCATCGCAAGTAGTAATCGAAGAATTGAGAGATATCATTCTCCATGCCATCGGCGGTGCGTTATAATTATCCACTGCTATTCTCACACCCATGCACAAGAGTTACCAGATAGTTTGGTGTCAACGACGTCCACGGTTTCGTATAGTATGGAGGAGTTACGCGGAATGCTACAACTTCTTCCTTCGAAGAGTCGAGATTTCAACGACGATTCTGGACCCGGGGTTTCTCGAATTATTTACATCCTCATGAAACACTTTGGTGCGTTCTTTTTCTGCTGCCACATGCCATGGCAAAAGCCTTACATCTTCTTGTCGATTAGCCCACGACCGCTTTCTTCACTTTTACGGTGAACCTGTCGCACGTCTCAATCGCGGTACCTCCATTTATGACAAGAACAAGGTTCACAAATGCTCCTTTCTATTTCACGTGCTCAAATTCCTGCTCTTCGCCGCACCCTCTGCCTACCTTCATGAGATTGAATCCATGCTATCGGACGGGTTGCTCAGTCGGGTGGTCTGGAGAGACTTTGTCGATAAGATTTGCAAAGACTGGTCTCATCTGACTGTATACGTAAGTTTTCCGATATGAAAGGCTGATAGAGGCTGATGCACATACCAGTCTACAGTGCTCATCAATGTAGACGTCGCGTTTTTATCTATCCAATCGATCGATGCTGGTCCGACTAGTTCGCCTCTCAAGATTGCTGTATACCTTTCGGTTATTTCGTCCCTTGGAAGCATATTCTTTGCTTTGTTGTTTCTCCGCTGTAACAACACAAGGCTGAATATCTCGACCGATGAAGCTGTGCGTTTTTGTATAAATGTAATATCATTTGTTTCTTGACGATCTTTCAACAGGCGAAGATCATGAACTCGTACCAAGACACTTCTTGCAGGTATGAGAACATCGCAATCCTCTACAGTCTTCCGTATGCTCTGCTCATGTGGGGGTAAGCACTCTTTCCAAAACATTCAGATGGTATTTCTGATGGCCATCCCTACCTGGATTTAGGATCCTCTTTTTCGTCGCCGCGTTCATGATCTTGTGTTTGTGGAAGACTCCACCGGTGACTCTCGTGCTATCTAGCATGGCATGGGTTGCTTTGGGTAGTTTGGTCATCTTCTACGGATGGGTAAATTGCACCGGCGCTCGTCAATGGCTGTTATCGATTCGAGAAGACCTAAAGATGCACCGGCTGCTGGTCAAATGACTGATGTTCATGAACGTAGACAATAGTATCTCACGTCATCAGTAACGGTTCGTTGGCGCTTGTCCCTTATCATGTATAAGTGTGTCATGAAGAAGATCCACCGCACCTGGTTTATTACCGACGCTAGGCACCTTGCTACTTTTGAAACAACAGGCGCCTAACACTGTAGATAAAACATTGAAGAACCACGATGACAACCCCGTAAAAGTACCAGAGCAATGTCCACCGTAACGTGAGTACGCATTGCCCTCGTCCTACCATTCTACAAGATCTAAGGATAGAAGTGACACGAAGGGCGCCCAGAATTCCAGACTAGTAGCGCCAGATTTGACGCCTAGTCCTTCCGGAGGTATGCATCCAAATAGCTGTTGAGCTCCGGGTTTGGCGTCTCACAGCCAAACGTAGGGTCATCCTCTGCCACGACTCATTCATCAACCAGCTTGGAACCGCAGATCGTGCCAGAAGAATATGATTCCGAGTGAGTGTGTCATAGATGGGCGTTAATGTCAAACTGAGCTCCTGTAGTTTCGAAGACAGAGGAGAAGATAAAGTTCCGACAACGACTGTAAAGACAGCGAACGATACAGGGGGAACCAAACCGGTGAAGAAACCAAAATAAATTGTAAATGGAAGTTTTATCAATAGCGCAAACTGTACTACTACGGTGGGAATGAGATTGAAGTGAGTGTAGTGTGTAAAGAGGAAAGACTGCTGAATAACGAAGAGCATTGAACAATCATTCAAACAACGTCTACGACTATACACCGCTATGGATAAAGAGCGCCCATTGTTCTACTGACAATCCTTGGTCACGAAGCGCCCTCACAGCTGAGTGCAACGCGAAAGAGGCTCGTCTAACATCCATAATACCCTTCTCCGTCAGGTGCTTATACACATGCTCGGTGACAATTGGACCCTGCGCATCTCCCATTGGCCACAACGTTGCCACGACACTGCGATAACCCAGGAACTGCATCGCGGCTGAAAGATGAAGAGACTCATCTGGAGTTCTGTCGGCTGCAATCGCTGTGCTACACGCGGACAGAAACGCAAACTGAGGATCCTGGGGTGTGGCGCGCACCATGTCCGACAACGTGAGTACTCCGTCCCATAACTTGAACCCGCTCAGAAACGGATTTCCTTCGTTGAGATGTCCATGACACGCAAAGTGAACCCTAGAGAACAGAGAGGGACATGATTAACGAGGACGCATCTCCAGTCACGTAAGAAACCCACCATGAGTATGACGGCAGAATATCCCGTACCGCGGAAACTACTGCCTCATCATTCGACCATCTCGTTGTCGATCCGTCAGGTAGGAAACTTTGCACTAGCCGAGTCTCTACTTTGGCTTCCTGGAGTTCGTGCGACTGATCGAGGATAAGAGTCCTAGGTACGGTGATTGCTGTGTTACGTCGTCGCGCATTGATCAAAGAGGATAGCGTCGGAATATAGGACGATATGTAGCGGTCGGGAAGATTACAACCATCCTGGTCGTATAATCCTGCAGCATGCATTGGTAGGCCAACCCAGGCTCCAGTCAAACACCACCAGATCCTTTCTCCACCCAAGGAATCCAAGGTGGGAAGGAGATGAACAATAACATTATTCCATAAAACCTCCAAGACTGACTGCATCCCGCTCTTCTCTTCTTGTACCCTACCCATACGCCGTGGAACACTCTGAGAAACAGTGACATGCAAGTTTGTCACATCGTCGTGTTTGAAGTTGGGAATCGATACGTGCTTGTGAAAGCCCTTAGGACCCAATATTATGGCATCACAGTCGTATGGCGAGTGCCCTGAAGACGTGAGGAGGATAATGGGCCCTTCTTCTCCAACCGCCAACAGCTCAGAGAAGGGAAGCGTACGATGGAAATCTTCAAATCCCTTGTATTGCCGTATTTCAGCTATGACGGCTTCCCACTGCGTTGCGAGATCCATCCGCTCAAGCGTACTCCCTGAGTTCTCCCATTCTGAACGGTCCATCCTGTTTGCGACATCGATAGCACGCCTGACAAGCTCATCCGGCAAGGATTCCCGGACTACGTCGTCAAACGGTTGGCGAAACTGAAGAAGTTGCAGCCAGAGGATAGACCGTCCTTGTTCAAGCCATTCTACTGCCATTCCTATGTTCCCTTTACGTAACACCCATGCTGCGCCATCGCAGGCGAATACCGTAGCGATGGAGCTCAGCCGTCGGTATCGAGATTCAAGGTCCCATCCGATGAATGCTAGTTGAGGTAGAAGGCCTATGGCCATCTGAAAAGCTTGCTCGGCATCTTCATCATGCATGTCGGGATCCACAAGGGCATAGGTGCAGAGATGATCCAAGGCCCAAACGCGTTGTACGATGGGCGCACTAACAGATTTTGCTGTTTTCATGTACTCGCGAGGAATACGGTCATCCTGATATGAAACCCATTTGTCAAAGTGCTGATTGATTTCTTCCAGATGTACCATGAGAATATGCAGGTGCGGGTGGTCAGGAGGAAGGGATTTAATGTTTGCGATAGCTACAGCCTGCGCTTCGACGAGGCTGTGTTGCCGGGTAGCACGAAACAAGTGAAGGAGGGTATTGGAAAGATTAAGCATGTCGTAATACCGGGCTTCATATGGTAGTAGATACAGGGAGAACGCCTGCACATGGAACTCGATTGCGTCATAAAGCAATGTCTTGTCCACCTTGCCTCGACTTTGCAAATGTCGGAAACGGTAAAGCTGTATAAACCCTTTGTCGTGTAAAACTTGCGCACGATCCTTGATGTCTATAACATCAAAAGGTAGCTCGAGCAAGGATTCGTTGATCCCAAAAGCCCGGTCTAGTAAATTCAAAGACGGCACGACCTTGAATTTGCTCGAAAGGCATATTGCCAGGCTCATTGATGCTTCGATATGCACACCCTCCGTGGCAGCGCGTAGTGTTTCCAATACCATAGTCGCAAAGTCAATGTCGTCGATGTCACGTTTGAGTTCAAAGCGTTTTCTGAACGCATTGCCCACATCCAAAAGGTCGATTTCAGAAGGAAAGGAAGGCGGATCATGCAAATACAACGTATAGAGACGCCGGAAGATGTCGATTGATTTTTCAAGACCAGAAAAGGTCTCGTCAACATCAGCCCCGTAGTCTGCGATGTCATAGAGTGTGCGTGCTAGTTCATATTCAGCTATTGCATACTCTTGGAAGTCTGACTGTAGCTCTGCCACTAGCAGTGTTTGCTCGACGCTAAGAGCTCGCAGCTGTTCCACTTGCATACGAGGGCTGGTTTGAGCGTAATGTTCGTTCAATGCGCATCGGAGATTGAAACTGCACACCCTGCGAACCGTTGCAGGGAAATCATGCGTGGTAATGGCCTCCCATAACAACGCTATGGCTTCGTTGCCAGCATCCATGTCATCGGCGGAGACACGAAGGGCTTTGAGAGCGATGGCGAGGTTGTTCAGCGTCTGGATTCTATTTTCATGTCCTTTGGGCCTGTACTGGAGGCATTCTCGATGATAACCGATGGCCTCCTTCAGAACGCTGAGATCCGGTGATACGTCGTGCTGCGTCTTCAATGCACATCCGAGCTTATTCAGAGTGAGAGGACGATCGGGATGGGATGAGGGTTCCAGAGATAGTGCCTGCCTCAAATTGGCTATGGCTTGGAAAAGCATATTGGCATCATCATGTTGAGCAAACTGAGCGAGTAAAGAGATAGCCTCGTCGCGTAGCGAGACGTTCGCCATTCCTGGATGCAAATGCCAAGTAAGTAGGGTGGGACTAAAGCAAAGGTTATGTCATACCAAACTTCGGACTCAAAACGGTAGTTGAATCGGTAAAGATGGGCGCTGATTTGCCCCTTGGAACTTGATGACTTCGGCGCTTAAGATATGAACTATTCCATTCTGGGTGATTGCCTGGCCCCACTACATCTCAATACTTCCTCAACTGGACAACCGTCCCAGATACATCGCCCCAATGCTGCACGTAGTTCTCTGGATCTTTCACATCCGCCCTCTTCTTTCCCCAAATTACTTCGGCGCTCTGTCCAATCGAGCGCATATCTACACGATTCGTGGTCAGGAAAACCTTCCAGACTGTGATATCATGATCCATTCCCTGCAAAAGCTGGAAGCAAACGGGATTGCTCGCAGATCCACATCCAAAAGTCAATGATGATCCCCTTGGGAGCGGACAATCAACGGTGTCGGACCGCCCAGATACAGTGCTGAACTGCGGTTCGTCGAAAGCATGCGAAGCTAAGGGTGTGTTAGCGTGGAACTACCAGAGAAAGCACTGGACATACATATCGACAAATCAGACTCGAAAGCAAAAAAGTACGGATAATAATCAATACCGCTCCTGTTATGGAGCGTCACTCCAAAGGGCCTATTGGGGTTATCGATCTTGATGACTGCCTGTCCGCATTTATCAAACAGGTTGTGTCCAATTCGAGTGTAAGATGCATCTTTGTCGCGGGTTGTCGGGGAAACCTTCTCCAACACATGAAGCTCCAGTGAAACACCCGAAATGGCCGAGTGCCGATTCCGATGATAATGGAATCTATTGGCCCAGCGGAGGACGTCCATTACCCGACCTCTATTCTCCTCCATCCCGGCCGAAGTCCTGACCCATCTAGGTATCCGTCCTGATTCGCAGCTGTACACTTTGCTCCCTACAGGAGTGAGGGAGTAAAATGTAATCTCCCGATTATCAATGACGAGTTCCATCTGGGCATCCTCGCGATGATCAACCCAGTGTATATCATGTCTCCTTCCAATGGCATGTCGGATCCATGTACTATCGCTGCAAAACATGTTCAATAACGGAGAATTATGGGGGGCTCTCATAAATTTTGCAAAGGAAGATTCGGGAAAGTGGGAAAGTGGCATGCCGTGAAGTATCAGCTCTGCTTGGAACGTATCAATGTTAGAGACTTGTAGCACCACTCCTGGGAGTGCGCTCGAAGCTGTTGGCATATCCCTGTCCCGATGGGCGAAGTATTCGGAACCTGGGATGACTCCTTGAGCATATCCGGCGGAGAGAAAAATCCGACTGCCGTTCTTCGTCACTCGTACAAGCTCGTTATCAATGAAGACTACCCGAGGACTGAAAATGCCACGATTGCAGCTGGAGCCTTCGCAATGAGGAAACTGCGTACGGACAGTGCCACTGCGACTCTGTAGAAGCCGGCCGATTCTAGATAAACGTGTCAAATTCGTTGGATTAGTGACCGAAACAGCTGGTACATACGGTTGATGCAGTCCCTCTATGAGAGAAACATAACTGATACTTGAGATGTTTTGACCCCGAGCCATCACCGATTCCAAAACCTCTAAGACAGCGGTTGTGAATACGCCGCCCTTATGTTTTTTTGCTTGTGCTTTGCTATCCCTGCTGCAGGCCGCTAAGAGGACATGGGAATGGTTGTACATGACTTCGAAGCCTGACGGGTTTTTTGTCGGGCGTGATTCCGAAGGAGTTTGATCTTGGGTGAGGATATCGGTCTCATTGATGGGTGGTATACGAGACCAAATCTCGTCGCTGAAAAAAAGAGGCGGAGGATCGAAAATGGTACGCGTTTCAAACTCGTCATCATCACTTTGTCCTCCGTCGTCCGCCCGAGTCATCCCAGCAGAGTAGCAAGAATCCAGCATTAGGATCTGTACACTGTCAGATTGCTTAAATCCTCTACGCGCAAAAATGAACGTACGATGTTATTGCTTTTCTCTTTTGCCAGTTTGTTAAGCCAGGCGGCCACCATGCGATCTGGAATACCTGGCATTGAGCCGATATCTTGAGGGCATATCTGCTCAATGACATTCTCATTCCACCCTGACCAATAACCCTCCTGACTCTTTGGAAGAGCGGACTTGTAATCTGACGCGCCATGTCCGGAAAAATAAATGAAAATGGAGGAACGGCCCTTCTTTATGTCTCCACGAGTAACGAGGGCTTCGAATCCTTTCAGAATACCGTCGAACGTAGCGTCTTGATCATAGAGCCTGAAAATGTTCCGGTCTGGGACACCAATTCTCTTCAAAAAGGCGACGATAGCTTTGGCGTCCAGAACTGAAGCAGTGAGGGCTCTGCGTTCAGCATAGTTGTCGATTCCGATTACAAGGGCAAAGAGATCTTCGAACGTTGGCCTGTGAATGTGGTCAGTATACCATGGCGACACTGAAAGAATACTCAACCGAAAAGACATCGTCGTCGGTCGTCAAACCTAGCTAGCACTCGGCACCTTTCCCTGAAATTTCCAGATATGTGCAAGGCGGCTCTCTAGAGCTCCAACTTTGGATACGCTTAAACAAAAAAGGGCTGAGCAACACTGTACTCTTACCTTCACCTAGAAAATGCGCCATAAGACCTCCTACAAGTCCAATACAAAAGGCGATATGTCTATAGCTGAGCGGCATCACTGGACGAGCTGGATATATGCGGTCAAGTTGGATTCGGGAATACACGTCATTTCGTTCACAGATGCCTTTTCTCAAAGACAAGAGCGCTTCAGTAAATTTCTCTCACTTTCTTCCACTACGTCATCAAGAAATTCCTTGATTGTGAATAGAAGAAAAGTGCCTGGAGGTGTGAGTATCTATACCGAATTCCTACCATTCAGTGGCTATCGACCGCTTCCACAACTGCAGCCGCCTTCGAATTTATTCTGTCTTATATCTTGTCCGGTACTGGTGACCAGCCGCCCTGCGCGATACAGACGCCCATTTTATCAGAGAGCGGGGCAATACCAGGGCTTCCTGACTCGGATTACACCTTGCTTAGCGGCCGAAAAGTCTGGAAGAAGAGCGACCGGATCTCCGTGTGGAACGATATCCAACACTTCTGGCCTGTGGTACATGGAGTTATTTGCCCTTGCTATTGGATCCATATGGTTCAGAAATAGCCCAACTCGATGCATGCATCGCCAAACAACTGTCGAAGTATTCAACCAGAGGCTGGATAGGCTAAATGTTGAAAGGTCACCCAGGCTACCCCCGCCTGAGCGGAACTCCTAGAGAATCTCGGAGCTTAACTTGCTATATAATCGCGATTCTCGAGCCTCTTATGAAGATTGCATTTCAACACAGATCGCTCGGCTAGTCTACCTTTCATTTCTGCGCTTGAACTTTTAGGCAATTCAAAAATGACGATAGAACACCAGAGAATCGATAAGTACGCAAATTTATGATAGTTCTTTTCGCCTTTGACCTCGATTTAGGCCTTTCATTGAAGGAGCCCCCAACTATCATCACAGGACCCTGAACTCGACTTGCAAATGAGAGTTCAGCCAGAGTACGGTCAGGAGAATTTCAGTCGACATCACTAAATTTACTGCATTGTCGTAAGTAGCCTTCCATGCGTTTGCATGTCAATTGTGCAACTGATTCTAAATGTTCAGCTGAGCTTCTCTGGAAATGTCAAATACAAACAGCAAAGTAGTTTCTACCTATCCATTTATACTTGTGCTGGATAACGAATAATCCGATACGCCTTTTTGTGTGCACCTGGTCACCTACGTTCAACATGTCACCGTTGCGACCATATCAGACAGACATGCAAACATTCGAAACTAGTTTTCAGGTCTCCATACTCCGCTATCCAACATAGAAGCCTGTCATTTTCAGAAGGGTAATATAGAGGCTGAAATGTATCCGGAACTTTCCAAACGTCTTGTGGCTATACGCAATTCGTAGAGGTACGTTCTCAGGCTTCCGACTTCAATGTTGCTGACTATTCGTGCCTTACGAGTCCTTGAGCAGCGGTATGGCCCGACTTGTTCATCGATTGGCGATCAGATTAGTGTTGCCAGGTATTGGATATACATCGGCAAGCCTCTCTACGCTATCTTTATATTTTTACGTGAAATGCATTTGCATCGCAAGCGAACAGCAAAGCACGGTAGTGTTCGAAGGTCAGGGCTTGAAGATCCTACGTTTGCGAATAAATTGGACTGATACCAGAACACATACTTCTGGATCCGGACCAGGTCTCGTTTTTGTGGGACGGCTTCTCCAATGTGGCTTTGGCAACGGGTTCGAGCGAATTGCTACCTCTGGGTCGTCAAATCGACGTCGCGGGAGGTGTTGAATAACAATTCAGGGTCGAATCAGAGACGTCGTTACGCGATTGGAAAGATGGATGGCAAATGGTAGCCCGATCTTGGACGAAGATATCGCGTTTGACGAAGACGATAGCGACTGCGATGACTATGAGAGTACATGAATGGTCTGTGATGGTAATTTGCATACGGCTACAGGTGCTGGTCGTAAACAAGGAGGAAAGAAAATCGCTCAATCCCTGTTCTCTTGACTTCTTTGCGTTGGCTTTTACGCCGTCTTGACCTCAACGGCCTGAATCCATGCCAACAGATCTCGATTAACCTCGTCTTTAGCCTCCAACTGTACCCAGTGACCGGTATCGTAAACATGGGAGGTCGTATCTTCGCAGCTTGCCGTTGTGCCTGCCAGACTCATATGTGCCAGACAAACGTAGTCCTTCGAGGCACCGCCGAAGAAAACGGGCTTGCTCACTTTCTCGATCTTGGGGGGATTCGCTTCAGGAGCATGTGAGCACAAAGGACCAAGGGAATACTGCCGTTTACCTTTGGAGTCGTCGGCCATGATGCTAGTACGCACGGCTTTATAATAACAGAGTGGTCCCTTGATGCCTCCCTTGCGTAGCTCCTCCTTCTGGATACGCTGATCCTATATCGAACGATGAATATTTTCTTCTCAACACGCTGTAATCAGCTCACCTCTTCGGTCAGGTACGAACCAATCGGTGTCGTCCGGTTGCTCTCTACCCACAACCTCAGCCCACCGATGGGCTGCATATAATCTTTCCAGAGATCATGATCAGCACAATACAAAAGACTATACATCGACTCGAGGTTGTTGTCAATCTTGACGTCGGCACCGTCTTCAGCGAAGAGATCCCAGTATCCGATCAGCTCGGTGCCGATCATTGACTTCATCTATCGTCCGAGCGGTTAGCAAGGACGATTAGACCATCGAACGGAGCATACCAGCTGCATCATCGCCTCGTATGCCAGGGGCTGGGAGGCTGGGTAGTACCCAGCAGCGAGAAACCCGTATGCTAAGCATCTATCGGGATAATAATCCGCCAAGCGACTGGTTACGACGCAACCCCTGCAGAAACTTCACGTGAACCTATGGAGATCAAAGAGACGATGGAAACCATACCAATCATGCCCGACAGCAATAACGCGCGCGACCTTCTCGGTATCCAGGATCTCCACGATATCTTGTGCAAGCAATCTGTGCCTGTATTGCATGGGATCGACGGGCTTGGATGTACCCCCGTACCCTAGCATGTCTGGGACGATGAGCGGGTAGCCTTTCTCCTTGAAAAAAGCTATCTGGTGCTTCCAATCGTACGAAGTGCTTGGAAAGCCATGAAGGAAGAGCAAAACAGGTTTGGAGGCATCCCCCGGGGAGAACAAGTAGTGATAGATGAACCCCCGAGAGGTGGTGAAGTCCTTGTAGAGGGATTGGTCCATGGATGCAGACTCCGTCGCAACAAGGGCAGGTACTTATAGACAGACATTCAATTTACGCAGGCCTGCCTAGGTCATCGGGTCCGAAGTAGATGGGAATGGACTGCCTACACGTAAGAATTTACCTTATGGCGAGTGGCTATGATGGCTTGATCGAACAGAAGTAATGGAAGGAGGTGAGTTTGCGGGCCGGCTTACTCAACTCGTCTTTGCCCAGTATCCGGTGCTACTTATTATTCAAGATAAGTAATCACAACGATTTCAGGAAAACTTCCTTTAACCTTGACAGCAAATTATGATCGCTCGAAGAAAGCCTCGCGCAACCAACTGGCAGCTGCAGTTCGCTGGTAACGTAAATCAAAAGAAACGATGCTCCATTTCATGGCCGATGAGGCTACGGTGGACTCTGAAAGTCACAGTCGTCTCACCGGAAGAAAAAGGCTCACTGGCAGATGTCGAGTCAAAGAAAATTAGCAGACAGACGTGATGGTGACCAGATAGATAGATAACCGGTCGAGGTCCCAAAAAGGAATGCCGGGGCTCTGTGCCGACACAAAACGTGTCACAGACTACACTCCCTCATGCCGCTGTGATATCCTCAGTTGCCAGCCAAGAACGTCTCACGGATTTGAAGGAAATGCAGGGACAAGCGAACGCAATATCATAGGGAACAACGAGAATAATATCACATGTACTATGTGAACCACAAATGTGGAGCGACTGAGCAGTGAGGCGAGCAGATGGGAGAAGCCGAAAGGCAAACCGGCCCGGCTGACGGAGGACAGTATCAAATTGTATTGTTGGTTCACATGCACTGCTTGGCGGCTCAGTAATCAGGAGAAGGACAGACATTGGAACGGGCAAGACAATTGCAGTGCGGGAATGGTACCAGCGCCGTGTGTTGGACCTCGTCGTGGACAATGAAACGAACGATAATAAGGACGGGTGGTAGCATAGGAAAAGCGTGGAGCACCATAATTTCTCTACGTGGCTTGTCAGAAGGCTGTGGTGGTCCAATAATGTGATGCATGTGCGAATTGGTCAACCTTGCGAACGACGAAGATAGTCGTACTGAAGAGCAGACGGCTATGCGCGGCAGGGTCTTTGTACAAACGTCTGCCAGTAACGGAGCGATGTCACGACGGGGTCATTGTACGAACCAGAAAGCAGTCTCAGAACGGGAAGGAGTCTGGATGGTACTGCCGTCGTGCCGTTCTTGCCGAGGCGTTGACAAGGAGAAGCAAAGCGGAACGGGCCGATTGACATCTAGTGCTCTCTTCGTTGCAACTTCGTTGTTCTTCCAGTGCTTTTTCCTTGCCATTGCTATGACAAGAATTATGCAGTATGCAAGACAATCTAGACCTACGTTGACATTCTCTTCTTTCCATTACTCCCTGTCGGTATTGACGAGTTCTAGATACGCGTTTATGTCCTGCAGTTTAGAAACTAGAAGGGAAGCTAAAGCACTTCAAACTCCCGAGATCATTAAAAAGTAAGAATGTTTCCAATTCTATGGAAGCCTCGTATCAGCTGCGCGCGGACAAGATCCTATGATTAAGGCTTTTGCTCGGGGTCTCCTGCAGTCATATCAAGGACTCCGATTCACATTACGACTTAGAACAGACATGGATAACGCTTGCCTTCATGACACGCATGAGCAAAAAATACAATTTGAAAATCCCAGTTGCGTCGGTGACACATGATATGCGACGGACCAGCCTCCTACCAGTTCCTGTAAAAATTTGGAGAGCTATCTAAGGCTTTGCAGAGACCCAACATCCGGGATGAGGTTACCAGCTTCTGCTATCGGAGAAGTGTATAGTTTTTTTCATCTGTTTTGTATAATGGTAATCGAGTGCAAGAAGAACGACTCGAACGCTGCTCTCCGCCAAGTCCTCATGGACTTCGTGGCCATCCTACGACATCGCAGATTACTTGGCTTCGCACTGGAATATCTCGTGGAAAAAAATCACTAGGCGTATATCTGGATAATGAACAGCGTAACTCTGTCTGTTGATCAAGTCAATGACTGGGACTTTGACGGTACTACGGCACGCGATCTCGAGAAGCTTGTGGGGAGGGTTGATTATAGTGATCCAGATGACAACTTCAAGGGCCTTGGCGAACCGGAAAGCTTACAAATGACACCGTGCAAAAGCTATTTCAGTGATGATCAAGCACCTCGACCGTGGCCCTCTGAGCGTCTTGGTGAGAGCTATACTTACCAGCAGTGGAATAGATGCTTCAGGCTCCGAAGAGAGTAAAGAGTGGACGGAAAACGACTCCAGAAGGAAAATGGTGACGTTGCTGGATGAGGATGGTCGGCCATACCGGATCTCGCACTGCACCGATTTTCGAACCAGCCCTGGACGAGGAACGTGATAAGGCTACCTCTGAAGCTCGGGAGCGGATCCGCGTACAGCAAGGTGAAATGTCCTCCGGTGTTATGATGCAGCGATGTCTGGATTCCGTTGAGACCTAGTGAATGATCTATGCATCACACGGTATAGTTCTTTTTGAATTCTAATGTGGTGAATCTGAATACCGCGACCAGGCTCTGGCCCTCTCTGCTCGGGCACCCACATAGAATCAGGTGGGTCATTTAAATTATTGTCATAGCGCGCAGATATCTGAGACCTATTCGTAGTTGAATTTCAAAACTGGTCTCCGTCGTTTGAATGGTTCCTAGTCTTTGGGCCAAAGAAAAAGCGGCGCCAAGAAATCTTCAGTTGAGACGCGGGGTTGAAGGTCTACCTGCAGGAACCTGATTGTAGCACCTTTCAATCGGCATCAAGTACTACCGTTGGGAATCAAATTCGACTAGGCCGTTTTCTACTCGACGCTGAGGGGTGTGCTGGTTCTGAGCGACAAACCGATCAAACCGGGTAATGTTCTTGCCGTGGAATGTTGTCTACTTACTTACCTTGGTCAAGTCAGCTGAGAAGGCGCAGCGCCGAGGTTATAGCACTCTCCTTTTTTTTCACGGGTGAGGATCGTTGTAAAGCACCATTGCAGATGGTGGATATATTATTTAACAAGTGCCGCGAATGCGTTATTTTACGGCCTTCAGAATCGTGCTCTTTGTACGGTATTATCTATATCGGATTAGCTGTAGCGCCTCATCCCTAATCTTAGTGTTTTATAACACCCTGAGGCAAAAGGAAAGGTGGGAAGGGATCCGCGGCCAATAAGTCGGCAAGACCAATGTAAAATGCACCAAAGCCCGGGATGACACCCATAATGCCTCCCGCCTTTGCAACACTATGAGATCCAAAACATGAGCACAGACGACGCTTGGACGAGAGGAGGACACATACGCTGCATTTCCAGTGAACTCGGCTATACCGAGTAGAAGGAAGGTCAAAGCTAGGACAGCCAATACGAATATCAAGGCCACAGTTTTTCGGAGCGCGACAATCCTGGATAGATCTCAGCAATGAATGGTATCGTTCTTTGAGGAAGGCAACGTACAAGAACATAACGGTGACGATGGACCATACGACGAGGTAAATACCGAGGGCATCACCAAGCATGTCGGCTTCGCCTTCATAGGCGGCCGTAATGCCAGTTCCCGGAAGCAGGATAGCTCCATACGACAGCCAGAACGCTCCATAGATACAGAAGACTGCAGGGCAGTTAAGAAGGTTAAAGATACCGAAAATGCGGGGTACCGCACGAACCTGATCCGGTGAAGGTGCTCCTGCGGCAGAACTCGATAATCCCGCCTGTAAACTGGGATACACCACCAACGAATAGAGCCATGCTGACTACCACGTTGGGGATGGTGATTCCACTAGCATGGGCGTTGTATAAAGAAAGGATAATAGTTGTAGACCCGAAGGAGAAGAGACCTCTGCGAATTGATTGTAATAAATCAGTCCATCATCTGAGGCTGCGATGGTAAACTTACAGAACGGCGCCATTAGACGGAGGAGGCAGGGCAGTGATGGGTGGAGGCGGAGGATTGGCGTTAGCGAAGTGGCCTTGGATTGAACCAAGGTTGATATCCTCGGTGATGCCCAATTCGAGCTTGTCGATGCCATTGGATGACATTGTGGAGGTAGTTTATAAGGCTGTAGTAGTCTGGGGAGAAAACAGTTGAGATTCTTTCGTTCAATGTTCGGTCTTTTATAGCTAAGTTCCCCCAAACGAGATAGGGTCACCATGCTCAAACTAAATGCCCCTTCCCGCCGATTCCGTCGATTGATCTAATGATCAAATTCAAGAAGAGGGCCGAGAGCCTCGCTACAAGAGCTTGTCAAAAATAGGCTTGATGCGGGGAAATGTCAAATTCAAAATTCCCCACAGATTGGAGATCTAGACCTCGGGGGGAGTACTATGAGGAAGAATACATCCAGAGCAGCGCAAGTGGGCCATGTTAAATCAAGGAAAACCAGGCAAATAGCAGTGTCGGCGCTGATTGCGTTTACAGGCGACCACACTGAGATACCGAACGAACTAGATTCGGAATACGCTAGAGAGGCACAGAGAGAAGGGGTCTCTTTGATTGTTGCCAAGCTCCTGAGGCTGTAGCACGGGGACGAAGTCTACCGCGGCGAATCTCTGAGCCTTTGGCACCCGTACCTTTCAAATATTGCTGAGGGCCATTTCCGTGTAGGGGACTACGGATCGGCAAGTGTACAACTAGAAATGCGCCGCCCTGGACACACGGCCACGGTCTGTAGGCAGAAAAAAAGAGTGGCTCGTGTAACAGGGCGACGAATAATAAATATGAGGATAGACAAACGCGGTTCCAACGGTGATCAAGTGTACCGACAACCGACAGCCATCACCTGAACGATGGTACCGATCGAGGAGTCGACATCACGAGGGAGGCGGCCTCGGGCTCTGCTAGTAAAAACTAAGTGTGGATGGAAAATGATCATGGAAGGACAATTGAAAAAAATGGCGACAGGTGCGAAGGGCGGTCCCACGTGATAGCTTCACGCATCTGATGACCATTGACTCGGAGGAGCGCCGCGATACAGCAGCAAGGTGAACTGTCACCTGATTTTATCATGCAATGGCGCGCATATTCCCTTAGCTGTGTAGCTCTTGGTAGGTGATGTTCAGTCAAGCGATATGTTTTTTTGGACGGAGTCAAATTGTACCAGTTAATTCCTTCATAAAAGAGACTCGTTCAGTTCTTCAGGCACCAATACACATAGAAGAGAAGCGAATGGGTCAGTCCTGTTACTTATGTATCTGAGACTTATTCGTAGAATGCCAAAATTAATTTCCACTCCGACTCAAAGTCCCCAAGAAGTTCTTACTCTCTTCTTCGACCGGCCCCTTTTGAATGGGTACCTGGGATTACGCCCACCTTTGGACCAAAGAAAAAGCGGCGCCAAGAAATCCTTAGTTGAGATGCAGGGTTGTAGGCCTAGCACTACCAGCGCCTAGTTGCTGCGCGCGCACTAATACTTATTGTAGCACCTTTCAGAAAGCCACTACGTAGGCACTAGTATTGTTCGGAATCAAATAGACTTCAATCATTCCATCTGAATATACTTGACGTTCAAAACGTAGGCGCAGAGTATTTCATGTCGAGTAGTGAACAGGCTCACGTAGGAACGTGATATCACGATGCTGAACTTGTTCCCTACAACTTTCGTCGTCGCTTTCTTCAGTGAGGTTCGTTGTCAAACGTTGTAGTCATACTACATAATTTACTAGTGTCGTGAATGCGTCATCTTACAACTTTCCATAATCATTCTCGTTGCTACCATATGTAATTGAATGGCCTATAATGCCTTATCCATAACCCTAATGCTTGAAAACGCCCTGAGGCAAGAGGAAAGGTGGGAAGGGGTCCGCAGCAAGTAGCTCCCCAAGACCGACATAGAATGCACCAAAGCCTGTCACGACGCCGACAATACCTCCTGCCTTTGCAATACTATCAGATCGAGATATCAGCACGTACGATAACATTGACTAGACCAGGGAGACATACGTTGAATTTCCAGTGAATTGGGCTACAGAGAGCAGGAGGAACGTCACAGCAAGGATACTCAACAAGAGAATCAAGGCTACGGTTTTTCGAAGGGCGACAATCCTAATATGAATCTTAGCAATCGGTTGGACAATAAAGTAGATGAACCCACAAGAACATGACGGTGATGAGGGTCCATACGACGAGGTAAATACCGAGGGCATCACCGAGCATGTCGGCTTCGCCTTCATATGCAGCCGCAATCCCAGTTCCCGGAAGTAGGACGGCTGCATACGATAGCCAGAAATTTCCGTAGATACAGAAAACTACGGGGCAGTTGAGAAGGTTAAAAACACCGAAAAAGCGGCCCGTACGAACCTGATCCGGTGAAGGTGCTTCTGCGGCAAAATTCGATAACCCCACCTGTAAACTGGGATACACCGCCGACGAATAGAGCCATGCCGACTATAGCGTTGGAGATGGTGACTCCACTGGCCTGCGCGTTGTAAAGACAAAAGGTAATACAGGTAGCACCGAAGGAGAAGAGACCCCTGCGAATTTATCTTAAAACCTAGTCCCACGGATAACGCGATAACGATAAACTTACAAGACAGCACCATTAGATGGAGGAGGCAGGGCGGCGATGGGTGGAGGCAGCGGGTTGGCGTTAGCGAAGTGGCCTTGTATCGAGCGATGGGTGATATCCTCAGTGATGCCAGACTCGAGCTTATCGATATCAGTGGATGACATTTTGATAGCAATGATAGTAGTGGTGAGTGGTGGGGGAAACAGTTGACATTCTTTCACTCGAATGTCCAGTCTTTTATGGATACGTTCGCATACTGGATACAGTCACCCTATCCCACTAGGGGTTCCTCTCGCCGATTCCGTCAATTGATCTTACGATCGAATACAAAAAAAGGAGCAAGAACTTGTCAAAAATAAGTTTGGATGCGGGGAAATGTCAAATTCAAAGTTCCCCACAGATTCCTAGAGATCTAGAGCCTTCCGAGTGTATGCAACCAGAGAGAACACATACGGTGAAGCCCAAGCTCAAGCAGAGGATAACTCAAGAGGCCATCAATCCAACGTAACACCGGCCCAAAAGAGCAACTTTTTCGGGATCGTGACAAATTTTTCGTAGACAACGAAGCTGCAAACCACGATCACGAGTCACTGAGAGACGGCCTCCCGGAGTCCCGCAAGTTCAGGTCTTGGGATTCATCCTTGATTCTCTAGAGTGCCTATCCAAGTCAGAAGACAAACCCCTTAGTACCCCGCATTCTCCACTTCGTAATTCTGGAGATTTGTGGGGTTCGAATTTCAAACCGTCGATCGGGACCGCGCGGTTTTGAACTTGTATGGCTAAGTGTCTCGTTCATAGTTTTCTTTATATCCAAGTTGGGAGGCTTCTAGAAAGAAAGCAATTGAAAAGGGGAGCCGTCAGGAATCAATGCAAACCCAGCGCGGCCCGTTCGCGACTTTACCGAAAGACTCAGAAGTAAATCTACGACCTACGAGGTATCAACGTACACTAGGATGGTGAAAACCTGACGACAAACGTTTAAGGTTTGAAGGGGTCGCACGGATCATGAGTTATCTTGGTCAAGTAAGCGTGCGAGTATTGCACATCCAGACCTTCAAATTACATCGATCGCGATCGACGGCGGGGACAATGCTTGGTTAGGCAATTTTGTCTAATGCGAAGTCCCCGTACTACAACGTATATCAGAGGTGGAAACCACAATAGATTTCAAGCATTCCTACCTGGCAGTTGCGAAGCATCGAAAACCTACATGCACACCATCGTACTTACGAACATATTACAAGTTAGCCGGCGTCAGGGGCTCCGATCGAGAGTCATAACGTGCCTACAAACTCTGCCATCTCTGTTTTTGGCGACCGAAAATTGGAAATGCCGCGCCTTATAGGAGAAGAGGAGTGTCCCTCAAAGTCAGGACCAAATCCAATCACTCGAACTTTCGACGATGTTAGTCTCGGAGGCTTCATCTTGTGTCAACACAATACAGACCTTACTACAAATTCGAAGGCAGAAAAGAAATGATGAAGTCGTCGAGCATAGGCAACCAACGTCCGTCATGCACGCAAGAGCTCTCAAAGGTTAGAATCAGTGAGATAAGGGTGTTATCCTCTCTCTTAGTCCAGGGAATCTGAAACTTGCACACGTGTCACCGGTAACGAACTTCGAGAAGAAAGGTTGTAAACTGCTGCTTACTCTGTGAGAATTAACTTGCAGCTTTTTTGTCAAAATGTTCACTTTGCGTACTGCTGGAGGCACTACCGGGCGCAGTGCCTGTACTTGTGCGAGGATGATATAAATCATATAAATAGTAGTGGATGACTGATTCTGTCACTTTTGTCGTCCAGGATTCGGCATTTGCCGCCTGCACTTTGTTCTACCACGCACCAGTCCGCGGAAGAAGCTGTCGACAGGTGAGAAATCTGGTATTCCTGCTGGTCAAAGATGACAGGAGTTCTTGCTAGTCGAAGGTGACAGTCTTGATATAGTACCTCGCTCCCATTCTATCGACCACTTATATGAAGACTGAGAGCCGATTTTTTGAAAAGACAAAAAGACAACGCTTCAGTTCACGCTGCGACGCACATGTGATGTCAGGTCATGGCGAACGTTGTGTTGCCCATTGAATTCTCTACGTTGTTTCGATTTAGGTATACATTCATACACTCTGCTTCCTTTGGATATCACAGATTTGTATTCATTCGATACAAGCGGTATATCACACCACACACCTGGTACAAGTATCGATTTAGCACAACCGGATCTTTCCAACTGTGGGATCATGATCACTGGTCCGTTCGTCATAAGAGGGTGACCAGTTATTTACCTGACTGCGGTCAGATGGAGAAGTTCAATTGAGACAGTGCCGTTACTTACATGAATATGCTCCGCCTCTACGCCGCGTTTTGCGATAGCGCCAGAGATAAAGATGTGATCAAGCTGCTGTGTGTTCTGATCGTAAACATATGTATATCGCTCGACGTCAGCTATTCCAGCCACTTCGTCCATGTCTTCTAGAACCCCTTGAATGGACTCGAACACAGAACGAGTCTGGACGTATTCATTGAAGTCACCTGCAATCACAATATTGGCGGATTCGTCGATATCCAGAATGGACTTAATGAAAGACTAGAAAGGTCATTGTATATAAAGTCCATGCTCCGAGAAAGACGGTACTCACTGAGGTAACCCGAACTTGACTTGTTCGTTGTTCGATAGGGGAGTTCACTGGCGGCCGAGGATCTCCCTGGCTAGAAGTACTCCCACTCTTCGATGCAAAGTGAACGTTAACGGTGAACAGCTTTGCACCCGAGCTTGTCTCCCATTCAGCAACTAGAGGCTTTCGAGAATCTACCCAGGCATCGTTCGTAGGATCTATACGACCCGGATTTAAGCTTGCGAACAATCAGGAATGGGAAAGCGTATCTGACACCTAATACATACCTTAGGGTGGGAAGGCCATCCGAACCCGCGTAAACCTCCAGACTCTTCAGTGAAGTTCCTACGGGCATCCCCGAGACTAGTTTTAGTTTGTCGACGTTGTATCTAAGAATGCAATCAGAGCGTGCGCGCCATAGACGATAAAATGACGCTACAGATAAGCCTGCCGAATGTTTCCTCCCGGCTGTCCGCCATCCTGTCCATCTTCTGGGTTGATGTCGATGAACTCATAAGTGAACCCGCTGGCATCAGCAATGGCAGAAGCTAAAGTCAAGAGGGTCAGATTAGCATCAACGACGCCATCGTCGACAGCTCCGCTGTTATCTTGAATTTCCTGGAGGAACAAAATATCGGGCATCAAAAGGTGGTCGGATATCTGTTTTGCGACAGTAGGCAGGTGATCAGAGGTCGGCGCCATATTCTCAACCTAAAAATAATTTTGAGTAATAGGTGAGGAAACAGAGTTTACCACACCTACATTATAATCACCAAACGTAATAACGCAAGAATCTGTTTCCGACGAAATTGTTGTCGCAGGTACGTCATAATCAGGTGTAGCAATGACGGTTGGAGCAGTAAGTGGAAGAACGTAATAGAATCCGTATCTATATTCGAATAAATTGATTGAATAACAGAAGAATCCAAAGGACAACGTACTGGTATGTCACCACACCTACAATATCGCTCAATTTAACACCCAAAGCGACAGACGGATTTTTAGTTCCATCAGTCGGCGAACCGATGATCACAACTTCGGGATTGGCATCTGGGATACCATCAGGACCTAGCAAAAGAATCAACACCAGATTGTTAATTCATCTTCGGAAAAAAAGCACCAAAAGTGATGGTCAATCCCCCGCGTCCATTTAATCCAGTGACCTTCCAATCGCCGTACACCCAGAATTCTCCGTAACTATTTTCGAAATTAACAGCGACCGGACTGTTGATCTGCACGAGTTGTCCATCAAGACTCTGCCAAAAGTCCATTCCGTACACATCAGGCTGGAGAGTAGGATTTGAAGTGGACAGGAGACTCTGATTGTTGGGAACTGAGAGCCATCCGTCGTCACCGACATCCAATGACGATAAGTACTGGGTTGGGGGGATCCGGTCAACCCCGATGACGATAGGGTCGACACTGTTGTTGCTGGATAGGACCTCGATACTGGAAGGGGAGCTGATTTCGGTCAAATAAAGGTAGGCGGATCCGGACCGGTATTCAGCAACCTTTCCGCTAAGAGAGACACTATCTCCCACATCTACCTGCTTGACGGCCGAAGATCCATATACATAGATTCCGTTAGAGACACGAGTGTCATTGACAGGACCCCCACTCAAGAAGAAACCATAAGATGTCTACAAATCAGTCAGTATTATGCATATATAAGTGCCAAAAAGATGGACCTTTGCAGTAACCACTCCCGTGAGCCCGCTCACCGTTTGGCCGACCAAAGACGAGCGATAGGCCGTTCCTCGGATATCAGTGACCGACGTCGGTGTCACAGCTGGCGTCAAGGCCGCCAGAAAGAGGAGAAAGACTGAAAACATGTCGTAAATCCGCCTGTACTGGACAGATAACCATCCTTGCAGATTGCATATAAATGCATGCAGCGCCTAGGCACGAAATGCTTGAGCACATGTATCTACATTTTAGCACACCGTACTTCAAACTGTGCCTCGTGATGCTGGCCGCATGAAAAAGAAAAATCTGACGGGTGGTAAGAGAAGAGCAACATCAGTACTAGCCATGTGGCGTACCCGATTCGGGAAAGCTATGCCGCGTCGGCATGAGAGATTATCATCTTGTTATCTCTATCACTTGGTCAACTCTTGGTCCACAATCCTGAAAGTTCACTGTAAGGTGGCTTTGGGTAAAACAAAATTGAGGTGGTAATAACGCGCAACAGTCTAAATTTTACCCACGGGCCAAATTGATTCGTATCAGAACAGGGCCGTGACTTGGGAAACGGTGCAGAAGGAATGGTTGACCAAGAATGTCAACCAATAGACGAGACGGCATGGGCATTAGCACTGTTCAACATTGATGATACAGCAGAGATGTTAATCATTTTCCCATCCCACAGGGAATGCATCATTTATGCGGGCCGGTAAAGGAAAATCATCTTTGACGGTCAACGAACCGGAGATTACAAGAACAAGAATTTGAGCCTCCTGCGCTGTCTTCACGATGGACACACGCGAATCTGATTATACGTGACAGCCATCCAACAGTTGACGCAAGTCATCTCTTGCAGCTGCAAGGCCCTCGCCTGCTGTTTTCAGTTCACTCGGTATTTTCCACGGGAGCAGACGGTGACTTACCTTTCAATTGTGCTTTCGAAGAGATACGCATGTTTTCGACACCTTCGCTCTCAGGATCATCTCGTGGAGTAATCTACTGAACATGTGGAATCGAAGGACCGTCAAAAGTGACAGTCGCCTTTCCTAGTCACTTCGCCGCAGGCATTAATATAATATATCGCTGAAGCATAATCGCAAGGAAGCAAGGCAAGCCTGAGAAAGCTCGTATAAAGCGAAGAGAAAACTTGGTTCTCTCTCGCAACCTTGAGGTATCGAAAAGCTGCCTTAGCTGTTGTGCGGCGTACCAATAGTGCAGCTGGCGGTTGCTTACGCTCAAGTATGCAAGTTCGCGTGCTTCCAACACGTTGCACCATCAAACGCTTCGCGGGTCAATTTTAATGAATTTCACTCCCCAAAGTTCACAATCATGGAATGAGGAGGTAATTCATAAGTCCACGCGATTTACGACAAGCCGCAAAAGAGAAATACGCCTAACGGTGTTCATATAGTTTGATGAAAATCTGATTCCGTGAATACAATCAGCACATCCCGTTGCCGTACACAAGGTCAGCATACCTGGATGAATCCAATACAGCCATCCCCCCAAAGGGCTATTTTGCGGCTTCGACACGTCCGCTATACTGACTCCGAGACTCGGGGAACCATTGTGAGGTGAACATGTCCAGAATTCTATAACGAGCCATGCAGAAAAGGAAAGTCCGGATTGTGAAGTAGTTGATCGATATAGCCAAGTCTGCGATTTTGGTCCGGTTTCCTGGAGTGACGGTCTCTTGTTCGCACTGTCCGGCACCCGTCACCTTGGAAGCTGGGGCTGTATGTCCAAGAATGAAGACGATGCGAACCCGGTTCCATCTAGATGCAAGTCCTGTTCTTGGTCAGGGATCACTGTCAGCGGGGGCGGAAACAGGGTCACTTACGTTAATCTTGAAACATTCAGAATCAGAATAGTCAGTACAGTCACTATCATCAACGTTTGCATTCGCGGCGTCATGGACAAGTATGTAGGTTGATATGATCTCATTTAGCAAAACAGAACCCGGACATCCGCATCATGATCCAACATCTTGGGGCAGAGAGTGGCCGTTGCATCATCAAATTGAACAGATGCGCTGGAAGCGAAGAGTATAAATACTTGGTTGACGGCTTGTACCTGCTCGTACCTGGGGCTGACTATCGTGTAACGATAAAATTCTAATTCCTCCGCTGGCCAATTCCTGGATTTTCTTATTGAATGCATGAAGAAATCCGGAGGACCACACATTTTGGTACGCCAGTTGGGAAATTTTCGAATCTACAGAATCCGATTGAAACGATAGTAACGTAGCAAGTACCGTCATCCGGCCTGCCGGATTCCAGCAATTGGATCCGATGGGAATCTATGGACTAGAAAGAAAGCCCAGTAAAATAAGAAACGAGCAAAGAATAAGATCTGTACCAAGCCCACGGACCTGGGTCTCTGGACCCAACAGATTGGTTAGGTCCACCACGTGTTGGTAATTTGCCTAATTTAGTTGTGTTGAGCACAAAAAAGAAGCGGAGCAAATATATTTGGTCCCTACACAAACAATTTGGTTCTGAACATATTGCAAAAAAATCATTCATCTCTACCACTAACGCCCACGATGACGAGCACGATGTCGACGTTACCGCCGCCGTCGCACTATGCACAGGAGCGGGACCGCCTGTGAGTCTACCCTTCCTTCGATAGACGCGATTGCCTACCGGGAGTCATTGTACATGATCCGGAGTCCGAGTCCTTGGACTCGGACAGGCGCATGCATATTAACTTTCCTTGTTCGAAACGTTGTGCTGATTGTATCCTTCCTTCATGCTCCTCAAATACCCTGATGGTCCTCCATATCCCATTGTATACGACAGGGAGTACGATTTGGTAGTACGCCAGGAGCCGAAGCAGGCGCGGATGTGCGGTGTTGGTGGCAAAGGTAGCCTTGCTGCTATCTGTGATGAGAAATCATGATACTAAACTACGTTGCACAGCTGACAGACGGCCAATCGATCCACCACCAATCGTTCAGCTGCGCGTCATCGATCCACGACGACACCAACAACACGCCTCAGGTTCCGATGGCCGGCCGGCTTCACCCAGCGGCGGCAGTTATGCCCAGAGTTTTCTACAAAATCCTTATTACTTCATGTTCGCGAGTTTAGCGAAGCCAGACGATGATGCGGAGTTACATTGGTTAAAAGCAAGGCCGAAAACATCTACCCTCTTAGATTTGTTAACTAACCTGCTAGTAGGATGGCAAGACGCGATGTACGACGGGGTCTGTAGTTTCTTCCTTGTATCACCTCAAGGATCCTCAGCGGAACAACGAAGACGCGGGATTCTTTGTGTTTCCTGACCTCAGCGTCCGAACAGAAGGTAGTTACCGACTCAAGCTGAGTCTGTTCGAAGTCGTAGGGTGAGTCCATATGGTCTAACTCACAAGAGATTGGTTGGTCGGTATCTTTGTACCACTAAGTCGGAAACCTGCCTGTATGAATAGTTTGAATGCGTCGGGTTTCCCAAGCATCGTTTTCTTCTTCGCTAACAACCGTCTTCGAACACGTGCTGAACTCCTCTCTCCAGAAATAATGTACGACATTGCAAGTCTATATACTCTGCGCCATTCTATGTCTATACCGCCAAAAAGTTCCCGGGAATGGAGGGTGAGCCGTTTTGTTGCCGGGGGTGTTCATCGTTTCTCATGTTCTCATCAGAATCTACCCCCTTGTCTTGTTCTCTAGCTGACCAGGGAATCAAAATTCGTATTCGCAAGGACATTCGAGTTCGGAAGCGGCCGACCACGGTATTGGACACGAGTAGGCAAGAATCCGATCAAGAGGATGACGAAGAAGACGACTGCATCCGATGACGGAAGACGAGGGAAACATTCATCGAAGAAGAGGCAGAAAAGGACCAAAGATGGTGCAGAGCCGGCCGGGTACAGCGCGTATCAACAGCAACCTCTTGGCCCGCCGCCGCCTCCTTCGTCGCAATGGAACTCGTACCAACCTTCGCAATCCCAGTCAAATATCGATCCTTCTTTGGATGGAAACAATGTATCGATTCCGCCGCCTCCTGGAGCAACGTATACTGCAGCGCCACCGGTTTCGACTAGCGGTTCCAGCATCCCACCTCCCCAAGGCCCCCAGCATATTCCACCCCCGCCAGGTGCTACCCATATTCCGCCTCCAGTAGGCGCAACTCATCTCCCGACTCCGTCTGGTGCTACGCACGTCACATCTTCCACGCACGCTGCGCCTTCAACATCTCCTCCTGTTGCAGTCGCTCCGGCACCTGCAACTGCACATATTTCGCCCCCGCCAGGATCTCATGTTCCACCGCCCTCCCCTGCTGGTCATGTACCTCCCCCGACCCATGAGACCTACGATTCTCGTACCTATCACCCACCGCCTCCACCACCCCATTATGATCACCACTACGCGCCGCCTTACGGATATTCGCAGCCCCAACCGTACCAATATGCTGCGGGTTATCAAGGTTGGGGAGGACCGCCGCCGCCTCCGCCGCCTAGCCAGCACCCACCTCCGCCTCATCAGCAAGCGCCACCACCTCAATCGGCTCCTCCGGGTGCCTATGATCCCTATGCACATCAACATCCACCACATTATTATCCTCCAAGATACGATTATCCGCCTCCGCCTCCGCCGCAGGCACCACACCAGTATTATTACGATACTCCGTATGACCCGAGACAGCACCCACCCCCTCCGCCCCCACCTCCACAATACCAGCACCAACACCAGCATTACTATCCACCACCTCAACACAGAGAGTCGTGGGGCACTCCAGCAAGTGCTGGTGTCTGGAGTGGAAGTCCTTCCAATGCTAGTGCAAGTGGCAGTGGTAGTGCAGCGGAGTATCCGACCCCAACCAGCGCGACGAGAGAGTACAGTAGCAGTAGGCCAGCGGATTACTCTCCCGCGCCGCCGCCGCCGCCTGCAGAAGGGAAGATTCAGTTGGCGCCACTAAGAGGGCCAAGCGTTATTCAATTGAGTGAACGCGAGCGCGGAGAGAGGGTTGGGAGCACTAGCAAAGGCAAACTAAGCATCGGGAGTATTCTAAGTCGGGATGGTGGCGCTTGATGCACTGATGCATGATGATCAATCGCGTTTCTTTTGGTTTATTGTATACGTACTCGCTATCTGCTATCTGTTTTCGTTGCTACAAATGTATTATTTTCGAATAGAAGGGTGAATTGCTGTGACTCTCTGTTGATCAGACCGACTTCGTTGCTTCTCGGAAGCAGGCCTGTGGCAGCACCTGGGAAGATATCTTTCTGTGGTGGATGCATCTAGTATGGAAAGCTCAAAATAGAGTACAAGGACACGCTTATTACATTCTCATGTCAAGTCTTTGATAATGGACGATGCTTTGACACCTGAATGGGGTGAAGGAGAAGGGTGATTCCAGAAAGTGGTACATCACACATTCGGGAGTCGGGCCTGCATCGTGTAGATGTCGAAGGTCGGAAATATTTTCATTATTTCTCACTCACTGTCTGCTGATGCGGTTTCTCTTGGCGATTTGAATGGGCGTCGGTACCAATATTATCTGTGAGAAAGACGGAAAGCGCACCGGTGATGGTCTTACAAAGGGCAGGCAAAGAAGACATGAAATAACTTGTGAACTACCGCGATTCAGACGTCGAAAAAGAAAATTGCGACATGCGATTCCAAATGTTAACGTCCCAACTAGTATTGAAGAGGAATTTCTGATGTCCTTCGTTGCTCAAGTTCTGATAATAAGTAACCAGCCGATTTTCCGTGGCCTTCGACCAAAGTTGTGGCTCTTACAGGCACGGGGGTAAGCAAAGAAAGAACTAATGTCCGAGACTTCGACGACTTTTGCTGACATATTTTCTTTCGGGGAACTCTTTCATCTACTGTTAGGCCACCGGCAAAGAAAGAAATTAATATCGGAATTCTTTGGAAACAAAAAGTTCGAGATGGGATCTAACCTACCTTCAGCTTGGAGGAAATGATTTTGCATAGCAATATGCGGGTGGGATAACGTCGAACGAAGATCACATGAATCGCTCCGTCCAAAATAAGGCCCGGAGTCTTCAATAATTTCGTCGCGCTTGTCAATGTCGTCTTCTAGTGAGGAGCGTGACCAATATTGTACTTATATTAAGATAAGGTTTATTCTGTGGGGAAGCCGGCAATGATGAGACGGGCGTTATGTTGACACGGAGTAAACTGCCAAACTCAAAGGGAAAAAGTCTACCATGACAAGGTTCTGGGGGTGTTGGTGGGTTAGAGATAAGGATATTGAAGGAACTCGCATAGTGCGTAACTGCGAACATGGCAGTAGGGTAGTATACCTAGAACAAGTAAGTAATCATCCTCTCAGCGATTACTGTAAGTCAGCTTGCGACGTGAGAAGTTGGACACGCCGAGTGGTTTTCGCTTACCTTTGAAGATGACAAGCTTAGTCGCGTATATGATACCAGCCCTCCCACAAAAAAATAATGTACCCTCAAAGAACAAAAAGAGCGTCCGGAAAAGGAAAGCCGAGTGGCGCGTGGCGGTCAATTGAAATAGCTGCGATCACGTGGTCACGGAACCGTCGTTCGGCGGATTCCGAATCTCGACTCATCATTCACGACGACGTCCCTCAGCGCGTCGAGTATCCCCTGGCTGCGCGCAATGCCACCCGGAACGCCTACAACTCATTTCTGGTTGAATACCCTACCATACGCGTCGACGAATTCACGACACCGAAGGATGACCGACGAGCTCAAGCTTTATCTTCTCACCCACACCCACTCGGACCATATTGTAGGGTTGCAAGCGAGGGGATTTGGAGAAACTGATTTACTGTTCACACGACTCGAAGGAAATGCTGCTAAGGCACGAAGTATACAAAGAGCGTGCTCTACACGGTGCCGAGTTGCGGGCGGAGAAACTGAGAACGTATGGACATCTGAAAATTGACCCCCTGGTTGGCAAGGACGGTGAGGTGTACCACCAAGGCTCTAGGGACTTGTTGGTGAGTGCATTGTGCTCTATCCCTGAGCTGGCTGACGGTGGCGAAATCTCCGCAGAAAGTTATGCCCCTCAACAGCCCTGTTCATATTGAGCTTGATGCCGAAAACTCGGTAACCGTCACTGCAATTGACGCAAATCATTGTCCGGGCTCGGTTATGTGTGTTTACCTCCAATAATTCCCACGAAGGTGTCCCTAAAGCATTTGCAGGTATCTCATCGAAGGCACAAAAGGAGCCGTTCTTCATACAGGGGACATTCGTGCAGAGTCTTGGTTTCTGGAATCGTTGAAGCGCAATCCATTTTTGCAGCCTTATTTTTCAACCTCCGGAGGCACAAGGAGCAACATAATTAAACCACTCGAAGCAATATATCTCGACACTGCCTGCGTAATGAATATTGAGGAGGTTCCCACCAAGGTGTGTACTTTTTCCCAACATTATGACCTAGACTCAGCAAAAATAGGAAAATGCTGTCGATAGTCTCGTCGCCCTTATGCAGCTTTTACCGGAATCGACCCACTTTTTCATCAATTCCTGGACTTGGGGCTATGAGGACGTCCTGAAAGCTGTCGCTCGTGCATTTGATTCTCGCATTCATATGGACAGGTACAAACATGCGATTTATTCGCATCTCGCGAACGATCCCCTACTACGCTCGATTTGCACACGCGATGCAGGCTCGACTCGTTTCCACGCATGTGAGCGATTTGAACGGTGCGAATACGTTGATGTCCCTGCAAATCGTCCCCTTGCTGTAAGCACGAGTGGGAACCCAGTGGTATACATCAATCCCGTGAGTACGATGAACGAGGAACAATGGACTGCGTACCAGCATAACACTAGGCTACGCATCGTGGAACAAGAGGAACCTGTAACTTGTTTGGTGGGCCTCTGATACTGTCTCCATATAACATCTACTAATTATGGACTGCAGCTGGTGCCTCTCGCTCGTCACTCGCCCTTTGCCAGAGCTACAGCGATTTGTTTCACTTTTCCGCCCGAAGACCATCATTCCGAATACTCTTGATCCTTCCCTGAATGGTCTTGACTGGACTGGAATCCGTAATGTCTTCTCCAGCTGCCTTTCTAGCCGCGAGTCTTCGACGCCTGCAGGTGATCATGACATACGTCCTCTGAGCGACCTATCCATGATGAAGACGGAGTTGATGTTGCCCATAAGAACCTGGTGGGAGACCAAGCCGAAGAGGCTGCGAACAAATGGGCGGATGGTCGCGGGAAACGACGGAAGTTAGAAGTGCTGAGATCATGGCTGGGACTACCGCCACTGCAGGCAATCAATCCTATACACGTGGAAGAAGAATCTCAGGGCTACGATTCCAGTTCAGATGCAGATGATGAGCGAGGCAAAACTGCTCATCGGCTCTTTGCGCATCAGGCAGGAATCCAGCTGGTGGAATCACAGGTCAACTCTTCACCCCTACCTCCGTCATCGCCTCCAGAACCAATAACGCGATTTACCCCGCCCCAACTTTCGCAACATCCTCAGCTTCCTTCTCCCACCTCATCCTTCACTGCGGTCAAACATGCACTCGATCCGTCTCCGTCGTCCGCTGAACGCCCTGCCAAAAGGCCAAGATTTGAAGAACCTGAACCGAAAGCCCAACCATCTATACCTCAACGTCCAACTCCGCCTCCAGTAGCTTCGTCCTCTCGTTTACCTCCTTCAAGGCCGGCTTATACCTTCCGCGGAAGGAAGCCGATACTGGATGAGCCGTCTGATGATGATTCGTCGGATGATTCAGCAGATGAACGTGGACGTACGGCTCATTTTCTGTTCGGGGGAGGTGATATGAAATGGGATGATGATGATGATTTTGAACCATCTCAAGCGTGAGCCTCAAGAAGCACAGTCCGAAATTCCTTTGCTTGAAATTCAAAATGTTATGCAAGATAAAGATCCTCTCAAAACCCCGACGACGGCGAAGCCTCATGTACATTCAATTGATCCCATCACTCCTCAACGACCCTTAGTGGCGTTGTCCATTTCTCGGCAACCTTCAAAGCAACGAACAAGACGAGGTTCAAGTCCTACCAAAGAAGTACCAGAGTCTCCTCAATCGCCAGTGTTGTCCCCTATCAACATGTTCATGCATTCGTTTTCTCCAAGATCATCAACAAATCAACAGCTCCCGAACAACGTTAAAATCCACTCTGATGGTGCCTCTTTTTTAAAGTTGCAGAAAAAGCCATCAGCGCGCAACGCCGATGGGGATACCATCAGCGGGCAAATCAGAAGAGTTACGGTATCGACGCCGTCCCCACGACTCTCACCAAACGCGAAGCAATCCTCACCGTTGGATAGCCCTGTCAAGAGGCGGCGTACAGCACCTTTCTTCAAAACCTCAACACCAGAAGCAGCCCAACTAGCCGAACGTATTCGACTCGCAGAGCGAATCTCAAAGTCCAATCCAGAACTAGTATCACCAGCGTATCCAGGGAGACAGCTGAAATTGAAGAGTCGACATTTGCAGATGGTTGGGAGGGAACAAATTCAGGAGTGGCGTGCTCAGCAATGGAGGGAATATGATGAAAAGTTGAGAGAACTCGCAAAGAACGAAGTGATGCAACCGCTAAATTATGATAGGATCGAGAGGATAAAGAGGGGCATTGAGGAGGCGATGAAAAAGAACGAGAAAGTGTCAACGGCACTGCCAATGCTTATGTGTACGGCGACAGAAAGCCAGTTAGAGGATATGGATCCGCGATACATGTTTTAAGTGTCGCGTCGCCTGTTTGATGGCCACGGGTTGTTGGAACGTAGATAACTTATTATTATAACAGAACCGTAAGTTATAGTTATATATTTACAGTGTTTAGTATGTATATACTTCCTGTGAACTGTCGAATAAACGGTGTTCAGTTCCCCGTCCGATCGACTCGGAGCGAGTCAAATGGGTTCAAACATACTCCTGGCCGTCGATCCGGTGACTTTCACACCGTTTCCATCCATCACCGCCGTAGAGGTCACCGCAATCTGCCTCGAAAGGCCCATATACTGCCTTTACTTCCGTCCAACTCCCAATACTTCACCTTCGTAGCTTTCACCGCAGAGAATTGACCCTTCACCCCATATCCGCAGATACGACTGGATCGTTTTATCTCTTCCACTGAATTCGACCAGGTGTGGCTGCATCTTTTCCCAGTCTAATATGTAGAATGGGTAAGCCATATGCAATGGATCAGTGAGTGTCGCCTACTTTGATCAGTCAGCGGTTGAGCTCGTGCGATCAGTTTGTGTGAAGTCAATCGCGCGAGAGACATTCTGTCGATTTGATAGCCCCAGCCAAGAGCCCTTAGACGCTTGATGATCCTATTGACGGGCGATTAATCGAGGAAAGATGGAAAGCAATAAGGTGCTTACTCGTCGAGTCTCTCCTTGCGGATGGAAACAAGCTGGGCCTCTCGGGCTGCTTGTCGTTTCTCATCCCATTTCTTGTATTCTTTAGCATGCTAAACGTATCGTTAACCGTCTGAATTAAAACAGAATAGTAGCTTTTGGAAGTACCTGAAGCTTAGCAAGTGTGATATCACTTTGTTTTTGGACCCATTTACTCAAGGCGGCGACTGATCGATTCCGAAGCTTTTTTCTTTCCTTCTTCAGTCGCTCCAAAGTGGGAACATGATAGAATTTAGCCAAGCCTGAACCTGCTTTCATTCAGTACTTGAAATGCATAATGAAGAGGTCTTTAGGTACCTTGTTGCGTAACATATTCGTATGGAACAATTGGCATCAGCTCTAGCGGAGGGTGATTTGTCGTAAACCTTAAGAAATCTAACGTGAGTTGCGAAATCCTGTTTATGAGGAGTTTATTACTTTGCACTTTGTTGGTATTTAGGCATTTTGAACAGCAACGAATGCCTAATGCCCATTGGACAAGAGTCGTGGTACGGAGACAAAACTGGATACAATATTAGCAGGATATTCAGGTTTGTAAGAGGCAGAAAATTAATGAAATCTACCTCGCAATGTTTGTCGAAGAAAAGGCTGGCATATCGCGGCTCAGAAATGCCCGCAGGTTTTTCAGGCGAATCCGGTACATTGTATAGAACAGTCCGCCACAGATTTTTGGCCTGCTCTTCGCGAAGGAGAAGATCCCGTAGATATTTGTTTGTGCGGACTGTCTGAAGTAGGCTCCAGGGATCCAAGTTAGAGAAAATCTGGAGACAATAGATTAAGCGCTCATAGGTTAAGGAAAGTCATTATGATGAAGCGTACCAGAAAGAACACGTCCGAAGGCATCCTGGTGTCTGTCAATGGAAAAACATTTCTATTGACTCTTGGTCGCTTTTGACTTCTATCGGGGCTACCCGAAGCATCAAGGGTGCGCTTTTTGCCCCGAGTGAATATTACTGATGAGGGCTGGGAAGAAGACGACATGTTGTAGTCAATGTGAATGGGAAATAAAGATACGAGACATACTCAAGCATTTATATGGCCAACGATCCTCTGCTCTAGTAGGGAGAAGAAAGGCATCACTGATAATCCACAAAGGCATCATACTTGCATAGCAAGTGAAAGAACACATGTTGGGACATGTGATCAGCCACATCCACAGTATGAAAGAAAGCGGATATTTTCGTCTGATTGCCGCCTGTGATTGGAATGGTACGAGTCAAAAACACAAAAGGCTCTAGTTTCGGGGAACTGATGAGATCCTCTTTCTGGGTTTACTCATGGCTGGCATGAAGTCTTGACATAACCTTATCCCAGGGATCTCTCCGAAGGGTCCCGGCTGAGAGAAAGAGATCCCATGATGATAATTATCGCCCAGATCATTGGCTGATCAAAGTGAAAAGTGATTGGGAGCCAAAGACCCAGGATAGAGCTTGCGGTAGGCTTAAATTTTTAATCGCATCAAAAGCCTTCAGTACACGTACCGAAAGGTGCGTAACACGAAGGAAGGAAGGCTGGACTTTCAAGGCGATTTTGAAGAAAAAGAGAGAAAGCCGGCAGCGCGGATCGGGTGGGCGTTGATGCCCAAATCAGGTTCAACTTCCGATCGCCGAACGGCAAGTCGGCTTCCTTCCTTCTTACCATCACTACCGTCGCAACCTCCGCGGATACCTCCTTCACTGTGACTTCTACGTCCTCCAGCGGTCAGATATTCAGATAATTGTTGTACTGCTCATGCATATCTATATTGGATATAGCGTTACTTTCAAAATGTCCAGTCGCCGAGCTCAAACACGACGGAACACTTCAACATCTAGTACATCTATTCAACCGCCTAGGCAAAAGCATTCCACAATGAAAGGCGAACAAACTTTGCTTTCCAATTCTCCCGATTTAAATGACTTCTTGGACGAATACGCTCTGCAGTCTCCAACTTCATCTGGCGTCATGACCTCTACAAACTATCTCAGACTCCGCTTGCATCTCCAGCGCGTGCCTTCTTCGCGGATTGACTTCTTTGTTGAGCCTAGTTTGCAGGACCGATATTTCACTTATTCCCCGGACGTCGACGCCCTCTTGTACAAGGGAATCCGTGTTGCATCACAAGATGAGATACCCTATATACTTTCTCAATTCATCTTCAAGAAGGAATCGACACGCTCCGTGCATACCAGGATTTCAAAGGAATATTCTTTCATTCCGTATGAAGTTGTGGCGGAATACTACAGACGATTTCCTCGACCATCAGGCCGTAATATCAGAGTCTCGAAGAAAAAGAAGAGGGATTCGCTCATGGTCTCAGAGAAGGAGAACTACCCTCTTTCCAGGAAGGGCATGACTAAGCTTTCTCCCTCTACTGCTCTGTCTCTTTCATACCTTCCTTTTCCCTTCGCGAATTCTCTCGTCACCACTAATCTGCGTTATCTTTGAAGCACAGTCGTCGTCGTAGCGCCGGAGCCATTGGACGTCAAGGTCATTTGTTGCCTTTACGTTCAATTTCTAGGTCTTCTGTCAACGACTCAGAGGTTACGTCAGAGGTTGAAGTAGAGGAAATCCTCCTGTCGCTAGGCTAGGTTTGAATTCTCCTTTTCCCGTAGATTTATCGTTATCTGACTGTGATTTTCTGTTATCTATAGATTACAGTCCATATCAGAGACTAGATATTCGAGGGCATCGGCGTTATTTATGGACTGTCTACAGTCTATGAGCCAGCTTTTCTCGTGTTCGTAGTGCAGCATCATTGTATCTGTTTATTTTTCCACTAAAACGTACTACTACACACAAAGAACAAAAGTAGAACGGTCTGTGCCGGATCGGCAGTGCACAAACCTGTGTTCGGCATGCCGTGTAACATCTCAACAATCCATCATGGTCGAACTACCTCAAGAGCTCATCGAGAAAATCATCGACATCGTCAGCCAGCATGAGACATCGCTGCTACTCTCGTCAAATCCCATCAAGTCTTTGAAATCCTGTGCACTTGTCGCACGAGCTTTTCGCTTTCGATCTCAGTACCATCTGTTCCATGATGTTTCCCTCCTCAATACCCGACATTACATGCGGTTTCTCGTCATTTGTGAAGCTTCCCCTCATATTCCATCACTCGTCCGGTCCCTTCATCTCGCGCAAAGCGACAGGTCTTCGAATGTGGCGGAACGAGAAGTATGGGGTCTACGCTCTATTCTTTCAGGCATGGTAAACCTGCGCAGTCTCCGCCTCTTCGATTATGGCAAAATATATAGGTTTCCCTATTCCTCGCTACCACCTTCCCTGACATCAATCGAGATTCGGGATGTCGAGTTCTACGACATAGATGACCTATGCGCGTTGCTGAATTGTCATCCACGGCTTCGGACGTTGAAGCTTGGCGAAAACATCAGTATCAGGGCTTCGGGGGAGCAGGATAATATGGAACTGAAGCATAATCTTTATGTTTCCGGTCCATGTATCGAGACCTTGGATATCAGTGCCTACTTCAACTGGTATATATTGCAAGCCGTGATGGAAAACTCTTGCCACCGATTTCCTTTCGATCTACACCATCTCCGTAATCTCACTCTAGCAGTCACATCGCCGAATGTCCATCGCTTTGTAGCGGCCATTATGACGCCCGTTGCAAGATCGATTGAAAGACTGGAGCTGAATATTTTCAGTAAGTGCTAACATTACCCGATACCATTCATTTGATTGCTCAAACCACGTTATTTCTCAAGAACGCGGGTTCAGTCTAGGGCAGCATGGCTCTATCTCCCAATCCAATCCCTCCCTTCCTTCCTTACCCCGTCTCCGCTCCATCAGCATTTATTATGAAAGCCCCAATCGATCGCTACTGGGTTGGATAGCTTCAAACATTTTCCGCCGTGCGCCCACCCTACAAGAGATTACGCTGACCGTCTCTCTTCTCTCAACCCGCTTGACGGACGGACACATCATGATTGACGGTGAAGGCATATGGATGCGCCTGGATGTCGTTATCGCTGCGCATCCTACTATCCAGTCTTTCGTGATTGATTTGAGCGTGTTCAGATCGACGAAAGACTTGGACTGGAGAGAAATGATGACGCTGTCTATCCAGAAACTGCTTCCAGCCACGGTCGCTAGGGAGATTATGTTTGTTTCGTATGGGGGTCGCAAGCATAAAGTTCAGTAAACATTTTATTTCTACTAGGTCCCGACCTCTAGGCTAGAGGTCGGGACCTAGAACACAATGCACTGGCATGACAGATAAACCCCATCTTCTTTCGTAATTTCTTCTACAATGTCGTATACGTCTTGATTTACTTTACCTCCTTGTAGTTCGTGGAGTTATGGTCCTGTATTGTTCGCGTTTCTCGTTCTAGTGTCGATGTACTTGATCTGGATGATATTTAGACTTCCAATTGCCCCCGGGTCCGACAGTAAGATTTCAAACTACTGGGTTCTTCAAGTCAGACGTCTATGGCGTTTCCATCCGATATTTACCCTTTAAAAAATGGCAAATGACCTGTCATCCGATCTGTAGGGACGAGTAATTGAAGACGAACTAATGAAACGCCACATCGGAATGCGTCCCGATGCCTGCGTCTTATCAGCGAATGAAATACAGGATAACTTGCCAGCCGAATAAAAGCGTGTTTTCTTCATCCGGACCTGCCTTGTTCCATCCCACGCTTGGTCATCCTATCTAAACTCAAACGCCCCAACCTTAGGGTTCTTTCTCTCACCAATGTCCTGTTCCACGTATTGCGCTGAGTATGAAAGAGAGGCGTTCTTGGAAGAGCGCCGTCTCAAGGGACGCGTTTATTACCGCAATCGAAAGTTCAGACTCGAGACGCAGTGCAATCCTCAGTGGACGGATAAGGAGTACTTTGCAAAGACGCGCGACCACGACGCGTTCATCGCCCAGTACATCCGAGAGCAGCGGGAGCTCATCTCGCGTCGTCTAGAGCCGCTGAAGCAAAGGGCCGAACAAGAGAAAGCGCGAGAACAAGGGCAGCGGGAGGCGAACGGGGGATCGCGCTTTTATAAAAGAGGAGGTTCAGGATCCAGACAGCGACAAACCGAAGAAGAGCGGCTTAAGGCATGGTGGGAATGGATCAGCGAACTGCGGCGGAAAAACGAAGAGGAAGAGAAGAGGAAAGGCTTGGAGGAGATAAGAAGACGTCTGGAAGAGGAGAAGAGGAGACGTGCTGAAGAGGATGAGAGGAAACGCACAGAGGAGGAAAATGCGCGAAGACGGTGGCAGAAATATAAAGAAGCGCGTAGAAGGGCTCAAGCGAAGGAAAAGGAGAAGGAGCGAGAGCAGGGTTCCCAGCTTATTGAGAAGCGATACAAGATGTACGATGAAGAATGGTCCAAGTTGAAGCTGAAGACTCAGACAAAGGAAGGCCTGCGCTTCAGCGACATTCCCTGGCCCACGTTGTTCGATGCTACTCATCCAGCGGCCGTGACTCCGGCAGTCGTACGGTCTTTCTTCACGGATCCGAAGTATATCGCCGAAAAGCATTGGCTGTCGCCCAAAAAACGGTTCCATATGGAACTCTTGAGGTGGCACACTGACAAGTTTAGTCCGGTGGTGAAAAGCGTGGTAGACGGGGATCGCCAGGATGTATACGATGCCGCTGAAGTGGTTGTTAGGGTGTTGAATGAACTGAAGGCTCAGTACCAGTAATGGTTATGGCCGTAAAGAAGAGTGTTTATTTCTTGGATAGCGAACTTGAAAGGCGAAATAGATGGTCGAGGTGGGACCAAATGCTATCTTGTACTATAGTTGTCGGTGTGGTTGCGGGCGTTCGCGTGTATTAGTGCATTTTCAATAGGCAATGATTTACCCTTTCTGGCCCAAAGGCTTCAAGTATGTTTTGGTAAGGAACCTGGGTTCTTGCAGACCCCAGTGGATAGTGCATATGTCGATGCTTGCATTGGTCGACTCTCGTATAAGGAGCTTTACAGCCGGGTTAGATACCCAGCATTCACTGATATTGAAATTGTGACGAAAGTCAATTTCCGTGAATCAGCATGAGCGGCTCAACATCATCAAATATAAATAGTCGGGCGGCGCTGTAAGTGACTGCCAGGGATATCAATCCAAAAACTCACAAAAGCTATGACATCAAAGGTATACTGCCAATTTTGGTCACGTTCACCTCTGAAAAGCTTCTCGGGTGGCACTAAACTCGTATCGAATCAGATCGAAGCTCATCGATCTTCAAGAAGTAGGAGCCACTGATAATGAGTTGCCTCATTCTTGCCGCCTATCTCGATCCTTCGCTCTAATGTCTTACTACACCCAGTCCTCGTCTTCATACTCGCCATCAGCCGAATACGAGCACGAGAGGCTCGACGAATATAAAAGACTCCAGCAAAGAGTGTACTATCGCAACAAGAAGTTCAAAGACGAGGTCAAGTGGCACCCGTCCTGGACCCAGGAAGAACTCCTCGCCCGTCAATACGAACACGCCGCCTACATTAAGGAATATGTCGCCGGTCAAGAGAAGTTTATCAAAGAAAGGCTTGAGTCTCTCAAGCGAGCACACGAAAGATATTGGCAGCAGAACATGCATGACGGTACCTACACCCATGGGTTCGAGAGCAAATCTTCCGAGTACTTGCATCAGGAGTTTTTAGAAGACAGAAGACTCAAAGAGAGGATTCGCTATCGCAACAGCAAGTTCAAAGAGGAAGTTGCAAGGCATCCAGAGTGGTCACCTCAAGAGCTCCTTAAACGAACACACGCACACGAGGAATTCATCAGCGACTATACTGCAAAAGAGAAACGGGACATAAAGCACCGCTTGAAGGTGTTTGAGGAGGACGAAATGCGACGCGCAAAAGAGGAGACTAGGAAACGGGCTGAAGATACATTCAGGGACGAGCGAGCAGGGCAAGGGTGGTACCAACAACAACAGCAACAAGAAGAAGACGCGAAGAGACGTGACGAGAAAGCTTATGCTCGACAGCAGTGGTACAACTGTTTCGATGGAGACAAGAAGTACTACGAATCCCAGCAGAGCCGAAGGGAGGACGATACCCGAAGGCGCGCGCAAGACCGGGCCCAGGATAACAGGCGACAAACTTTCGAGAATGAGCGACAGAGAAAGGAGAAGGAATCAAAGGAAAGACAGCAGAAACAGGCGGAGGAAAGAGAGCGCCTTAAAGAACTGCGCTACAAGTCGTATGAAGACGGTTGGTCTTCTGGAGCTGCTTGGAAGACGAAAACAAACATTCTCTTCAACGATATTCCCTGGCCGACGCTGCATCACCCCCAATCCGCAGACGCTGTCACTTCCGAAGCAGTGACAGCTTTTTTCAATGATCCCAAGTACCTTGCTCCAGCACACTGGATATCGCGCAAGAAACGACTTCGCACAGAGCTCCTGAGATGGCATAGCGACAAATTCCAGGCCGTGTTGAAGAACGTCGCATACAGCGATCAGTTGGTTGTTCATGTGGCTGCAGAGGTGGTTGTCAGAGCGCTGAATGAATTGAAAGGGTAGATTAGAGTTGAAATTTTTATAATGCGCCGTTACTTTGAAACTTCTTGCTAGAAGATTCGCTTTTTTTTTGGGAAGAAAGTTAGCTTACTTGTCTGGGTTCATGTTGGTGTTAAGGGAGAAGCCGGGCCGCGGTGCGCGAGTGGCTGTGCTCTTTACCAAGGTGACGGTAGTTCGGTCCGGAGTCCGAACACACTCGCCGTCACTGCGGCGACCACAGCGAACTGGCATGATTGCGCTCTGAGGGTTCGTCCACAATGTTTTTATTTCGATTATATACACACTGACTGTTGATGCCGTAGACTGATGGACATGCAAGAAACATTCCTCAATCCGGGACAGCTGCCTGAAGATATCGTCGTCGGCGTTTTCCACGAGCTTCTGAAATGCAATGATGTAGAAACCTTAAGCTCTTGTGCAATAGTTTGCCGCTCGTGGTCGTGCATTGCACAAGATGCTTTGTTCTCTGGGTTCGACATCATCCTTGAATCTGCTTACGTTCCCGTGTACAAGCTTCTCAGTTTTTTACCCGTCCCTCGAAGAATTCACACTGTTGATAACTTTGTTGACTTCATCGGTGCTAACCCTCGGCTCGTAGACATGGTAAGGAACCTCCGACTTCGGGTTCCTGCTAGAACTGCACTCTTGGAGGTTGACACAAACGTCGGGCCTATCTTCTCCGTCGTTCGCCGCCTCCACAAGTTGAGGTCGTTGTCGATAGACGCGAAGTGTTTCTGTGGTATAGCACCAGACGCCGTTCTACCCCAGAGTGACACTATGACCAGACTCTTCCTCCGTGACGTCGCCTTTCCTCATGTCGGAAAGATCATGGAATTGGTATCTTCCGTGCCCAAGTTAGAGGATCTGTCATTGATCGGTAGTGGGCCAGCCGCTGTTTTTGAAGAGAACGTTGAAACTCCCTCCCATCTGACTCTTCAGCCGCCTCTTCGACGTCTTGTCATTCATATGGGTCATATGGTGATTGCCAGCCTCATAAACGGCACATTGCTCCGTATCAACGGTTTACGTCATCTGGATATACATTTTGTGGATGGTCTAAGCGAGGATGGTATACATTCTCTCGTGGAATTGATAGGCTTGAATGAGTCTACTCTCCAGAGTCTGTGTCTTCTAGATGGACTTCCACGTGGTGTGTTTGTTTTCTTCTTGAGATACTTACGGCTAATTCCTCTCGTAGATGTCCTCATGTCGCTCATTCCAAATCTCAGGCTACGTAGCCTCGAGGTTTATCCCTTCCGCGGCGCCGTCCTCGAACTACTGACCGTCTTGCATGACACATTTGATTGCATAGCTGACAATACTCTTGAAAACATAACCATAGTCATTGACGGAGACTACCTTCTCTACGAACTCGGTGACCACTCCGTGGCATGGGAACGTTTACAGACATCACTACGCAGCTTTCCGAGGCTCCGAATGTTCTGCGTTCTCTTAACGAGAGAACCGTACGAATATGCCATCACAGATCTGACTTCCTCTTATGTGACGGTGGAAGACTTCAAGGTACATCCAGCATTCTCAGAATTGAGGAAGGATGGCAAAATGACAGTAGGCGAGAAAGGTACAGCTGATAGTTCTTTTCTCTCTTCTTGAAAACTCATAGCGATTTTCTCAGTTTATTGATAACATTTTTGTCTACCAATGCAAACGCACTTGGAACTTGAAGCTCCAGGTGGCCTACTCTCTCCTTTCTTTTCGGGCGTTAAAGGTATTGATTCAAGGGCGGACATGGGTCGAGATGGATCATGTTTCATATATGCAGTCAGAGAGGCAAGGGCAATATACACGTTGTACTTTCCGCATCAAACCTCGCTGATTTAAATACCACCTAGCGGGACTAAAGTCTGGTAGAAATTTCAGATAGATAATAGCCTTTGTATCATGCTACGAGGCGAATATACGTCACTTGCAGTTATGGACCCAAATTGGGAAGTTTCTCTGCTCTCACTCCAACTACGACTCCTCTGGCAACCGAACACTCTACAGCGCACTCTAAGAAGCTATAGTAAGTACTTTCCCCGCTCTGAGTGTCTGAGTTTCTTTCGTGCTAATGATATTCAAAGCACCCCACCATGTCGCTGGCGACATCTAGCACATCCTACAAGCCTCACACACGAGAAGCAGAAACAGAAATCCAAGATGATTCTTGCGCCTCGCTCAGAGCAGATTTGCTGAAAGACGCGTTTGCTGGAGAACAACTTGAGCGACTTGAAGAAGGAATAAAAATGCATCACATCGCCCTTCGCCTCCGCTGCTGTCTAGCCTCTGTCATCTCGTCTCGCCTATCTCAGTATCAAAGTAACGAACAACTTTTCGAGGTAGACTACCTAGGCACTCCATCTAGCAGGAAAGACGACCTCGACGCCGTGTCTCCGTGTTCTCTCGGCGCCAATCCGGAACTTCCTCAAGGCGTTCGTTTTTTCGAAACTGTTCATCAATTGCGCGCAGGAACAATATCGCTTCCCGTCTGTTACATCTGCTCCTCTTCCTCGAAATTAGCTATTTCCTCTATACGTTCGACGATCCATTTCGAAGATGATGAAAAATCGCTGCAGTGTGGATGTTCGAAGGCATGGTCTGGCTAGTATTGTACCAGATAATCAAGGACACCTGCTCGGATGCTAGTATACTTTAATTTCTGCATGCGATCAATTGCTCATACCATTCACTCATTCTTGCTAAGCTAAATCATGATTTGAGTCGTAGGTAAACAAAGGTATCTTCTAAGCATTAAATAGATAGTTATACCCGAATCTATAGATGAGAGATATTGTTAAATTTCTAGAAATACAATTATGCCTTGAATATCGTGATAGTCGTAAGAGAATGGTGCCAGCTCATCTCTGATAAGTCATATGCCAATCCCATCGTTTCTCTCTTCGAAGTTCCAATGCCATCCTCTACCTTTCCACTCACGTCGTGGCTCAGCACCTTCAGGCCATTGAACATCACGTAACCGTCCAATAAATCGACTCTTAAATCATCCTCAACCTCTCCAGAGCCGCGCAGAAACATACGCTTGGACTTGGCAGCGAAAATCGTGTTCCGATCGTCCATAGTCAAAGTCTTCGTTCTCTTCTTGCTGATCCTGGCATAGAAGTAGCCACGTATTCCTTCGAGCAGTTCTTGTATCGTGGGAGAGTGTTCGAAGTGTATCTTGGAGAACCTAGGGTGTGAATGTACGACGACTTCCGTCGCGCCCAGGCATGTCGGTACGTCGAGCCTTGGACCAGCTCCGGAACTAATACATGAGAGCAGAGACACTGTTCTTTGGGAAGGCACATCGAGGATGGACCAGAGAAGCGGTTGAACAGTCATCAGGTCCGTGTGAAGCTGGTAGGAAGGGGCCTGAAGAAGTGAGGAAGCAAGGCTTCTGAGGTCAAACGAGTCACTTTTGGGCCGCTCCTTTGACGAGGATTTGGACTTGTGTGGGGTCACATTGAAGAGTTCTACCGGCTGGGAAGATTTTAGATCGAGAGAAGCTCTCTTTCGATGAGAAGGTCTTGTCGCGACGACCGGGAGAGGAGATAGTTCGACAGGAGTGAGATGCAGGGTTGGCTGAGTCGCTGGTTCATGACTACTACCTGAGGTTTGATTCCACTGCCACTGCCAGCCATTCCGAGTATTATGCCACCGTCCTCGCGGATTGGTCCACCTTTTCTCGTTCTGGTCCCATTCCCAATTGTTGTCGTCGGAGGTGCCTGCCTGAACATTTGACTCTTGCTCCGGCTCTAACCACGGGTTCGGGGGAGGTTGCCATCCCCCTTGAGGATCAATCCATGGCTCTCCATCGGCATTTAACTTGACCTTTCCGAAGGAGAATGCAGCGCGTCGATGTGTCTGACGCGATCCCGAACTGGAAGCATGCCGGTGGTGAGACTCCGACCATGGCTTGTACAATGATGCCACCGTTGAACCCCGACGGGGGTACGGATACGATCGAGAGCAATTTGTTAAGGATGATCCGAACGCTGTACCATGCTTGTCAATAATTGCTACAGATAAAGCAGACCAACGCGTACCAGGAGTCTCGTGAAGCCGCGCAGCCTGTGCTTGAACCTTCCGTAGGATAGATTGAGTAGGAAAGCGTGTACGATGGCGAGGTATGAATCTCGGAACGTGATTAGGATCTACTAGCCCATGGCACGGAATAGGAAAGGTGGTAAAACTGCCGAACTGTACACCTTTCCTGTGGGGCATTGGTCGATTTCGAAGAGCTGGCAGCAGAGAGAGGAAGGTGGAGGGCAGGAGAAAGGTAATGGTCAAGCTCTGGCCACCACCTTTCTGTCTCAGATAAATTGCGACACACAAAGCAAAATATCATTGTGCAAAAAAAAAAACAATTGTCGTTAGTAGACCAGTGGCGTTCTACGGTTCTAGCCGCTCTGGCGGTGGCTGTTGCTGTCACATCATGTGATCGTGGTCACACACGCGACCTCCCGTCGGTCCCGAGAATCGGCGGTGATCGGAGAAATCAGACCTGCTCACAACGTAAGCGAACGTAAGTCGTAAATGGGTTTGATAGCTAAACTAACCTAGTGGTATTTCATTGACGATCGTCCTGTTTGTGGATTTGTTAACCAACTCTGGTGCCTTCCGTAATGCATTATGCAGATGGGATCGTTAACTTGATGTGCCCCGTGGATAAAGGAGCTCGAGGCAATATATAGTAAACCCAACGATTATTGTCAGAAAAAATATACTTTCAGAGCTGGTGTTGTCTGCTTGATTGACGTTTTTAAATATATAACTGGGAGGGGTTCTGATATCCTGGTACTGGCATCTGACCACGTCGTCAGAGAATGATCAATATCAAATTAGAGAGGGGGAAAGGATGGATGATGACATCCAGAAAGATTATGTAATTACTCGCATGAAGATTGGTTGATTTCGCGGTTGGATGTTGCACTTCATGTTTGTCATAGCGATATTGTTTATACCAACATTCATACATTGCGTTGAGAAATTCCACTGCTCAAGCTGTAATTTTCATAGGCTGGTAATAGCTCTAGCCTGTGGGAGACATACCGTTAAGCGTGACGTTGCTGTACGTCCAAGCAGCGTGGTCAATCAAGTTAATTATAGATCTTTAGTTCCGCGAGGGTCTATGAAGCGGTTTGCCAGGCTAAATTTAGCTATAGGTACATACCCAGGCACCAATCCACAGCTGCCATTTAAATTCAGTCATCTGTCTTCCAGAAATGTTATAACTTTCTGTTAGTCCTTCATGTCAGATGCCCAAGTTGATAGAGACTTTTTGGCAAGAAATTCACGCAAGCGAGGTGAAGAAACTGTAGAGAGTCCGCGATTCTCAGGTGGAAGTAGGCAAAAACGGAGAATTTGCTCCAATGCCTCGCGCTCCGGGCGTAGTACGGTTCGGAGGTAAACATATCATGCCGTCCTCGGCACGCTTAAAATATCTGTCCCTGCGATCGTTGATCGGTTCTATTTCTATCTTTGACAATTGCGCAGCTATGGGCTAAAAACTGCGCTCCTCAAATCCCTGGGAAGACTCGAAAGGTCCTGTAACTCCAGCGTATTGAAATAGATGGCTGCTGTGTTGTGCTGTCTCTGCCTCGAACTCGCTGGCAGGAGTGAACAGTCGTCGCTATGGTCAGTTTCATCGAACTTCGTTGCTACTTTCTCCGAGCTGATAATCTTGATCAACTGCGCTGCGCAGATCTAGCAACACCGGCACACGACCGTCGCAGCTCACACGACCGCTTTTCTCCGGAAACATGTTATCCTGGTCTTGGTGAGGGTCGCTTCGTGGAAATACTCTCTACTCAGTACGTGTCATGACCTTTGGCGCATACCCACATTCCTCAGGCCACCCTTCAGACGAGATGGACACGTCAACCTTGCCAGCGACAGCAGGAGCTGCCTGGCGAAATAAACTGACCAAGACTATCCTAGGTCACGACTACTCTGTCCTCCCTCAGACCTCCTTCCCACCTCCCAGGCATTCCTTTAGACGTTCGCGGGTGTTCTTGTGCTCAGGACTTGTCATTTTATCCATCCTCGGTTTTTTCTACGTGCATGCCATATTACCGGACAACCGCAGCTATCCTACATTCTCTTGGACACCTTTTCATCATAATCACGACTCTCCTTCTGAGGATCTTGCGCCTCAATCCCCACCGCTGTCAGATCTCGATACATGGCAGACGAAATACTCTCCTTCATCCTTATGCACTCCTTCGAACCGGCCTGGAGCCCCACATCTAATATCAGTACATTCCAATTCCTACAGCTCCTTCACCTCCCATGACGATACCGCCTGGAAGCCCTTCAGTCTACTTCCCGTGACTCCAATACCAGCTGACTGCCTTGAAGAATACTTTCTTGGAAAGGTCTGTCCGGGTCCCGACGCCGAGAAGACGGATAATAACACGTCGACCGCAGCTCGTCTGGATATCGTGTGGTCGTGGGTGAACGGGAGCGACCCTTTACACACCGCAGCACTTTCTGAAGCCGAACATGAGCTTGGCTACGCCACTTCAAAACCCAAACTCTATCGGTAAGCCTCCCGCATTTTTCGGTCCTGTTGTACTCTTGTCCTACCTTTGTCACCATAGGGATCATGATGAACTTAAGTACTCTATGCGTTCCGCGCTTGCCGCCTTCCGTAATGGTGTCGGTAACTTCTATCTCCTCGCGTCGGATACTCAGGCTCCCTCATCTGAAGAGTCTCCATCCCAACTGCGATACGGTCAGATACCCCAATGGCTCTCTGCATCAGATTGGAACGACGGCAACGTCTCGCTTTCTGTACGCCATCATTCGCAGTTCTTTTCACCCGGATCATATGCTGGTCCTACATTTAACAGCTTCGCAATCGAGTCACAGCTAGGGCACCTATGCGGTGTATCAGAGAACTTCATATATATGAACGATGACTTCTTCTTCGGAGGGCCCGTGTACCCGGAAGACTTCTATACGCCACTCTTCGGTCCCGTACTGAGGTTCCAATATGATATCACCGTGTCTCCTCATAATCCTTCTACTGCGCCTGGCGATGGAGAATGGCGCCCACTAGATTACAGCAGTCACTTGCTGTCAAAGCGTTTCGGCTCGCGTCCAAGACTTTACGTTGTCCATGCACACAAGTCGATCAGCCTTCCCATCATGCACGAGATTGCTGCGGGAATGTGGGCAAAGGAGTTTGAGGCTACCGCCCGCAGACCGTTCCGTGGAATGAATGGTCACCCTGTCGCCACTAATAAGTGTACCTGTCCCTGATAAATTGAACTTTGGAACGTTACTGATTAAACATTAGCGCCCAAAACGGTACAAGATGGAGATGATGTTTACCCGGGTTTTTTGTTCAGCAACTACCTGATTGATCGGGCTCGGGAGGCGCTATTGTGGTCTTGGGTAATTGGGCGTATCGGTGGGAACGGAACACCATCTGATAACGGTGACGATAACGAAGACCTGTGGATACCAGACGTGCACGGCCGCCGAGCATGGCAGGAGATTGGAGGAGATTGGAATAGTACAGGGCTAAAAGTCCGGCAACCGATTCGGGAGACCCTTGATCAAGATCGCGTTGAAAACGCAATTCAGTCGAGCCGTGAAGATGGGATGCAGAGCCGGTACAAGTTTTCCTCTCAAGATGGGTGCCCGTTGCAGTATACTATCCCAAACCTACCCGGATCTCCGCCGCGCCTAGCCACAAATCCTCATTATAAGGGCCACCCAGCTCAGCCTGCTCCAGAATGTGAGATCATATGGAGCGAGTGCTTCGAGAAGGAAGGGCTGCCCATTGAAAGTTCTAGCGACATGTTCGTTCATGTTGCATTCGAGAAGGTTCGTTGCGGGGATTGTAGTAAGTGTATAGAAACGTCATTTCCAGAGTGAATATTGACACGTTTCTAGTCATTCGTGCGCTGTTAAACGCCTCGGGACCTCTGGGTATATCCGAGTTTCTTCCTCCACTCGATAGAAAGCTGTCTGTATCGAATAGTCTCGCAGACTATCTCCCGACGACAGCACCTCCGCATCTTCCATTAGCGTCTGACTACCATGATATCGACTTCTCGTTGGATTCTGTAATGGGGCCATGGCTGGCGGAGGTATCAATTCGCAGAGGACGTGGAGCAGCCGTGAGTGTCAGAGAATGGTCAATGATGGTGATACAGCGATATCGTTACGTCGTCGGTGAGTCGGTATCAACTACGGAAGTTATGCAGCCTCTTACCGAGAATCAATGTAGGAGAGCTGGCAACGAGATTTTTGTCGATAACCACCGTCGGATCTGCGCGTAGCCAGCTTAAAAGTCTCAAGGATAACGCAGATTTGAGGCTGGTATGTATCAATGACGATGTGGAGAAGCCATCGAGCGTGGATGAGGTCAATGAAATGTTGCACCAATGGTTCGATGAGAAGTGGCCCGTAACCGCTGGGTGGGAGGCGTAACTCATTTTCATGCTAATTTATATCGGTAGTTTGCATACCCAACCTGTATTCATAGTAGACACATACCCTGAAGAAGGAACACAAACAACTATAATTTGTACGGTAGTGATATGGACGGCGGGTTGAGACGGTGCCTTGTCTTTTGTCTTGCATCGAGGAGTATCTCACTGGATGGGCTTTTTGAAAGGTTGTTTGAGAACTCAGTAAACCAGAATACTTTTCTGGAGAGGGCAGTGCGGCGGTTGGCGGAGCCTTAGAAATGATGTCGCAACTGAAGCTGGTAAACTCGTTGACCGAAGTCACTGCCGTGGGGCCACGAGACGGCACGCCCATATTAGTACTGTTGCCGCTTCTCCGACTTGAGCTGGTAAGTCAGCCGAGATGAGCCGAAATTTTCCGACAACCCTATGCCGCTCGGCTTGACAATTTGACCGATTTGAATGCAAAAACTTTCCTGATACCTTATAAGCATGACAATGGAGTCAGACGAAATACTAAAGAGTATAGTTCGTCAAGTTCAACATAACTTTTCGTTGCATGCGCGAGAGGATTAGATAGACCAACAGGGTTTGTGACGGGGCAGTCACCGTAACAGATTGACTACTATTGACTAGTATGGTTCGCCATCCCGCTCATTCCTTCTGGCAACGGCTGTAAAGAGTAATTCGTCGATGTACAAGACATGTTGCCACTGAATAGATCTTGCTCTGTGTTGGGATTTTGCCGGAAAGTTCTAGAAGGAGCAATCCGGCATCATGCCGAGAGTCGCTGAGTAAGCATGAGACTAGTAGAAAAGTTGTAGTATATTCTAGATTACATTGCGAAGTAGTATAAATACAGGCTCTGTAGGAGCCTAGGAATAACAAGTTCATATCAACTGGCCTTATCAGCCAGGAGTCTACCCTGCGCAACACCGAGGATTCCAACACTCTGCACTAGTGATGGTTCTTGATTAGCTGGATAAGGTGCTGCTGAACGTCTTTAAGTATGACAATATATTTTCTCACGCCACTGACGCGTTTTTCATCCGCATACCGTCATGGGCAGGATCGTGTGAACTACTGGCTCCGTTGATATTTCTTGGAAAATAGTACGTTACGCCTTTAAGTAAAGCTTAGTATGTCATCGATATCATCCTCTCTCTGCTCATCCATTTTATTCAAGCCACCACGTGGAGCTCGTCGACCGACTACTAAGGACTACTGGTTAAGCATTTCTGTTTTTTATATCAGGTATGTGTCTATGCAACATGCTTAGCCTTAGTTTCTGATGACCCTTTTCCACTTAACTGCAGGTTCATGATTAAACAAAACATAACGTCGTCATCGTGAAGGGGGCGGCAAACCCCAAAGCTACGCGTCCGCATTGATCAGCTTGTTCCGGAATTTATCCTCTTTCTCTGCTGCCTCAAATTTTCTTTGAAATGACCTCCTTCGGGACGCTTCTTGTAGCGACTGAATCTCGTCGGCGTTCCTCTGGTGCCCCGTAATGTATGAAGCCGTGGAGCGCGGCCCGTGGTCGGTGAAACTGGTGTCGAACGAACCTGTTCTCGCCTAATGAGGATACGTTCCCTAAGTCTCCTTCAGAACCTGACGCCCTACCGTGACTACATCTCGGAGAATCTACTAAGCAGGTATGTTGATAAGTCCATGCAAATTGGTGCTTACAAGTCCCTTTAGAGCCAGGGAAGTGCTCTAACTCTCCACAAGGTCTCCATTGATCTTCAATTTAGGTAAGTACGATGCTTGAATACCTTGTTTCAGCCACTGATGTCTCCAATACGGATGGGAAAGTCTACGCGGGAGATGCTCCATGCATTAGTCATTCTCTTCGCTTAGCCTTTGCGATGGACGACAGAGAGTAACGAGTATTCACTGCGGCGATGACTACATAGATGCCTTGGGGCTACCCGAAGTTTTTGTGGAGCATATCTTGAAGCTTAATGCTGATTGGTCAATTTTGATATGCTCAAGGTATACTCCAGAAGACCGCACTGGTCTTATCTTCTCATCGCCGCAGTGATTCTTGTATTTGTCCTTGCCCATCGGACAACGTAAGTCTCTGGCACGGATATATATAACGAGGTGGTTGCAAGTTCGTCTTTCATCCGCATATCAATCTGTTCTCGATATGCTTCGTTTTCTCCAACACAACACTGACGGTAATATGGACTCTCTGAAGTCCAACTTGGCCAGCAATGAAACCTCCAGCCTGGGCGAGTGGAAATATCTCAAGAAACCAGGTAAGTCCTAATGCTTGTGATTATATTTGCAGTAGCTTTGAACCCATATCTGTTACAGGTTTTCAGCCACGGCCTCTGCGCCTTGCTATGTGAGTGGCCCCAATCGCTGTTAGCAAGGAGTCTAACATCACATATGGTAGATGTGGCGCAGGGGCGGCTGGTCTCTGCCTTGCGTACAAGGTTCTAGAAGCGCAGAAGAAGGGCGTGCTTGGACCTGTCAGATTTGTCTTGTTCGAAAAAGATGATGGTGCGTAGCTTCACTTAAGAGGATTCTTCGTTCATTGAGTTATCATTTCACAGACTACACAGGGACTTGGTGAGAACAGAAAATTTACTCTTGCCCGATTTGTTACTTCATCTTTATACTCAACAGGCATGCGAATCGGTACCCAGGCTGTCGATGTATGGTTTTTCTTCATCTACAAGTGCCACAAATGCTGACGTCAAGAATTCTGCAGGTGACGTTCCAAGTGCTGCTTATCAATTCTCGTTCGCACCCTACGCTGACTGGCCAGAGTAAATATCACATTTTTCCTTCTTAACACCCGCCTTGATTGTTAAACAAGGTTTTACTCTTACGCCGGAGATATCAAGAAATATTTCAAAACATTTTCCCAGAAATTCGGCATCGTTCCTCATATCCGCCTTCGACACAAAGTTACTGCAGCGATTTATGACGCAGTTTCTGGGACATGGGAAATAACTGTGCGGAACTTGGAAACGTCGGAAATGCGTACGGAAACGTATGATCTCTTCGCACCAGCAACCGGGGTCTTGAGGTAAGCGAATTCAGGTTTTTATTTGTTGGAACAACAGATCTTGAACCTCCCTTTCAGTAACGTAAATCGCCCAGCGATTCCTGGTTTAGAGTCGTTCACAAAGGCGCCTGTTCTGCACACTGCCGAATGGCCCGTCGATTTCGACTGGAAGAGTGCCTTCAAGGATGAGCACGTGTACGTCATCTATATTTCTGCTTTGTCAAAGAGCATCTTACAGAAAATTATATTAGTGCTGTGATAGGCGTTGGCTCCTCCGGCCTTCAGACCGTCGGCACCATTGCGCCTGTTTGCAAGAGTTTGGATGTTTATGCCAGAACGAAACTTTGGGTAATTCTCATTTGCCCTGCTTACCTCGCACTCCGATACTCACTAGGCACTAGATCATCCCCCTGATCATCGCGGTTGACTCACTGAGGGGACGTGACTGGCGGAACGAGAACTTCACCTGTAAGTATCACTCTTCTTTGGCTCAACTATTAAACACTAACTTCGTGCAGATTCAGAAGAAGAACGTGCAGCTTTCGTTGAGAAGCCAGAGATACTGTACGACCATCTCAAGGAAATTTCGGCCTCAGTAAACAGTCTTTACGGTCAGTGACCACTACTATATCTACGTTAGAGACAACTCACTAATACGGCATCTCCAGATTTTATGCGAACAGATTCCGAGGGACAAAAGGTGAAGCCCCTTCTCTTCAAATAATCATCGTCTCGTTGACTTATTTGAACACTGATAGGAACTCAAACGGATCACCTTTGAGCATATGAAATCATGTTTGGGGCGAGATGACCTTCTTCAGAAGTTAGTTCCGTCGGAGTGAGTACCCTTGTTTGCTTCTCCTTTAGCTGCGGACTCATACATCATTTTTCGAACAGCCATGGCATTGGAGTGCGTAGCCGAAATATCGCTGCTTGTTGTGCTTGACTTTCTTCCAGTGTCGCAGACCCACTCCTGGAGCTGCTTTCCTTGAAGCGTACAGTGTCTCTTCAATGGCGACATGCATGCTATTCACCTCTTCCCTCTAGGCTGAAACTCCCTAGTGTCGATCTCATCAACGATCCCATCAAGAAGGTCACTCCGACTGGTATTGTCACCGAAGGGGGCATCGAACGTCCAGTGGACCGTCTCATCCTCGCTACTGGTTTCGACACGACTTTCAAGCCAGGATATGAGCTACGTGGAAAAGATGGTGTCGACCTCAGAGATGTCTGGGCGCAACGGCCGAGAGGTTTGGTGTTTTTTATTCTTTGCCTTCGAGGGTAATGCTTATTAAACGCAATATAGCCTACTTTTCAACAGCGGTCGCTGGATTTCCTAATATGTTCCTCATGGGTTGCGGCCCTGGTATCACATATGCTAATGGCTCGCTCTTACCCTGTATAGAAGCACAAGCGGATTACGTCGTGGCATGCTTGTATGTTTGGATTTGAACAATTGACGCGCTGGGCTAATTATAACAAGGTCTAAACTGCAGAAGCAAGACTTGAAGGCCATGGAAGTTGTCCAAAATGCGCAGGACGAATATAACATTCAACGAGAGTGTACGTTCTTCGCTGGTACCTAGCCATATTGCTGATAATGATTGATTAATATCCGTAGCTCTTATGAAGGATCTTATATGGGTACGGGCATTCTTGACTAATCGACATTTTTCATGACCGCCGTCACAGACCGATCCTTGCGCTTCCTGGTATAAGGGTGGTAAACCAGACGGAGAACCAGACGCGCTGTACGCGGGGAGCAGTACGTTCTACATGCCATTACTAAACACATCACTGACTCAGAGTATTTCAGCTCTTCAATTTATGGAAGCACTAGCTTCTCCCCGATGGGAAGACTGGAACTTTGTCCCATTGTATCAGAACCGCTTCTCTTTCCTGGGAAATGGAGAATCCTCGGTATGTAACGCCTCCAGTGCTTGTCGCCTTGGTTCTTACTCGACGAGGTTAGATCGAGGCTGCTGGAGGCGACAGGGCTTACTACATCACGATGGAAGACGCGAAGAATGTGCTTAAAGCCAGTGACTATGCAGTCGATTAAATGGACCAGACGAAGCCGATAGATCTTATTTAACTGCTGGCATAAAGTTGATAAATAAACACACTGTATGCTACTGGAATAGTGGTATAGCTGCCAATTTGAACACCGCGTGTTTCTTTAGACCAAGTCTATCCTAAAGATGGTATAAAACCTCGATAATCTGCAATCATAAGGCAGTACATATCGAATGGTCAACCAACAAGGATAGCCATCGATATTACAAGCTTGAAGAATCTGACCCGAAAGTCTCTTTGCTAGTATGTAAACTGAGGTTCGCGTACTAGAAACTGATGATAGAAACAACACTAGTTCCACTGTTCCAAGTCGCCAGAGCAGTGAAATGTGCAACTTTCGTTGTGATTTTCTGTCCCTAAATGCGGCTTGGGACAAGGAAATCGACCAACATCTAATCAAACGGGGAATCTGAGTGCTTCTAGAAAAGACTGAATAAAGTCAACAGATGAACCGACTTCGTCGGTATGCAACCTGAACATTCGCTACTCTATCATTGAGAGGCCAGAATGCATCGTTCAGACGAGAGGGTTCCTGCACTCACTGAGTTAGATACGAATGTGAGATGATCCCATACTGTTGGTACAATGTCATACCTTGAGTACCACTGGTAGGATGAAGACTAGCGCGGCGCCCAAGTGACGGATCGTAGTTAGGTTACCTCCTTCGAGTAAGGGAAATATCGAAGGAACCCGGAAAGTCCATAGCATAAGGAGCGCTGGTGGCTCAATGACTGCGCTGCAGCTTTCCCGGCACCGTATCGGCGAGATGTTTTCTTGCTGGCGACATGGATATATGCGTACTCTGAAAGCGGATATATATCAAAAACGAGACTGTCAGCTCGTCGATAACGGAGCGAACTCTTCTTGAAAAACGTCGCCCGTTCTGTTTGTCACTCCTTCAGTGATGGAATCGGATGCTATAGGAAACTAAGTCGTACCTGCCAATGGGACAAGCAGCTTGAATGCTGCCATCGTCGCCCTGATGCCCTGCAGTCATGATTCCTGCTATCCCGGCCTAGTACAAAGGGCTACTGGTTTGACGAGGGAAGCCTGAAGTCGGTCAAGAACGAACACACTGAAGTAGATCTGTGGTAGTCCCGTGACAATACATTCTTGTTTCAAATACAGGATTGAAGTGTCGACGACGATTACAGCGACGGTGTCGAGACGGAAGGTAGGTCGGCACAGACGGCCCGAGTATCCCGATGAATGGCGCGCTTGAGGGCAAGCTCAGTGAACCTCTCTTGACCACAAATCTCGTCGCTTGGCAACCTAAATAGCCTTTTAAAAACGCGTAGCTTGGTATACCGCCTGTTTTCATACAAATTAGCGCAATTTTCCTTCTGGTCATCTTTAGAGTACCGTGTTGCTTTTACAGTCCCAGAGATCTCGAATCCTCCTTTTGTTTTTTGCATCAATTTGACACGCCCTGCAAGCCTGAGGGGATGTGGTGAAACTCGCGTACTTATCAGTGGTAGCACAGAAGATCCCCCACCTGACCGCCATTCCGTGCCTACTCTGCCACCGTCTCTGTCTGCTGCATTCGGACTGTCGAGGGATTTATTCAATGATTACAATCATTGATGAGTTGACTTCGTCGCTTGAAGCCAAGACCCGCCTGTATCAATGTCATACACGAAGAAATATAGTACGACTGAAATATCCCGCAGGATAATGAGCTTTAATAATTGAATCATCTGAGACGTTTCTTCCTCTAAGTCACCCCCTACTTGGTTCTAGCCGCAAGTCATAAAGCTAGGTATCCATTACTATTCGGATTCAGTCGGCATACATGGAGATGATCAAACCCACCTGTCGCGTCGCAAGTTCTTTTTCCCAAGGTCGTGGGATTACACGTATGCTAAATACCTTATCTTTAGTCAAATCGGGCGAACGTATCCTTCACTGATGAAGTATCATATACGAACCGGGCTAGTACGTGATTTGGGAAAATATACTTCGAGTGAATACTTACCTGAGAGGCACTTTCTGAAACATACTCGAGATAGACAGCGCTCCATTCATTGGAACATTTTGCCTATCAGATTCATATGTTTGATCCCCGTGCACTGTTCCATGATAGTTGAAGAGAATAGAAGAAAGCTGTACGTTATCCGACTTAGGTTGCTCTGTTAAAGCAAAGTAATGTAAGCTACTATTGTCCCAAGATCCATATGGTACCTACGCTTTACACGGTAATGTTTGTTTAAACAAAAAAGAAATCAGTAATGCAACAGAAAACGAAAAGAAAAACAGGTAATGAAACAGGCAGCCTGGCGAAGACAGACGTACACGCGCGCCTGCACGCTACAACACGAACGAGGGTGCCGGTTAACGATTCTCGTCTAACTGGACCAACTCCAGATAGCTCTCCGGAACCAAGGCATGCTGTTGTTGCGTACCCTTGTTCTTCTCTTTATCCACCACGACAACAGCCCAGCCTACTCCCCCTCCGCGACCTACCACCCTGACGATCTGGTCCTCCTCCAGTGCCATCTCTGCCGTTCCCTCTGGCTCAAAAGCATATAGCGCCTTATACAAACCTGGTAGCAGCGGCTCATCTACGCCGTCCTCCTCTCCTTCGACGTCGTAAAACTCGTCATCATCCTCGTTGTCATCATCATCCGCCTCAACGAAATTCCGTTCCAGATCCGATTTGCTCGGAAACCCATCGCCTCCAGACCCACCTGCTGAGGACGATGACGACGAAGGATGACTGGCACCGAAATTCCAGCTAAGCCGGCCGATACCCCACCTGAAACGCGACCAGCTCTCGTCCCCTTCCTCGTCTTCGTCTTTGTCCTCCTCCTTGTCGGTGTCCACCTCTAGTCGATTGATAACAGCCGGTCGATTAGGCTTGGGTACGTCTGGCCCTAACCCCCGGTGCCGCTCATCCGTCGCAGGATACCCAAAGTCACGTATACGGATCTCTGCAACGACGCGCTTCTTTGACGTCGAGGTCACAGAAGTCACAGACAACGCGATAGACTGCGTCCGTGTGGAGTTAGCCCGGGATAATGAAATGCCACTTGACGAGGGTGCACCTGAGGCACGGCGTGACATCGCCGGTGAGGGAGGAGCAGGTCGGTTGGATGCAAGTGAAGATACAGAATTTCGGCTCGCTTTTGGTGGTATAACCGGCATGGGCGTCGTTGGTGTCGTTACCGACGGCTCAGGTGCCGGCGGAGGTGTCGGCGTTATTGGGGAAAAGACACGGACTGGCGAGGCTGGCTGGGTATCTGATGGAACAGTATGTCTTTCCTGAGATTTTGGCTTGTTTTTTGGGCTTGGGATGGCGAATTCATGGACGCTAGGCATTGGAGGAGGTAGAAACGGTGAGCCTGGCGATGGAAATGGCGACGAGGACGGGTGACCGTCAACAGACAGTGATACTGGGCGCTCGCCTGGAAAGTGAATCAGCAACGTACGATGAAGATATTCAGACAATAAGAGACAGATGGCATCAACGCTGCCGGCTTCGTGATGCAGCCCCTGGCAATACCGTTCTCCCACTACATATATAGCTTTGCGGCGCCGGTAACCCATTTTATTCCTCGATATTCGGCCTCGCTCGCTGTCCTTTTCAAGAAGGAAACTCACCTTTTGGTTCCGGAAGAACTGCAGATGCCATGGCGAGATGTGATCCCCGACGTAACTGCGCGAGAGATGGCTTGGTGCTGAACACACTGCTGGTCTCCGATGTTCGTTATATAGGTCTCCTGGGCCTTTGTCGTCCGGGTCGTTACCCTCGATGGGCGATATCCGTGGAATGGTGGTAAATGGTAGTAAAGAGACGTTTGCATTTGTGCCTGTTTGGATGTCATGTCGTTGCTATGGTTGCCATGGCACCTTGCCGTTTTTAGCCACGACGTCCTCCGTCGTTTTCTGCCTTCGAGCATTATACCTGACAGAATATTCATGTGTCGTTGTGATAGGATCTTTTCTCATTCTATCATTCCATGATTCGATGCCAGCAGTTGCCTATGTTGTGTACTTCACCTCTGCAACCACCCCATCTCTGTTCCGCGCAGAAGTACGGATTTCATCAAGAAATTAATATTGGTGACATGGAAGCATTCAAAAAGATTTGCATCCGTACCCCTTGGCCGACTTTAACCGGGCACTGGCATCACTGCCCCATAATGAATTGCGATATCGATGCCAGCACCTATACAAGCTTTCAGAAAGAAAACAACCACGGGAACTCGACCCTGACAAACTTCGTCCCTAAAACCTGTGCAAGATCGTAGATTTGGCCTCCTTGAGGTGCATGGTTGTGCAAATTGCTGGGGAAAAAAAGGACGGCACATCTAACAGAGACCTGGGACATGGCCGGACGCCAGGTGGGCAGTACGATTACCTGGGACTTGGTCGAGACCATCAGGACAGAGAAGTACATATGGACCTACAACCACAACGTCACTCCCGAAGACCGGGCTCGCCACTGAGACTAGCGGTCGTCGGTTGACCCTTGCTTTAACGGTTCTACCCTGCTAACATCTCGTCTACAAACAATTATTGAGTCAACTATCATATCATGTACGTTGACGGCGGACGCTGGACGGTCTACACTCGAGTCTTCATGTTCGAACCCAGTCTCTGTCGCTTTTCGCTTGACTTTTACTCCCACATCCAATCCCTCTTTTTCGGTCTCATTGTTCGTTCCTTCACCTGCTAACAAACTAATCAGATTCAATGCATCGAGTGCAGCTTGACATCACTCACCGCCGGCTCCGTTGGATTGGCCAGATCCAGAAGAACTTGCCTCACCTAAATGGTATGTTCAACCGTGAGCTGATGAAACTGAGCGAAATAAGAGCACTCACGAGGTCACATCTTTACCATTTCGCTCTCAGGTACTGTCTTTTTGACAGGTGTCGTATTGTCAAATTTCACGACCGCTGCAGGCCCCGAAACCATCCCTGGAATAGGGCATTCACCCATCAGCCAACACAACAATGCCAATGAAAACACTGACCAGGTCCCACCTACATGAGGAAGGTGGGTGGCATAGATGGGTATCATACACATAGAATCTGCAATCTGGCATCGGCTCAGACATTGTAATTCATGTCCAACATTTGTAACATCACAAAAGATTGGGTCATGGGTATGCAATCATCCATGGATAAGTTGAAGGATGTGGGGGTTCCAAGGCACAAAGATAATTTGTAAACTTCTGTCTGTTGTATGTCTGCCTGAGACTGTTTCTACAAAGCTATGAAGAGAGCATTAATGAAGGAGTTGCATGAATCATACCTTTGGTCACATGTTTCAATGATGAAATTTAGGATACCCTTGGTAGTTGTTTCACGATGTCTTCACCAATGGTGCTATAGACATGGGCACATTTCTCCCTGAAGGCATCTTGTAGGGATGCATTACATATAAAGCCTGGTACCCAGGGCGGGGGGTATACTGGTAGGGTCCGAAAGTTCTTCGCGCCTCTTCTCCTCGAGTTGTTTGTTCATTTGTTCACTCAGCAATGAGTCAGACAAGGACACTCGTAGATAATAGTATGTTCTAGAAGTACTCACCTTGTACTTAGTATATATGCCGGGGGCCTCAGCCCCCAATAATCATTGCTTTTAGAATCTCCTAACTCAATCTCTCTCAAACGGTCGAGTCTCTCGGTTTACCACTGCGCTTATCACCTTCATTACACTTTATTTTACAACAGAACGGGATCAAAAAACGCGTTGGTAAACGAAACGCGATCGCGGTGGATATGGATCACATGCAAGTGATATTCAAGCGGAGTTTCAAAATGTCCAACTTTCGGACCCTACCAGTATACTCCCTGCCCTGGGTTCCAGGCTAGCGCTGGTAATAGCCCCGGAGAGACCTTGGCAAGCAAGGTAAATAAAGGCGCACCCTTATCTTTCTTCCCTTCAGCATCCAGGTTTGTAAAGTTCTATCCTAAAAGAAAAAGAATGCTGATACACACGGAATTCTCACAGTTGATATAACATGGCGAAAAGAAAAGAGGATCGGGACCTTGAACCGGCACCTAATTCCCTCGCTGGCCTTCCTACCGAACTCCTCGTAATCATCGTCAGTGACCTTGTAACCAGACGGGACCTCTTCTCTCTCGCTCGGGTCTGTCGAAGACTCAACGACGTTGCCATGACGTGTTGGCTGCGTTCCCGGACGCTGAAACGATACAGCACTTTCTGTAGTCCTTTTGAATATTCGAGAAAATATTCGCCACTGATCTACTACCCAGCCCCAGGCTGGCCGATGCCATTTTCCACCTTTGCGGACCTTCGCCTATGCTTTGCCACAAAACCCCATATCCCATCAATGACCCTCACATTTGGCACTCAGTATATAAAGGAATACGAGGAATTCTCTCGATACGTCGACACGATCCCAAGCGACCGAACGTGCCCAATCCTTCATATCAAGTTACATATGCCTCGCTTCCCAATAGATACTCGCGCATTCAATGCCTTCTGCACTGAGCTCACAGAATACAACAGTGTCGCATCTTTCCAAGTAATTCAACAATCAGGCGAGCGTGTCCACATGAGCCTCCGGGATACAAAGGGCCCAAACCACCAACCTATCTTCCATCCACCACCATTTACAACTCTCACTGAATTGCATATCCAATCTGTATCTAAGCAGCTCGATGATTGGCTGCTCCGCTCAGTAGCCGCCTCTCCTATTTGCAACTTAACCATTCTTGACAACGCCAGTTTACCATACGGTCGTATCTGCCTCCCTACCATTCGCAAATTAACCTTGGGTGATCGGACTATGACAACGTCCCAGTTAATCCAGTTCCTCTCGGATGAAGCGCATTCCTCACTACGCGAGCTTACCTTCATGCCGAAGGCAGAGCCGTATTGGGAGATACCTGTAAAGGGACGGTTGATCCCTCTTAGCATGAACGCAATGCCCAGCCTTACTAGCCTCGCCGCCGAATTCAAGGTTTTAACCAATCTCCTTGTTACACCAGAAGCTTTTCCGAAATTAGAACGCGTGGAAGTGTATGGCATAGGTAGTAACGAGTCTAGTGCAGCGGAGGATGGTGCAGAGCTTCTAACAAGGATAATGTCCCTGCCCAGTGTGCATTGTGTCACCTTTCCTGTCGGTGCGTTGGAATCGGGGGACTGGGATAATCTCAGCGGTAGCGGGATTGTCTTGCCGAATGTGATCAAGTTGATAGACCAATGGAGTCTTCGAGCTCCATCGATACTATCTCAAGTTAGAAAGGTTTTTCCAAATGTCGTTGGCGTTGATAGTCCTAGTCAATCGCAAGCATAGACATAAATCGGAATTTTTCTTCCGACAGACTTCGGAGATTGAGACTGATTTTGGACCCGAATGACTCAAAAAGTTGGCCGGTCCAAAAAATGCGTGACGTGATGAGCGGCTTCCCGGCAATAGCCTATTCTGAGACCTCGACCAGTCCCAAGCCGAGTTGTCAACCAGGATCAGCCAGACCGCACAAACACTTTCTCAGTCTTTTATTAGCGGTAGCGAAATTTTCTTCAGGAAGGGGAAAAAGTTTGCTACAGTATTCTGGCCGAAATGTTGACCTCTTGACACCTCGTCCCTGGCCGAGTCTGACATCCCAAGCACCCTCCCAGGCGAAGTTGCCGGCTATAATATGGATCACATTGTACCAATCGGTGAGAGGGTACGTGTTGAGAGACTGCTCAGGTCTATCACCCTTCTAGTCTATCTTACTCCAATCAGCACCGCAACACACCGTTCGAGATAATTAGCCACAGGAAAATATAGGTACCAACGCCCCAAGTCTCACAAACTGAGGCTGTGTGCAAATATAGAGAATAAAGGGGCAGTCTTTCAACATTCATCATCTCCGAGACTGTAAGGTTCAACTTCGCGGCTGACATAAACTAATAAGCCTGACAGAAAATCTACAGGTACTATAACATGGCCGCCAAGAAACGTAGAACGAAAAGAAAGCAAGACCATTCCGACCCAGCACCTAACTCTCTCACCGGCCTTCCTACCGAACTCCTCTCAATCATCATCAGTCGCCTCGCATCCAAAAAGGGACATCTTTGCCCTTGCTTGTGTCTGTCGAAGACTCAATGACGTTGCCATGGCGCAGTGGTTGGGTCCCTCCGAAAGAATATCTCACACGATACAGTCAATTTTGCAACATTTTCCTCGTAAACCTGCAATCATCGAATCCAAAGCCACAGCTGTTTCCTCCTTTGCGGACCTCCGGCTATGCGTCGTCACAAAGCCTCGTATCCCGTCAATGACCCTTATGTTTGGCAAAGACTACGTAAAAGAATACCGGGAATTCTCTCGATACATCGACACGATCCCCAGTGACCAAAAGCCGTCCCTTCACATCAAGCTATACATTCGCGAAATAAACTACACTCCCATAAACGTCAAAGTATTCAATACCTTCTGCACGCGCCTTGTAGATTACGGCGCTGTCACTTCAATTTCATCTTTCCGGGAAGCCTTAGATCCGTGCAAGGACCTGGATGTGAAAAGGCCGGGCCAACCTGTGTTCCACTCGCCCCCATTCACGACTCTCACCGAATTGCATCTTGATTTTGTATCTAACCGCTTCGCCGATTGGTTGCTTCGTTCAGCAGCAGCTTCTCCGATCCGCGAGTTGTCCATTTCCCATGGTTTTCCAGGAGGGCGGATCCACATCCCTACCCTCCGCAAGTTAGAACTTCGCGAAGGCAGTACGACGACGTCTCGAATGATCCAATTGCTATCTGACAAGGCGCATTCGTCTCTCAGCGAGCTTGTCGTTACTGGAGAGCCGTATTGGGAGATGCCTGTGAAAGGACGAATGATCCCTCTTCGCGCGAACGCAATGCCCAGCCTCACTAGCCTCGCTTCCGATTTCAAGGTTTTAATCAATCTTCTTGTCACACCGGAAGCATTTCCGAAACTTGAACAGGTGAAAGTGTATCACATGGGTGGCAAAGACTCCAGTGTGGCAAAGGATGCTGAAGAGCTTCTAGCCAGGATATCGCCTTTGCCTAGTGTGCATTGCATCACCTTTCCTGTCAGTGCGCTGGAACCGACGGACTGGGATAATCTCAGCGGATGCCGGAATTATCTTGCCAAATGTGATAAAGTTGGTAGATGCTCAGAGTTCCTCGTCTCACCCAGTGATACTATCTCAAGTTAGAAAGGTTTTCCCGAACATTGTTGACGTTGATACTTAATCTTGAATACAGTCCGATAGAACCGGCGACGTGTCTGGATATCATAAGAACGGAACGCTTTCCGAAGGGGACTGTATATCTTTCGATGGGATATTAGTTCCCTTCAGCAATACAATCGTTTCTCCCGTCTTACTGTAGCGTTGCCCTGGATCCTAGTCTTTGCCGCATCGTGATTTAGGCCTAGGGCTTAAACAGCGAGTCGTCGAAGGATTAAAGGAGCAAGAAGACCTGGTCGAAGTAAAGCGTTCTTGGCATCAGAGTATTGGCGAATTTGATTGCAGTCAGGGACGCCATTCGCGTTTCATCTAGTGTTGCATCAAACATGCTGGAAACCAGGACCAAGCCTTCTTTATTGTCGCTCTCTTTTTTCCCTCATCTTCTTCGCTTTCATGCCAGCTGGCGAAAACGACGTATTTCTCGATGGTTCGTACCCCATGAAGGATTCGAGCCAGTACAACCTTGTCAAGTCGAAGCGAATGCCAGTCCTTCGAACATCCCGTCGACTATTCATTGTGCACGCTCTACACCTTTTCCTTTTCCTCATTACTCTTATCATTCTTATCGTTGGGATATTCCACTGGGAGTATAACGTGTACATCGATAGCAGCCAGGTATCTGTTCCGCTTGTACATCGTCTAGCTTTGATTGTCATTAATCCACACCAGGCAGGCAATGTAGCGAGTTACATAACACTCGGTTTTCAAACCTTCTTCACGGTATCGGTCATTTCATTATCCGTGCTTTCCAGGGCGGTTGCTGTGGATGAGGCTATAAGGCATCGTGCGTATGCTCTGTGTTTTCCTTGCTGGATTGTGACATCTTCCAGCCCGAACACTACTCGATCTCGACGCACATATTCAAGCATGGGGTGGCCTAGGAAACGTCTTCACCAACTGGCATGGGATGCGAAGCCTGGGCCTTCTGAGCAGCCTCATCGTAGCGGGAGCAGGGGTGCATTTGGCTGGATCCAGTGTTCTTGGTACACTCGTTTAGTGTCATTTACGCTGTCTACTGAAAACCAAGGTAGGAGTGGAAATCTACAACCAGACGAGGACATGGGATTCGGAGGTCGGGGTCACGAGCCATCAGGGACGGTATCTAGATCCGTTTCCGATGGGGTCGAGAAGCGTACAAGATTATTTCACGAATACGAGTTTGACATGGCCAGTGCGTCCCCTTAATACGCCTTATTTTTTTCAGCTGACAAACGAACCAGACGCGTGATATTGATATGTTTTTCTCAGGTGTGAACAATACGCGTCGGCCGGGACTGCAACGGACGTAAGTACTTGTTCATAGCTTCGCCAGACGCTGCGATTGTGACATGTCTTTCGTGACAGCCTTGTCCACGATCTACCCGGATACTTCATGTACTCCTACGATGTCATACACGTCAACTCGACCCGAATGCAAGTAACATGCGGACCACCTTCTGCCTAATGTAGAGGCATTTCCTCGTTCCATCAGGGAGCAATGATACTTCTTCTGCCACAGCATTCGATCCTGATTCGCTCGACGGGAACTATGGACATGTGGATTAGTGTATCGATGAATTCGATACCACCGTATTCTGACAGTGCAGTTAACTTTTCGACGTACTGGGATATACACAACAATCACTGTGCGTCCACCCATCTCGTCAGTTTCGGAGTTTCTTGATTGCTTCGTTTTCTAGCGAAGGTTGTCCTCCATCCATGGGCACTCAAAGACTCCCTCAGTTTCCCTTCACACCACCAAATACTCTTTGCATGGGCCACGACGGACGAGACTGCTATCTTGCTGGATACCACCGGGCGAAATGGTACTACATACAACTTCACAGTTGGATATGTCCAAGTTTTTGGATGTTCCCTCACCCTAAATCACACCGTTACCGAGACCTTAGCTCTCAGGCAGCGATACACCACCTCTTCATGTAGATGCGCGTAGATATGCCGAGTTTATATGGGAGGAATCGTCGGAGGAGAGGCTAGCCAACACATTCTTGACGGCATTCAGTCCTATACCAGATTCGGGAGATGGAATGGAATGGAGAGATCTTGGACACACAGTAGCAGAGAAAGTTCTGGCGATGGGTTTGGTCAATACGACCACTTGGGAGGCGAAGTATGTAAGAGTGACTGACTTGGAAGAGTGGATCGAGGGTCTTTTCGCGAGCTGGATCTGGAACATATGGCGAGACTGTGATTATCCGTACTTGTTGACGTCCGACTCGCGCGAGATATGCGGAAATTTTCACTCTTCATGGGGGTTTATAACACGGACGGAGGACCCTGGCGATACACCACAGATAGTGAAAGCCGGAATCACGCGTACTTTGGAGAAAGGAAGATTACAGATATTCCGATGGCGGTCGATCATTACGTTTGTGTGCTCCGCGGTGCTGTATCCTCTCCTTCTCGCTACTAGGAACCAAAACCGACTTGCCAAAGGGCGCGCCATTAAGGGAAGCTAGATTGGTTGAGGATGTGTATTTGATGGTTGATTCTGAAGTGCCGAGCACGGTTAAGAAGCATGGGATCAGTGGTATACCGTTGAAATACGGAGTCAATGAGGACGAGAGCCAGTGGATACTGGACATTGATAGCACGAAGGGGGGGCCCTGAAGTATGTATTCGTAGTATTTATAGATGAATTGGTGGTGTATCTGCAAGAGGCAAGATCCAGTCAACAAAGTCTACTGTTGTCAGAAAGAAGCTTGACGTGCACTATTGGCATGTTAGAAATGACGACAATCATTGACAGAAACGATAACTACCGTGTTACCTTACAGATTGAGCTCATACATAAGAATGAGAATGGAGTATGGTGATCATGATGGGCGGAGCAGGAAAAGTAGAGTATGTACACAGCTCCAAATATCAAATACTAATAGCACCTTCGGATGACGCGTTCACGTGTCCACTTTTCACTGGACCTCCACGGCAACGAAAAGACGCCCCGCGGGGAATATTGATACACTCTTCTTTAGATTATATGGCGCCTATTGGATTCTTCGCTTTGATTGTCATTCCAGGAACAATTTCGTTAATCAAAATACCTGGCAAGTTCAACAGTTGATCACCAGCACTTTGACTTCAGATGATTCGAACCTTCCTTGTCGTTGTCACGATGCAGCGCAGATTCTTTTCCACGAACACTCTGTAATAAATTTGGACAGGTTAGTTTCAACTATTTGACAGCATGAAGAATTTCTCATTCATTAGCATAGGCTACTCAAGGAACACCCTTTTTTTCTGGGGATAAAGAGAATTGTTCAATATGACACGAATCTGACAAGCTACTCACCCGGACCTCTTCCGTCAAGTCTTGGAAGTCTCCTAAATTGTCCTGAACCCGACTTCGGACCGACGTCCTTCCGAAGTCTCAGCATGTTTGACTCGGATTCTTTCGTTTTCTTTCTTTATCAGATAGCTGACCTTATGAATGTCAGCACCGCATAAATGTTCCTTTTGGCAATAAGTCTCGAGTTCAGCAGACTGTCTTGCTTGTCCTTGATTTCGTTAACCGGGCGCCAACAGAAGAGGTCATGTGAAAGCACGGCACGGATGATCAGTCGACTGTCAGGGACGTCGGAATCATCTCTTTACAATGTATCTCTACATCGCTCTCTTTGATATCGGGATGACAGGCGCCTACCATTGGGCCCTCGTTCCAACTAGTGATAAGAGGTTCACCCGTTCGCTGAAGACGTATCAGATCGACAACCCTAATGGGGATTCATTCTGGGAGCTAGCGCATACCGTCGAACCGAACCTAGCTAACACGGACAGGTTCAACTGCTGTATCCGTCTCCCCTCCATAGATCTCCCAATTTCCGACATGCATGCGTTCATGGAAGAACAAAATGCAGAGCAGGGAGATACGCCACTGTTATCGACACATCTTCAACGCGGTTGGACGTGCGCGCAATGGTGTATTCGAATACTATCCGAGCTTGTGGAGACGGGGTTCTTAAATATACCGTTGGATACGGACGAATTACAGAGTCGATTCTACCAGAGAGTGCTCGCCCTAGGAATGTTAGGAGAAAGTCCTGATTGGCCTGGAGAAACCGTTGACGGAATACGAGTAATTGATTACGATTATACTATGAAACGAGCAATGGTCTGTCCCGTTACTAGATACGCGTTTTTATTTTCACCAGCTGATTCTTGCCGCTTCTCTTTAGATTCGACGCAATGGAAATTCTAAATGAGGCACGTCAGGTTCGAGATACATTCACTAAAAGATTCAGTCGGGAGCAATTCATGACTAAAGGTTACATTGGAAGACTAAGAGAGTACATCAGGCAGTAGAATATGTCTACAATCCATTGCCTTGCCATATCAATATTCGCCTCAGCTACACGACTCTCTGCTTAAGTCACGATCGCGTTGAAATCAAATGGGTACATATCCAGCAACGCTTGCGCCTTTGTTCCTTGTGGAATCATAGAAAGAACCAAATCCTTGCCGGATTCCTTCGCGAGCTCCAAAGCAGCATCCCACTTCTCAGTAGGTAGGTTTTCAGATTTGCGGAACTCTTCATCCGTGATGACATACAACTTCCTTGGAACCAGCGTGTAATCCGTGACAGTGAGCAAGTCAGTTGGATCATACGCTCCCCTCATCTTTTCCAACTTCAGATCTTGGATGAGCTGAGCGTTAGCCTCGATATCTTTGTCGATAATGGCATAGGCAAAATGTCGTTCGCGCTTTGACATGAGCATGGGCAGGCCTTCTGTGAACGATAGTTACCAAAGTCGAGAGGAATATGTTCATAAAAAAGGAGAACCGACCTTTAAGACAAGATTGTATGGTTCGACAGACTTCGTTATGCCCGTCACGCCAATCCAATTTCTGACACTCTTTCGAGCAATAGTACTCGAAACGGCAGCCTTCGCAGCGTCTGAGTGCGCGCTTGGGGCCTTCATCAGGGGGAGGGCACTGGATAAGATCACAGAGTGATGATGAGCGACGGGACCTTGGAAATCACGATAAGAGGGCTTACAGCGGAGTACGAGCACCTTGTCAGTTCGCGGCCAGAAGCCAAGTAGTCCTTGAGTATCTCCCAACGCGTCTCTGTTGTCTCCTTCAGTATCTTCCAACCATTGCCAATCGGTCCCGCATCAGATATACCAGGTTCCAAGTCGGACATGTATACGACCTTCCAGACCTTGACAAGTACGTTGCGATAGAGTGTGTATGACGTTATCAAATGTAGCAACGGAACGAGAGCCGCCTCCCTGTCATCGGCGTCCAACCTTGACTGGACCTTTAAGAGCATCGGAATCACATCAGCGTCCAGACCTTCGATTATCCGGCCAGCACCCTCCTTAAGCGCTCGCTGCAAGTAGACTAACGAGACTTGAAACAGTTTGGCGTAGCCGGCCGGTCCGTCGGGAACACCGTCTCCTGCCGTCCTTGCTGGGATGCTGGCAATCCGTCGACAGATCCATGATACAGAGCCACACGAGATGAAAGCTCGGGTGAACGAACGAGAACACATCGTGCTGATGACCAGGAACATGATGCCCGCATCATAGTCCGGGTCTGGGTCTCGCTCACTGGCAACGACGCGAGCGCAGATTTCTTCTACGATATTGTTCGGAACCCGGTTCAAAGCATCTGAAACCTCGTTATCGAGAGTGCGCTTCTGAAGGATGTGTACCATGGTCATCCTAACAATTTCCTCGATTAAACCCCGTCCCGCTCGAATGCCGTACATCCACAACGTGGTCATCGAAAAAACGAAACCATTGGTATTTCGCATCTTATCGCAGTAATCAGGGTCGGCGGACAGGGTGTTGAGGAGCTCCACGATCCGAACCGCAGTTGCGGACACGGCCAGGTTAGAAACGGGGAGATTCGCGTCGATAAAATAATGATGGAGAAACTTGACAGCCCAGAGGTATATCTTGGGACAAGTGATCAGTAGTCCCGCCATTTTGGAATGTTCGAAAGCCTGAGGTGATTGAAGAGCGACATTAAGCCCATGGAAAAAGCACGTCGTTCTGTCCAACAATGTGAAGAACTCTTCAGGAGATGAGATGTCCGCGGTCCCTGGTAGACGCAAGTAGTTTAGGAACACGCGAATGACTTGAATGAGGTGAGGGAACACAGTAGGGTCATCGCGGGCGGTTTCTCCCAGTTGAACGAGGGCGTCGCCTGAGCCACTGAGAGCCGACTCCTATTCAATCGCGTTAAGCAAAAAATACCGTCGTCTAGTTGATCACTTGCCTTTAGTGCGTCCATTCTAAAGTGAAAAGCTAATCTTCAGCTCAATAGCAGATGGAATGAAGGTCAATGCGACTGAAGAACCCGTGGTGAGCGTGTTGCTGCATTCTTATCTACAAGAGCGTCGAACAAAGCAAGCTCAGAACAAGGGAAATGCCGAATTTAGCTGATCGTGTACACCGGCATTGGATTTAACAATAGCGCGGTATGCTGAGCCACTGATGTAGCAAGTAGATATCCTCTGATACTGTGGCCTTAAGTATTTCACGAACCTTCGTTAGCAAGTAGGGGCACTCTGCACGAACGATCCCGATAAGTAGATAGTAATGGAATTCAAGAATCAACGCCACATCTGTGACGCACTGCCTGCAGGAACCTTGAAGCTGCGAAATTGCTTCGAGGGCATGACATGACACAGAAGCACAGGCTGGTCCCACGTCCGAATTCTCGCAGTGGTCATAGACGCCGCATATCAAATCCTAAGTACAGCAATCCCGTCAATAATACAAAGAAGAAGGAAGCATGTTCTGCCGCAACCCTGTTAGAAAGACGTTGAACGACAAAGGGAATTTCAACAACGGCTGAAGTCGGGCTTCGTGTCTACGGAACCGGGCCGGATAGCCGCACCTTTTCTCCCGACCACGAAGATTCAAGATTTCGTTCTCGGTACTGCCTTCAAAGTACTATAACAAGTGAATCCAGATCCCTCGTAGCAACTTCGAACCATAATAGAAGATATGCGGCTTCTAGACCGCTGCCTTCTTCCCTACTAATGATGCGAAAAAGAAGAAATAACGCAGTGGCGTTAAATGATTCGGCTCCTACGAACAATACTTAATTCATGTGGGAGCCAACATGTAGCTCTTTGAGAAGGCGCAGCGCTACCCCCCCATATCCAGAGACTCGTACCATTGTGACAATGAACACATTTGATCCCGACCGAGCGGTGAGCCATCCCTCAGACCATCATTGTACCCGGTTTGACCGTTAACAGAAACTATCTGAAGAGGTCGAGACTATAGTCTACGCGCACCCAGGACAGTATGTCAGAGAAGTTGTTGTTGCCGGTGTGAGCGTGGGGACGAATCGACACCAAAAACTTCTCCGAGCGTGGGTTGTACTAAGCAAAGCTGGCGAGAAAGCGGGAGATCCAGCGGTCGTTGATGCCCTCAGAAGGTGGACCGAGAGAAATCTGGTAAAGTCTAAATGGCTGCATGGAGGTATCGAGGTTGTTGAAGAGGTAAGAATTGTGATGTATCGTGGACGCGGATAATCATTGTTGCGGGTTTAGTTGCCTAAATCGTCCTCGGGAAAGACATTACGGCGAGTTTTGGTAGATGACTACGAACGACGAGTTCGCGTGATGGTGAAGGGAAAGCTCTGAGACCCATATTAGGTGAGAGGTTTCGAATAGAAGTAACATTGATAGCTAATAACGGACATCTAATAATTTTGTTTTGGACAGTCTATGTACATTCTCACCAAAATCACGAATATAGTCGCCTAATTGGCTTCCTCGCATAGTTTGTCTTCGACATGCACATCTACATCTACATTTTACTAGAGTCTAGCTGCTGCTTCAAGTCCACCTTCCTGACCTTAAACCGACAGTCTCTTTCACGAAATCAGCATTCACGTCTCAACGTCACACGATTGGCATGTCTTGGGTCGGAACCGTGAATAGTATCTAGTGGCGAGGGTCTTCACCGACATATGCCTCGAGGATGTGTAGTTCTCTAGATTCTTCCTCAATGCGCTTGAGGGTAATGACTGTATCAGCTGCAGTCGGCCTGTCCCCCGCCTCATCGGCGAGCATATTCTCAAAGAGAGATAGCAGTTCGCGGACAAATCGGCTAATAGTCTAAGGGACGCTGTGAGCCTTCAGATGCGTTCTCAGAAAGGTGTTTACCTCATTGCTGTCCTTGCTCTTCTTTGGTATTGTATCAGCTTTGCAGGCACCTGGATATCTAAAATCTTCATACCGTTTCCAGCTCCAGATACGAATTCAATTCAGGCCCCAGGAAATCCTTCAATAACGTGCCCAAGAGAAAGACATCAGTCGGGAAGGGAGAATACGGTGCCGAAAGTAACATTTCCGGTGCTTTTGGACGGTAGTATCGCTCTGGTGGGCGACCCTCCGGAAGCCCAATCACCGTACAGTCGGACAAGTTGGCATCCTCATCGAAAACGGCAGCCCACTCAAAGTCGATGAAGTAGTAGCGGATGGGGAAATATGATCTGAAAGGGTAAACATGTAAGTTGTAGGTGTGCTCTGGACTGGTCCTGCCTCCGGCGAAGTTGCATAGGATGTTTGACAATGCAATATCCTATATACCACTGGCATCAGATTTGGTGAAGAAAGCAGAAAAGCAGAGCTCACACGGTGGGCCACGCGCAATTGGTGGAAGTATTCTACGCCCTGAAAGATTTCAAGGTGAGTAAGTAGAAAGAGCCCGGAGTACTTGGACCCACTTTGCAAAGCTGCATGACAAAATCCAGTATTTCCCCGCAATTGTAGAACCAAGGTAAATGTTTGGCTAAATAGACATACGGGAAGACGATGAAATGAAAACCGGAGAAGGTGAGCTGATTTAGGACAGGGAGAGTAGGGTTGCTGGCTTCATAGGTCCGTATGCCAGTAGAAAGACGTTCCAGCGCTTGGACATGCTGGTCGCCAGATGTGTCACCTTCGATGGCCACGAGGCGAATAATTACATCCTGGTTATGTATTGTACGGGCTGGGTGGGTGATGTTGTTCGGATAAGGCTAACACAATGGATGAGCAATGCACACTATAAAAAATTTGGACAGACTTGGAGGAACGAGAACCGCCTTTTTTCAGTCTCCCATCCATATGGCCCAATGTACGTGTGAGTGCAAACAGGGATGGTTTCGTCAGGTGGTGCGGCTGAGGTCATCCTGTAATTCCAGAGCTGATACCCCCGCTTCTCGAACAATGTCGCGAAGGATGGTATTAGCGGCCAGGAAACATCTTGAGGGTCACAAATTCTACCCTCAATGCGCCATTCCATGAGAGTACGCGGTAAAGACGCAAACTAGACAGGAATTGAATTTTCCGCCCATCAAGCAGGTAAAAACATACACTTTCTTCGTCGACGGAAGGTCCTGCTGTTGATGTATTCTCTTCTGCCACATGATTCGTGTCCATTATTGTGTCGAACAATTAACAAAGCTGAGAACAAGGAAAAGACTGGGCCGGTTTGAAGCAGTGGTAACGGAGCAGTAGTGAATATCGTGGACAAAGAGAATATGATAAAAAAGAGGGAAGAAAATAAAGTGTCACTTATTACATACTGGAACGACATGAACAACCTTGGCATATGGGCCCAACGGACCAGCCTCCTAAGGCAGGGTCTTTATTCGCCCCTTGCACTGCCAGGGTGCATATGATATGTTTCTGTCAAAAAGAAGTAGAGAGGCTCAACATACCAATAATCCCCGCTTCGGGAGGGAACACAAACGAGAATCATCTTTCGGAAGGGTATATCCTCACCGCCGCTCACTATGAAGGTCGGATCAAGCGTTACGATGCCGTCGATTAGCGACAGGTGGTAACATCGAGATGTCAGAAAAGTACTCTGGGGGCGCTTCGATATCGTCCATGATACGTTGTTCAAGTTCGAAGGACGGCCAGTTTCAGTCGTTGGAGGGATGTAAAAGTTTAGGGTCGACATAATCCACGTTCAAGCCAGAGGAAGCTCTGAGGTGCGAAATTTATATTCTGGAAAGGTTTATCGGGACTATGAACCCTTTTCCGAGTCCTATGTATATAGGATTCTCGTTCCCCTACCTGAGCTTTCGGTGGGAATTCAGGCAAAATAGTGGCGGAAAAATTGCGACTGGAAGTTGGGTCTCCGGAACAACTCCAGAAGTTAGTCAACCAAGGTGGGACGGCATCAAGTTTGGCGTCCATTTTGACCTGCTTCTCAGTCCTTGGTACCACGGCGTAATTGTACTCTTGGTCTGGTATATTCGTAGCAGTGTGCTATTAGCAGAGATTGATCTTGACATTCTGCCGAACCAAACCCAGTCCCTCTAGCCGCTGTCTCTCTGCACGATCAGGCATCTGGAAGATTGACATTTTCTCGAACTTGTCTGCATTTCGGCGGCCAACCACCCAGTAGTACATCTTCTTACTGTCAGTGTTGCCTATCAGTGTATACATGTCCTCTTGGATTGGGTGTTGGTGTTGCGCAGTAATTTTGAAACTGTGTTGGACACCGTTGCTGTCCTCTACACGCAGCTCTCCTTCCCGGTCGTGCCCATGTTGCGCTTCGGACAATCCCCGTATCAAGCCCTTCTCGATGCAGTAGCCCCGGTACGAGTAGCCTTCGTCAACAAAACCCCAGCCCCATTCATCTGGGAGAACATCAGACATAGCCTGCTGCCAGGATGGACGCCATCGAGTATTCTCGTGCCCTGGCTTGGGATACTGGAAGAACAGATCCGCCCAGACCCACTCTCCGAGCACATCTACCAGCGCCGACCATGCATCTTCGTCACTCTGTGCTGCGTAATAGGTGGGAATCGAGTTCGTCCTCAGAAGATAAGACAAGCCCGCTACACGGTCGACAGGATTTGTGGAGACTCTCTTCTGCATCTCGCTCAAGACGGCGTAGATGCTGAGATGCTGCATATTTTGAATGGACGACAGCTGCTTCTCAAATGCTCTTTGTGCATCCGGATTCAGACCCTCTTCTGTCTCTCCGCCAACGAGAGACTGCCGCAGAAGGTGGATTTCTTGCATCGTCCACGCACGACGGAACCAGCTCCGGTCGCTAGTCATGTCCACAGTGTCACTCAGTGGCCGTCCCAGCCCACTGAAGTAACAGAGCACTTTCTCGGCACGCTCATACACGTGTCCAATAGTGGGCACATCAAGCTTCCACTCTTCCGCACGTAGATCTTCCCTCGTTCCACCCGCCTGCCGCAGACAGAGGACGTCCTGCCAGACGTACTCAGCGCCCTTCCTCAACAGTTCAATCCGTATCCACTGGAGATCAATGCCTTTTGGAAGTGGAACGGGCCATGCCAGTCCATTCACCATTGTCCAAATAAGAACTCGTTCCCCCTCTGCAACCCAGGCATGGGACACGGTCCAAATCATAGTGAGGTCTATACCAGCAATCGCCCACGGAATAACCCGGTTGCTATACAGGTCCCAAAGATAGCGAGGTGGGACCCAACGGTTGAGGATGCGGTTGCCGTCCATAACATGCTGTCGCATATCTCTGTCTCGACGTTCACTTTGATCTATTTCATCCCTGATGTTCGTCCAATCCGTATACCACCTTGGTCGGAGGTAGGCGTAGGCGGCCCCAAAATCTCTGTTCGTTGCAGCATAATCATGAAGAAAGAAATACAGCCATGGTCGGTCCAGAGTGTACGTAGTACCGAGAATATTGTTGAGCTTCTCTAGGAGCCCACCTACGCCAAGGTTTACGCATGGAGTGTCGGCGAGAGAGGATGAGATGACGGGTTTCCTGCCAGTCCACACGCGTTGCAGAGGTACTTTAATCAACGACTCAGCTCGGGCGGAATCCTCGAAAGCTGAGATAGTGACTTCAGAAAGGTTCTCATACCGCCGATGGGCATCCTCTCTCTAAAATACTGTTAGTCAATGTATACTCAATCCATGCTGCGGTAACGCACAATTCTTAACCAACTCAGCTTCAAGATCTCGTCCTTATAACAATCGTACCATGACTCTCCATCCATTGTGAGTTTCCCTGGTTCTAAATATCAGATGATATTATTGAGCATCTGTCAAAACTTACTGATGCTGCGGACCCCTTCCGCCGTTTTCCAACAGACCAGTGTGCATGCTTGAAAGCCACGTAAAACGCTTGGGGATGGGTCACCCCGGTCCCTCCTGGTCCCTCTTTCATCATAACCAAGTAAGGCCGGCAAGCGGCAAGGCCCGCTACCTTTCTTTTTTTTTTTTGGATTCAGCATTTACAGGTACGCTATCTACTAATATAAGATGCGGTGGAGGTACAGGTCCTCAAGCTCCCTCCTTCCCTCTTGTCCCGGTCCCTCCGCTCATTAATCTGGTTTCTACTGGTAGCTCGGCATATGGTGGAGTATAGTAGCAAACATTTACGGTACTTTTGCGCCCTGTGTTGGGCTAATCAGATTATTTCTGCGGTTGGCCGTGGCCGTGGTGTAAGGTTCGAGTTGTCATTATGTGTCATGCTGGCTGTGCTCTTGTGTTGTGACGGGTGTGTGCCGCCTACCCATGTTTGTCGTCTGCGTTGTCGTCCTCCTCCCACCATTCTCTTTCTACTTCCTCCTCGGGTTCTGGGGCAAGCCTCGCGCTTCGCAGTTCCCCTGATCGAGTGAACGCTCCGGTGTTCTCAATGAATTCGCTCAGCGCTGCAATCCCCTCCTTGGTCCCTAGTATGTTCGGCAGGTACAGGGATCTTGATACATTCCAGAGTACCTCCCGTTGGTCCTCGTAGCAAGGGCACTCGCGAATGATATGCTCGCGTGTCTGAAATCGTTCGCCGCAGGGGCAGTCAACGCCCTTATCTGGCACGAATTGTGAATAGTACTTGCCCATGTACCCATGTCCTGTTCTGCATTGTAGAACTCGACCGAAGACCTCTCTTTTCCCTGCCAGATCCAAGAAGTGCTGTGTTGGCTTCAACGATGGTGGGAGTCTATTTGCCATTGCGAAGCGCCCGTGTTTCGGGCTAGCTTCCCATATTTTCCTCCATTCTTCCGTTGTCTTAGCCTTTGCTTCTCTTCTTGCATTGGCTCTCGTTCTTCCTGTATCTTCTGCTGATTTTTCCGCTCCTCTCTTTGCTAGATAGTCCGCCCTTTCATTTCCTGCAATGTCCTTGTGTCCTGGACACCAAGAAACTTCGACCGTATGTGACGGGTCGCTGTCCAGGAATTGACGTATTCATTTGTGGAAGACTATTGCGAACGTCTGTCCCGACTTCGGTAGAGGGTCAAAGATAGCATCAATCGCCGACGTGTTATCAGCAAAGAAGTGGAGGTGTTTCACTTTCTCGTCTCCTTTGGCGTGGTTCGTCGCCTTCGTTGCTCCCATCGCGAGTGCTGCCATTTCTCCGTCATAGACTTCCGCTTTTTCTCCCAATCCCATGCTCAGCTCAAAAGCTTCGGTTCCGTCTCTGAATCCTACTATCCCTGCGCCTACTCGCCTCTTTCCTCGTATGTCCCTTTGCAAGCCGTCTGTGTACACTAATAAGTGGTCGCGGGTCTGGATCCGTCAAATGTCGTTATTGTGTTGTTGCGCTGCCTCGTCTTTTGACTGTCCATTTGTCCCGCTTATTATGAGCCGTTCCCCGTAGTCCCGGTTGGTGTACCTCCATGGTGCTGCGAGCTTCGAGAATGGGTATAGACGTTCGTCTTTCGGGTCCGTCATTGTTGCGAGTTGCTGGAGCTGGGTCGTCTTTTTAAGTTCGTTGGCCGCCCTGGACGGCCTGTGCGTTGGGAGTGGAGGGGGATTTGTAGGGTTTCTGCCTGCTCTCTATCTGTTGTCAAGACGTTGCATAACTGGGTTGCGGGTACTTAGCTTGTTCAATCTCACTGCTGCACGTCTCGCACATTGGTGGCCCGCTACCTTACCGCACATGGTTCAGACAAACGGAAAGAGCCGAGGCTCATTCAACAGGTTGATAGCTCAAAAGAAAAGATTTCGGGCACTTTGTAGTACAATGGAATATACAATTTTTCATCACGAACTTCACGAGTAGCGGAGCCACGGCATCACTGCATACCGTAAACACCGTGTATTTGTCAAAGTCATGGGCACTCACACCGCAAATGGAAAATTTTCGGGTGTACTGGAAAGTTATGAAACTTAACCAAAAACTCGTCCTGAAACTGATCTTGCCCGCCATTTCTCCAATTTCGGGACTAGTTTGTGGTCAAGTTTCTTGAGTCACGTGATAATTTCAGTATAGCTGAAAATTTTCCGTTTGCGGTGAGGCCCCGGGAAACTCACGCCAAGGTTTGTCCAGAAATTAGCATATTTTAGACCCCAAAAATGCGAAATCTTTGTCCGCATTTAGCATATTTGAGGGGTCCAAGAGGGACACTTTTGTCCGGGTCTAGCATATTTGAGGGCATCAGGAGCGATGAAGAAGGGGACCTGTCGACCCCCTGTTTGTGCAGAGTGGTTCTGCCGATTTCTATTCCTATCGAAAACCGCAAAAATGACTATAAATGAGGAGGTATCTTCTAAAATAGAGAAAGATTTGCCAGATATTCGTCCAAAATTCTTATCGGCGCACTCCAGAAAGCCGGCCCGGAAGACCCTTGTCCGCGTTAGCATATTTTAGCCCTAAATTATTGCATATTTGAGGGCCAAAATTGGCTATTTTGCCGGACAAACCTTGGCGTGAGTTTCCCGGGGCCTTTGCGGTGTGACTAGTCACAAGCTTACGGAACTGGGAAACTTACTGCAGGGATAAAATGAACTAGCCACAGATCCCTGTCGAGTTTCACCAGTATTCCGTCATGAACAAGTGTCTGCTCTGGATCACTGAAAACTTGTTTTCACAGACACTTTGCTGGAATCATTGACGATCATGAGCCAGGTGTAGCAACTAGCACGGAAGAAGATGTGTTTACCGCAGCTGATTTCGCCGCCAATTAATCATACCCCAAGCCTCGGCGATGCTCCAGGTGTCGCTTAATCCAAAATAGATAGCTTAGTAGCTTTGGCTTCATTCTTGGGCTTCCGTAACATGCAGGTTACTTTTTTATGGTCTACCGTATCTACACATTTGTGAATATAATGTCTACCCCCTTTTCACACTATTATTATTGAGCTACGGGCAACAAATTCTGAATGCGGAGTAGCTGTGCCTGAAGACGCGAGCTGCTGATGAGATTTATTTATATTAACATGTCACCACGGCCATAGCGCACATAGCGCGATAGGTCCTATAGCTCCCTTCTACCATACCAACAGTGGTGCTATATGGGCCTACATACTAGAGGGTTAGCTAGGAGCACTATACGTGCTATCTACCCTATATATGGGTACATAGCTAGGGTGCATTTTCCAGATGCGACACCACAAATCCAGCCTCTGTCCCTCGGAAAATGCAGGATCTGATAGATTAGCTGGCTATCATCATTGCCTCACTTCAGCGTATATGCATGTTACATCCAGGCCTCTCACCGCTGGACTGGCGAGTTGCCATGTGGAAGTGGGATAACTATCAGATCTCCCATTCCTGCGGGTCGGTCGTTTTGAAATAGTATGCGTGGTAGGATGGATGATCATGAAAATCTTACATGCCGCTAATAAGAATGTTATTTTAGGTCAGGGCATTTGCAATCCGGTCTTGGTCTTGGCGAACACCTGAACCGTCTTCGGTGACGGGTATTATGAAAAATTCGACCATCAGGTTTTACGCAAAGGTCAATGATTCACCACGGTAATCCTTAATTCGCAATATTTATTCTTGACCAACTATAAAGTCCTGACGCGTCAGTAAGCGCCCACGGGTCCAGCAGTTGACCACATTAGTGTTACATTTTGATCAACGCGATACCATCGTAGAACAGGCAAATTTAGCAACTATGAATCATTGCGCGCGACAGCAAAAGTTGATCTGCGGGCAAAGTTTACATATCAGATGTTTAACGGAAAACTCAGGGTACCCAGTTTCAGTCGATTTGATAATCTGTTGCTGTAAGAGCGTTCTTAGCATCTTCCATCGTGATGTAATATGCTCTATCACCCCCAGTAGCTTCAATCTAATGAGATCAAGCTTGTCATGAGCTACAAGTCAAGCAGCGTGAAAGATTCCTCACCGAAGACGCCCCGTTACCTAGGAAAGAAAACCTATTCTTATATAGTGGCTCGAATTTCCAGTCTTCCCACCGAGGGGACGATAACATTTCCCTATAGTGGAGCGCTGCGAGTTGTTTTGTCAACGCATGCCAGATAACTAGAGACCACGACCTACTGCTACCCGAATAGAGTGCATAGGGCTCCCCATCGGCTTTACCGCCTTTGTACCAAGAAGTGCATGGTTCCGACTGTTTGAATGAATGAACATGCTTGAGGCCAAAACCGAGGGAGAAGACATACCCATATGAGATCCTTCATCGTCGCTTATCAAAGTCAATTGCAGGCTGAAGAGATCTAGAAACAACATACATGCTTGTTGAAAATTATATTCGTCTTGCGCATCCTTATCGACTTCCATGGTCTTGATATCTTGCTTCTGCATTTTCGACCTTGTACCTCTGATCAGTACCCTTAAAGACGTTGTCTAAAGGCCGCACGTACAAGCAGGCAACAATATAGTCCGCCTGTGCTTCCGTACCCGGTAGGAGCGATCCATTAGCATAAGTGATCCTCGGCCCACAACCCATAAGGAACATATTCGGAAATCCCGACACTGCTATTGACATGTACGCTAAAATCATATATGTTTATCCGTCATATATCGCAGTCTGAAGACGAAACAGGAAACTGCACCACTGGGTTTTTCTGTCCAAACATCTCTAAGGTCAAGTCCACCTCTACCACGAAACGGGTATCGTGGCCTGAACCCAGTATCGAATCCCGTCGCGAGTATGATGCGATCTGCGGGGCGCTCGACACCCTTGTCGGTAACGATAGAAGAGGAGGTGATCTTCTTGATTGGATCCACGACAAGATCGACATGAGGAAACTGTAGCCTGTAAGGATATCTTCTGAGTCATTCAGTAAATGTTAAAAAAGGAAAACATCTTACGCCTCTAGAAAGGCAGCTCCCGGGGTTAGTCTGCGACACTAATGAACGATGACTCGGTCACGAGAGGTTGTGCGACAAATGATTGAATATTTACCCCGACGGCGTAGCTTCGTTACGATGAGCTGAAAGATACCTTGAAGTTTGGTAACATGGGGAAACTGACTCTGGTATCAACTTGAGAAGAAGGTCCTCGCATCCCTTTAATGACGCCCTCATATGGTCAAGGGTGATCTTCCGAGTCATCTGAGACCTACTCAGATTGATACCAATGGACAGAAGAGGAAAATTGACCTTAGCCAATTCCGAATCACTTCGTTTAGATTCTACAAGTTGATATTCCAGTGAGTTTTCGAGTCTTCCTAAACCACAAGGACGGCATACCGAATCGGCTATTCATCGTGTCCGAAACCTCCTTGACATGCTTGTACAACGTTTCCGGCCTCGTCGCAAAGTCAGCCCTTTCTTCGTCCGAGTCTGGTATAAAGTGTGTCAGATCATCAACTCAGTCAGTGATGCAGGTTCACTCACAGCTGAAGTTGTCATTCTTCCAGTCCCGGTCTTTGAGCGAGTCAAGAGACACGATGGCCGGCACAATCTGGTACAGGATAAATCGCTTTCATAAAAGCACAGCTCGCAAATGAGACAGACCCAGAGCTTAGACCTGGCGTAGATATCGAGAGACTTGCAATATGGTGCGATATTGCCTATGATTTGAATCCCAGAAGAGCCAACACCCATCACAGCTCTGATAGGCTCTCTATATCAGTAAAGCGATATAAGCTAAAGCCACGTACACACTCTCCTCCTTGAATGCGTTCTGCCAATCAAAATCAACAGGCCACTCAGCTGTGTGGAGGACCGGCGTCCTGGCAAAGGACTCCAGGCCTGCAATGGCCGGGCGGTTCACGTTACTATCAAGACAGTGTCATCGGGCGAACAGTTAACACATGCTTACTACTTACTTCAAGACTCCAGTCGCTGGGGCAAAAACATCATATGCTTTCGTACTAGTCTGCGATGTCACCAAATCCTCCACTGTGACATCCCAAGTCCCTGACATCGCATCGTACACTGCCGCAGTGACCTTATGTCGCAGGCGAATAAAAGGAACGATGCCGTATTTCTGAGCAAATGTTTTGAAGTATTTCTTGATATCCTCAGCATACGAAAAAAACCTAGGGAGAAGACTTAGCTATCACTCAGACTAAATTGTGGGACTTACTCTGGCCAATCTGCGTAAGGAGCAAACGAGAGTTGATAGCCGGCACTTGGATGTCGCCTGCAGATTTCCCATGTTTTAGTCGCTCGAAAGGAAGAGAGGAGGGACATACATCGGCAACCTGGATAGCGATTCACATGCCTGTAATTCAGGATGAGTCAAACCGGCTGCCGAGGTTCCTACGTTCTCACCAAGTCCCCGTGTAATCTACATACGCATCGTTAAGCAAACGTTTAACTGAAAAGTGTCACCTACCATCCTCTTGCTCAAACAAGACAAACTCAATAGGTCCAAGCCTTCCTTCCTTTTGCGCCTCCAGAATTTTGTAAGCCAGGCATAATCCTGCAGCGCCTGCTCCACAGCTATGATATCGAGTGAGAAAGAGAGCCTCGCCATCTGAGATGACTCACATAGCAAGGCGCAAAGGCCGCGGCTGGAATCCTAGCACCGACGTTCGTTAAGTACAATTGGAGTCCGTAGATTTCAATTCCTCGCCTGGTTTCTTGATGTATTCCCATTCATCGGGCGTGCTGGTATTGCGTCGAAGGAAACGGAACATTGGGGAAAAGGATCAGCAACAGAGATGAAACAGTATTCGCTCGATAAGAATCGGTAGCAGGAGGTCACAGAGGTGGAGAAGCCCACGAGACCTCTGTTGATAAGCACCGGAGTGAGAGATAGATACCAGAAGCTAGTTACTGGGACAGATGACGTTCCATCAGCGACCGAATGTTCCAATGTCGATGAAAAATAAACGGTTGGGGTGACTTGCTTGTCCTGTTGTACCAATAAGATGTTGAAGCTAGATACCGTCCAGGAAATTCACTCCATTGTTGAATAGCATAATACAAGTCTATACAGTCGCCTCTGTAATAACCCATACCCCTCGGTGGACACCTGGGGCTATGGGTTACTACAGAGTATGGGTTCTGGCAGAGGCCGTTGTAGGGTGTCTCTGAAGGGTTTCAAAGGTCTCTACTACACGTAAATTGTATTCTAGACCTAGTTTGAAGTAAAACACATTTTAATTTCGGTATCCTTTAATGAATGAGCCTCTCTCGACCTGTTGAAGCCATAATTCTTTCAAGCTGGTGAATATAAGGGTCATCCAAGTTGCTAACATATTGTTGAAGGGTTGCAACAGCCTTCAGGGCCTCTTTACAGGAGGCGGATCGATACACTGACATTGATTCACATCAGCATCACTCATCTCTTCAGCTTCCTCCTCGCTCCGCACTATCATCACCTTAACATCCTTCCCGACATTGGCAATAGGGTCAGGCACGGCTGTGAGAGTCGAGGGAGCGGCAAGAATGGAGTGGTAGATCACATTTCTCCGCGTGCACCAGTCCGCGCTTGCCCAAAAACAACACGAATAGCAAGGTTCGAACCCACAACAACCCAAAATTCAACTTTACGTGCTAACAACTAAGCCATTTGACCTAATTTATTTCATGAGTATGTGGCTATACGGAGGGATTTTCAAGAAAGAGCTATGGGTTATGGGTTACAGCAAAGTTATGGGTTATGCACTCATTTTACCTGCGAACGAGGTCGGTGGACAGCAAAACCTATGGGTTACAGCAGAGTATGGGTTAATACAAGTATGGGTTACTTCAGAGGCGACTGTAGTTGGAATGCGGTGAGGTAATAGGGTAGTAGTGCGCAACACGGGTATCTAGATAGACATCTCTGAAGGAATATCAGGCAGGTTGGGGATAGACAGGATGAAATACTCGTCACGCTGATGAGCAAACGGCTTTGTTTTTTAGTCTCGACATCTGCACCAGAATCTCTGCCGCCTCGATATCCTCTGCAGTAATGGAAAGTGCCTGTCCGTTCGAAAAGGACCTCTGAGGGGCGGCACCGAGCGCCAGGATGTCATTGAACACTTCTGGGCAGGTCTTGCTCATAGTAGGCAAACCGCAGAGAGATAGGATCACTTTGGACTGTCCAGGTCGCGACGTCAGTTTCTCATATCCATCATTAGTGGAAGAGTGAAGTGGGAGCGATTTCTTGACCATCTCGGATTTCGAACGTGGCGGGAAAACTGTCGAGACGCTGATAGGATCCTTTAGTGTTCGTATCTGGCATGTATTCTCCTTGGTACAATCCGGACAGCTCATCGCCCAGGCAAGAACGAGGGAAGCAGGAATACAGGAGAAGCGTTTGTCGATAATGTAGTAGTTGGAAGCGCCATTGGAGTGCTTTTCAGCATGGGTAGAGATGATGATGGAGGCCAGCTCCTCGCGAGTAGCGACTGGTCGTCCTCGATGTAGCAGTAGGTCGACACCATGGCATCGAGTTTTCAATGAAAGCTCCGGTAAAAGCCCGACAAGGCGAGGATGTAACGTGTCCTTGTCTACAGAATCTTCGTCCAGCGTCCATGAAATTAACTGTGACCGCTCTTGGTTGGTCAAAGCGTAGTCTTCCAGTGATGCATCGATAGGTAAGGCGTCGAAGTAGTTCTTGTTAATGATACGGAACTGGGCGAGATGCAATGGAGGGATGAATGTGTTCATCTTTGTCGTCGAGCGTCTCGACGCGGTCACCGTCGACTCGGCCAGCGAGTAGGGCTTGCGAACATTTCTTGTTGACCTTGGAGTACGAATAGAGAACATAGGATAGGGCACGGTGTTGAATAAGGGAATCTGAAGTACTGAGGCGCAGATGATGGTAAGTAATAGGAAGTCAAAATAGTTTCGGCCGAAAACTTGACAAGTTCTCAGCACAGCCACCTATTATCCCGATTTTCTTTTTTGAATTTTCAGCAAACGCTTGCCAATACTCTTAGCTTGATACCCTTTGAAATGAATTTCCAAGACCTCTCTCATTCCTGCCGGCAACCAGTCGAAACTGCTCTTTTCCCAACTTTTAACGAGATGCTTGTTACGCCTTCTCCGGGACGAGGCGTCTCATCTGACTTTGCTGGTACCTAAGTATGAGGACTATAGCTGCTTCGTTTGACCACCTTCTTTTATTACCGCTGGGCTTAGGCTGGGCATTATCAATGCCATATACCACAGATATCCATGTGGAGTACCTCTATGTCAGCAAACGTCTCGTGGATTCGCTTCTTTACTCCTGTGACCCCCTGCTATCGGTACTTATAGAGTTGTCAGCCACTTCTCTCGTTGCTGCTTCCTCATGTTCGGTTTCCTCCAACGCAATACTACCGGAGAGGATGATGCTTTGAATAACAATGGCATATCAAGCGACTGGGATTACCTCAAGAAACCAGGCGAGCATTCGTATCATGAAGACTGCTGGCCCACCTAATGGATGTCCTATTTCCTATCAGGATTCCAGCCGCGTCCGCTGCGCCTTGCTGTGTGAGTCATTGCAGACTCTGGCAGTGTCTCTTTCACTAAATTCCGTAGCTGTGGCGCAGGTGCCGCAGGACTGTGCCTTGCGTACAAGTTACTAGAAGCTCAGAACAACGGCGTGCTTGGACCAGTCGAGTTTATCTTATTCGAGAAAGAGGCCGGTAAGTATTTTTTTCTCTTTGGAAAGTTCTAGTTTACTAATGGTAATGGATACAGACTACACGGGAACATGGTGAGGAGGCCGGGAACCGTACTACCGATGTTCCGACGACTTATCCATTATAGGCATGTGAATCGTTATCCGGGCTGTCGATGTATGTTCACGGTTTCCTTCATGGTACTTCTGCACTCCAACCGAGAATCGGCAGGCGACATTCCAAGCGCTGTCTATCAATTTTCGTTCGCTCCTTATACGGATTGGCCAGAGTAGGTACGATGTAGATTGCATGTCACTTTCTGCTAATGATCTCGTCGTTTCCCAGCTTCTATTCTTACGCTGCGGAAATTAAGAAATATTTCAAAACGTTCGCTCAGAAACATGGAATCGTTCCTTTTGTTCGTCTTCGGCACAAGGTCACTGCGGCAGTGTACGACGAGGTTTCTGGGACTTGGGCAGTCACGGTGGAGGATTTAGACACGTCGCAAACTAAAACAGACACTTATGATGTCTTCGCTCCGGCGACTGGGGTTTTAAAGTAAGTAAATGATATCCTCTCAGGATCAGTGTATCAGGGCGCCTGAGTCTGTGTCAATAGTAATGTGAACCGTCCTGCTATTGCTGGCCTGGACTCTTTCACCAAGACACCAGTCCTTCACACTGCTGAGTGGCCTGCCAATTTTGATTGGAAGACGGCGTTTAAGGATGAGAGTGTGTACGTCGTCCTGTTATGCTCCGACTTTTGGTTCGACTGACGTTGCTTTGAAGTGCTGTTATAGGTGTCGGATCTTCAGGTCTCCAGACCATCGGCACCATAGCACCGTACTGCAAGAGTCTCGACATTTACGCTAGGAGTAAAGTCTGGGTTCGACTTTCTGCCAGTTTCCTTCTAGCACTGTTGCTAACTTTTGGGGTGATAGATCGTGCCAACTATCGTGTCCCTTGATTCGCTCAAAGATCGGGACTGGAAGGATGATAACTTTAGTTGTAAGTATTCCGGCTTGGCGTGTGCTCCGCTGACCGTCTCTAGACTCACAAGAAGAGCGAGCCGATTTTGCGAAGAACCCAGAGAAATTGTACCGTCACATCAGAGAGGTCTATGACAAGATGAATACGCGGTTTGGTTCGTAACATTTGTGCACCAAGGGTACAAGTTTTTCATACCTCCCCGTAGAATCCAAGCGAAACAATTCCGAGATACAAAAGGTAATAACGGAGTACTCGGTCACCGTTATGAACCTCACCAGATATTAGATGTTACGAAATATTGCCCTTGAGCATATGAGGAAGTCCTTGGATCGCGAGGATCTTCTTCTCAAGCTTATACCAGAGTAAGTTCCCTGCCGCTCTTCCGCATGGTATTCCTCAGCTTCTCATATTCAGCTATGCCGTAGGGGTACGTACATACCAGAATCTCCATTATACAACTCTTCACTGAAAACTCCCCAACTAGTGTCGAAGGCTAACACCCGGAGCTGCTTTTATGGAAGCGTACGTTTCGCGCAAGTAAAAATAACATACCTATAACCATATTCCTTGAGCAGATTGAAGCTCCCTCATGTCAACCTGGTCCAGGATCCAATTGAGAACATCACTTCAACGTCCATCGTCAGCGGAAGCGGCATCGAGCGTCCCGTCGACCGCATCATACTTGCAACGGGGTTCGACACCGGGTTCAAACCACAGTATACCTTTCGGGGTAGAGGCGGGATTGACCTCAGAGATATATGGGCGCAGAAACCAAGAGGTACGGGTATCAGTTAATTATTTCGGGTCTTAGGTGTTAATGTATTTTTCAGCGTACATGTCGATTGCGCTGGCAGGCTTTCCAAATATGTTTCTGATGGGAAGTGGACCGGGGATCCCGTATGCTAATGGGTCGATCTTACCTGGTATGGAAGCACAAGCAGATTATGTTGTTGCTTGCTTGTGAGTACAGCTTTGAATGCGTGCTTTGGTGTGTTTTATTCTGATCGATTCAAAAGGTCGAAAATGCAGAAGCAGGACATCAAGACCATGGAGGTAGACAGGTATGCGCAGGATGAATATAACATTCAGCAAACATGTATGTTTTCTATTTTTCTTCTTGACTGAAATCTGACTAGGGAAAAGCAACTATGAAAGATCTTATATGGGTGTGACCGCTTTCTTACTTTTTGACCTTGACTACCCGTGCTTAAATTCAAGTTAACTAGTCGGAACAATGCTCTTCTTGGTACAAGGGCGGAACAGTCGACGGGGAGCCGTATGCCCTCTATGCAGGAAGTAGTACGTGCTTTGTTTCTGACTAAACAGCTATCTAAGAAGATTCCAGCACTCCAGTATAGGGAACTACTGTCTTCTCCTCGGTGGGAAGACTGGAAATTCACACCGATATATAAGAATCGATTTGCGTTCCTTGGGAATGGGGAATCTTCCGTGCGTGGCATTTTTCTTTGTGTTTTTGGCTTTGCCTCGACCCCTCATTACTAGATCGAAGCCACGGGAGGTGATAGAGCTTATTACGTGTCACTGGAAAATTGTGTGAACGCTCTTGGTGCGAGTGAATCGGATTGATTTTCAGGCTGACTCGGGATGCAAGCTGAATGAAATTGTGTTATATCTCGCTTATGGCAGCGTTAGCATGTACTAGAAATCTTGGGTATTTCGTAATTATTGAGGGTTCTTTCTCCCTGGATTATTCACGGCTCTTTCATTGGAAGCCATAAATGGGCTAAGTATTTTCTGAATTGAAGGTACCTGCAAAAGTACGGCTTTTGCCGAACAGGAATTAGATCGTACACGTGACGTAAACGCGCTTTGCGTACGACCATCATGACCATGTTTGCTGCTTTGGATCCCTCTCTGTTGCCTGCTACCACAATGGATACACGAAGGTGCAACATATGCAAGGCTCATATTTCATCAAGTTCTCTTTGGAAGCGATGCGACGATTGTAGGAGAAAAAGAACAGCAGAACATCGCAGGTGGCGAGAAGGGAAGAAGGGTCGTCTTTCCTTGTTTCCTGCCAGTTCAACGGCGGTCACGGTCCCTCTAAAGCGCAAGGCTGCTCAATTAGAGACTGACGGTCCTAGCAAGCGACCCAAAGCAATGACCCATGGCAAAGAAACCAAGCAGCAAGATTGCCAGGTGTGACTGCTCTATTTTGACTACCATAATCGTTTCCTGACAATAGGTAGTTTCATCCTACTTGGAAGCCAGTATCTCTTACACATATGCATGAAGAACTCCGCGACCTCCCGCAGAAACAGGACGCCTGCCTGCATGCTAGCCATTCTATTATCGCATCTGCAGACATTGATCATCTTCAGCGTGCTCGTCTAGTAGCACATGATTTGCGGGGATACCAGCTCATGTGCGCTTTTCTTCGTGTTACGCGTCTATATGACGGATACACCCTTCTCTAGATCTAGCAAGAGGAAGACATATATCACAGATATCCCGGGCGGTTGTAGCCTTCTGTTCAGCTGCGCTTGCTTGGGGCCAAGCATAGATTGCCTCGGAAGTACCAGAATAACGGTTGAAGATGATATGTCGCACCCTTTGGGAATCAAGGGACAGAAGATAAGCGTTGTCATTCATCATTAGCAATATGTTACTTTTTCAATGACATGGCAGTTCTGTATCTATTGGTCCACCCTGGGTGTCCAGTATCTGTCCTCTTCTCTATGAGCATCCCCGCTCCTGATCAGGGCTGGAAGAAATATCGTTGCGGTCGAATACCGTCAAGGCCAGGGTACAGACAGGCTAATTCATGAATGTAGCACCGCACTGATACCAGCTGCCTCGCAATGATTCCTCAAGATAGAAAGACGCAGAGTTCCCGTCTTTGTATTCTTATTACCTTGCCACTAATCACCAGGCCGAAGAATATGATGGGCAGAATCATTTCTACTTTCCGAGGAGCGGGAAGCTACCTCACCGGCCCGCTCATCCGACCCGACGTAGACGCGAGCTGTCAGGGGTCTCTACTTGTATTCTGGGTCCTCTTCCCCACATGATTCCCAGCCGTGTCCGTTGGCCTAGGACGACAGAAGAATTCTCTCTGTCTCTGCCATTCTTTTTGATTTTTCCTGACATGAGAAGTATTGTCTCTCGTGTCGCGCTAAGCGTTATCTTAATTATCTTGCTAATTCCAGTCAGGGAGTCCAGAGCGCGCGCTCACCGCGTCTCATTATGATTCCGTATTTCTCATGATCAGTGAATCTGATCATGATTAGGTCATGACGATCTTGTGTTTTTCCCCGGATCTTGCATAAAGGCAAAGTGTTATCCTTACCCCGCACTCCCCATGCCCCTCATGGAACCCCAAGCTATCCTTGCTGCCCTCGTCTTTGCAGCTACTCTTCTAGCTGTAGTATACACCCGACTACGACGTTCTCATTCTGGCCTACCCTTACCCCCAGGGCCGCCTAGCGACTCGATATTCGGGACATCGTTTCAATCTGAGTTGTACGTCCCCGCAATCTGCTCTCTATGTATCTCGCCTAACAGGTCTTAAGCTTCTACCGACATTTCGAACGATGGACACAGGAGTATGGCCCAGTATTCTCGTTCAGGCAAGGTTTGAGGACCATCGTCGTCGTCGGACGGTTTCAGGCGGCTGTAGACATCATGGAGAAGGAAGGTGCAGCGCTCGCTGACCGCCCTAGGTCCATCGCTGCTGGAGAGACGTTGTCTGGCGGGATGCGCGTTCTTCTTACTCCGGCCGGCGAGCGATTCAAGAAGATGCGAAGGTAAGCCTGCAATACAATTGCTCCTATTGTGCTAATCTGGACCATGCTTTCGCTAGGGCTCTGCATTCTCATCTCCAGCCAAAGAGCGTCGCCTCGTACTCACCGATCCTCATGAGAACCGCAAGGCAAAATATGTTGGACATCATCCAGGATCCGGAGAGGCACCAGGACCACGCAAAGCGGTGCGTAGCCCCCTCTTTCCAATTGGCTTATTCTGTCCTGACGTTCACTTTAGCTATGCCGCCGCCGTGGTGATGGCTTTAGCATACGGCAAGGTCCCTCCTTCGTACGAGGACCCCGAGGTTCAGTCCGTCAATCGATGCCTCACGCGACTTGGACTGACGATGCGAGCTGGAGCCTGGAAAGTAGATATTCTTCCATTGCTGAAGTGAGGTCATCGATCCTGAGACGTATATGAGTTGACATTTATTCTCGGTTTAGATTCGTACCGGGATATCTGAGGCCGTTGAAAGACGGCCATGCCGAGGAACTAGGTCTCTTTAAGAATCTCCTTCAAGAAGTTCGGGATCAGATCGTGCGCCTCATATCCTTTCTCTTTGTACCCTCTTGACGTTTTCCTTGTAGGCAAGAGGCGATGAAGTTCCGTCTTCGTTTGGGAAATACCTCATAGAGCGGCAGAATGAATACCAGCTCAACGACGATGAGACGGCCTATCTTGCTGGAAGCATGTTCGGAGCTGGCAGCGACACCACAGCATCGGCGATTAGTGTGGCTGTCATGGCTGCAACATGCTACCCTGAGACACAGAAGAAGGTCCAAGAGGAATTAGATGCGGTAATCGGAAGAGACAGACGTACGTTCGTTTGAGTTGCTTTCTGATAGGATTCTGATGTGGGCCTCTATTCAGCACCGACATTTGCCGATCAGGACATCCTCCCTCAAACGATGGCGTTCGTGCTGGAGAGTTTCCGATGGAGGCCCGTGACGTCTGGTGGATTCCCACATAAAGCAACGCGGGATATCATCTGGGTGTGTATTGTTCTCTCCATATGCCTCGTCCTCTCATTTCTGCATAGAATAACTACTGCATACCAAAAGGAGCTTCTGTGATAGGTAACGTGTGGTAAGTTGTGTCATCTTGTTATGAAAGTATCTAACGATCCATTACTTTCAAGGTCTGTGGGACGAGACCCTGCCGTCTTCCCAGATCCGGAGACATTTAAACCCCAACGGTGGATCGCGGAGGATGGGACGTTGCGAGATGACATTCGGTCATATCCATTCGGTTTTGGTCGAAGGTACGGCATTCCAGCATCTGTTTGTTTTCCCGGAACTAACACACGAGGCAGAGTATGTCCTGGACAACACATAGCCACGGCATCGACATATATCAACACAGCGCTGACGCTGTGGGCGTTTAACCTTCGCGAGGATGAGAAGGAGAAGGTTGATACCCTAGCGTTTACGGAGAGTGCGAATGCGCATCCGATGCCGTTCAAGGTTCTGTTTGAGCCCCGGCTAGCGGGTGGATGGGATGCTGTGAGGGAGGCATTTGAGACGTATGGGATGTGATTCGAAGTCGCATGTAAGGGCACATCTGTATTTTTATCTTTACCAAGGTTGAGCTTGGCGATGATTCTACGGTTGTGCAGGCAATTCCTGTCCGGTTATGAGATTCTCTCCTCCAACGATATCTACGACACAAGGTTCACTGACTGCAGTGGCTGGTGCGCTTGATGGCCTAAAACGGGATTTTAAAACGTTTCGATTTCAGCTTCAGTTTTTACGCCCTCGTTTTGAGTGCTGTAAAACGAAAAGTTATCTCAGTTACATTGGTCTCTAGGGGGCAAGGTTTTTCATACGTTTGACGGATGCCTTTTCAGGATTGACAAAGGCTTCGCTAAAACAAAACCTTTTAAGGTTTCTTATTTTACGAGCTAAAATGACCTGGCATCTGCTGTGACTCCTCTGTTTCGAACTCTATGTTACTTTATGTTGTCTATAGGACGCGACGGTATCCTTGTAAGGTAAGAACTCTGCAACTAGTACATGACAAGCCCGACGCTTAGGGTGACAGTCTTGCCTTCAGCTCAAGTTGACCTGTACACGACGACACCGCGACCTTCCCGCATGTGAGAATTCTTTAGGCCTTTATGTCGCTTGCCATTAATATCCCCTTGTTTCCAACCTTTCACATAGGCTTTCGCTGTATTACACAATAATAAAATACAAGACTGTTCCAAACTGTAAAGCGGCACAAGTTCCTTCCCCCAGTGAACCATCAGAGTCAATCGCACTCATCATCTGCTAATGAGCTGTCTTCTTCAGGCTCAGAGCGGGGCAGGTTCACCACTCGTGCAGCAATTTCTGGTGGAAGTGGCGTGCCCACCTTTGCGGGTCTGAGGCCTCTGGACCAGTTGCATAACACACCATCGTCGGACATAATAACGATGTCCTCCCGTAAGTCGTATCCAGCGTCAGCTGGTGCTCGTGGCGCTTCTTTCAAGGAAACCTCTTCGCAGTCGGACTCGGAAGGCTCAGGCGAAGCCAGTTTCTTTGCCACTGAGTTTTCAATCGCCTCTGGTTTGTTCTCCTTCGATTGCAATGGCGTTGATTCCTAGAAATGATATTCATGAGTGCATGCCGACGCGAAGGAAGGCACTTCTGTACGCACGGGTTGTTCCATGAGGTGCTTGGAAGGTAATATTGGACGTGAGTGATGGTTAGAAGTTGAGATTAGAACCCTCAAAGCCCTTTGCTTTTAACAAAGACCTGTGCCACTGTATGATGGAGCAGGAAACGAGGTTACCCTGAGCTCCCTTTCATTTCATAAGAAAATGGATGAAGAACAAGGTGCTATGTTCGAACAAGGGAGATCTTTCCAGGATATAGAACGGTAGGACAAGCATCCCCGTGGAAGCGGCTTGTAACGTGCTTCAAAAACAAAGGATATGGACAAGAGTTCAAAGGTTCATGGCACAAAATTGCTACTAGCGTTCTGAAACTACGCGACCAGACGTTGTTATGAAATGGTTAACAAACGAATTCTAAGCGTCTGCCCTAATCGGCGACTTCAGATCTTGGCCGTATCGAGCACTTAAACGGTGCGGGGTGACTATTGAAATGATTAGAAAAATACAAAGACTTATCGCTCAAACACTCACATTAGTGCGCCGGACAGATACTCCCTCGAAACCTCGATGACATTCCCCTCCGCATCAACAGCCTTACCAAAGTCAAATACCGCCAATAATGAAGCCATAACTATCTTTATGGTGTTAATGGCCAGATCTTTCCCAGGACAGATGCGTCTGCCAAAGCCAAAGGTTTCCATGGGGAATGGGACATTCAGGTTTAAAGCTCCGTCTTTCATGAACCTTTCGGGGTTGAACGTGTCTGTATCCGGACCGTAGATAGCTTCCTCGCGGAGCAAAGCCTTATCAGGGCGCCATGCCAGCCAACAGATGAAAAACTAAAAGATGATTCTGTGCTCACCATGCATTGCCCACCACAGTTGCACCTCTTGGGATGTGATATCCATTGTATTCATTATCTTCGGTGCAACGACGTGGGACACCTACATCGCAACTTTTCGATTATGACACGCGGGATACACCAGCATAATAACTGACCTAGAGGTAAAACGGGCGCCTAACGTAGAACTTCGTTCAAGATAGCCTGCAGATACGGGATACAAGTACAGTCATAGAAGTCTGGAAGTCGTCCTGAGCCAATGGCCATATCTATGGCAGCTTGGCCCTTCTTCTGCACATTAGGGTACAGCACCGTCGCCAGCACAAAAAAGCACAAGACGGATACTGTCTGGAAAGGACGTCGGCGTTGCTTAGGCACTAGTCATTTTGTTACACACCGTATCTGCACCACCTACCAGCCCATCAGGTGAATCTAAGGTGATCTATTGATAAATACGGAAAGAATCAAAGCCGTACCCGCATAAAACGTAGACGTCACATCACGTAAAGTGTCTTCGTTCTCCTGCGTTAGATTTCCGTCAGCTTCCATCTGGGATTTTTGCTTGTACACCACAGAGTGTTCCGCTGTGCCGTCTTCCTAGAATACGATAGTGAGGATGCAGAAACCGAGTTGAAGAGAAAACCACTGACTATCGATTGCTTAACAAAAGCCACGGGCATCACAGGCATAGCAGTGATAGCCTTGCGCCATTCTTTTGCTTTGTGCTTGAAGGTCCCAGAGAACCAATCGGGTACGAAACGTAAAATCGGGGACGCGTCGACAAGGAACGATCCAGCGTTCATACATGCTGCAGCCGCTTGCATAGCGGTCTCCGCGTTTCGGATGTAAGGGTCGCCCTCATGCTTGATGTCGATTCCGTAGGTAATGGCCAAGATCAATCGTCCGAACATACTGAGGAGGGTCAAATTAGAGTTTAATCGATGACAGGCTTGACTCACAATCGAATACTTCCGCGATAATTTCGGGATCATCCAAAAGACGTCGCAAGAGCAACCTTGTTTCACGAAGTTCACAGGGACGGTAGGCAGCAGAGCTATGGCCTTCGATCTCCTGATGAAAAATCCTTCGATGACCTGTGTAGCACGAGTCGCATCCAGGATCAACAAAGTACGATGCGGACAAAAGAAGTAAAGTTGCCTTTAGTGTTGCCACGGCTCGGCTCAGAGTCGCCGAGTCGTCGAGCGGAGCCGAAGTCGGACTGAGCCGAGTCACCAAAATGACTCGGATGCAAAACGGCTTGACTCGGCTTCGACTCGACTTTTGATGGCTTGAAGCCGGCCGAGTCAATGACTCCGTCCAATTTTGGAAGAGGTATCTCTACCTAGACCTAATGTACTCAGACCATATAATTGAATTAATATGATTTAGTCCATTTTCGAGGGATAGCCACTTGGTACCCTCTTTTTCTGTTGAATATATTGACCAGCGGCAGGTGGGTGTCGACATTAGGTAACGTGAGAAAATAATGCTTAAATGACCGGACTTTTGCCGCCCGACACCTCAGCACCAACAAGCTTCCCATCCCCGCTACCTGTATACACCAAAAAGTTTTAGAGAAAGGTTCCTATTGCAAACATCTGCATTAATACAGATATTTGGAACTATCTTTGCATATCAGAAGTCTGCTACTGAATTTTACTTTTTGCACCTTCCTATTTGGGTATGCAATCAACGACTCGGCAAAGCTCAGTGACTTGGAGCCGAGTCGAGCCGAAGTCAATGATTTCATTTGACTTCGGAGTCGTCCCGGAGCCGAGTCATCCGAAGTCGAGCCGAGTCGAGTCGAGTCGAGTCGAGTCGAGTCGAGCCGTGGCAACACTAGTTGCCTTTCCATCTCTCTTTGTAAGGTATGGAGGTAGTATTCCATTCAAAACCCATCCTTGAGGAGCCGTGTGCTATGGACAATCGTCACAAAAGAGAAGTAAAGATGAGCCTACAAATCAACTAACATGGAGAAATTCGGCCTAAAAGGGTTCAGCGACCACATAGTAAGAATTACTCATAATCTTAGCAAACTTGTCGGAGTATATCAAGGAGCATTTTTCAAAAAGATCCCTTGCGACGTCATGAGTATTGACAACGATAACCTGACTGCCCATGAAGTTGAGCGAAATGAGGCCTGAATCTGACAAGGATGGTCAAGCATTGTGATTGAGCAGGACACGAGTGCAGTACCATACTTCCTGCTCATTTTCATGTAGGCAATCCAATCAAATTTCCCTGGAATATCGTACACATTCCCAATGATAGGAAGCCCCGGTGGACCTGGTAGTAGCCGACGGTGTGATTTGGAGACCAGCTTATACAGGGCAGTATACGAATGCTAGGAAAAGGGAGGCATTTAGGCTGAGAGAAAGATGCATCGGAGCAGTACCACCTTAGAGATGCTCATCCCTTCACCTTATAGAACTGGGAAAAGGTCGGCTATAGTCGTAGTGAGTAGCCTAATGCGAGCCAGATAATATATGGAACTATTGGCTGAAAGGATGATGTCATGAGAGCGAACGGTTGAGTGGGGATCTCGTGTAGTGAGGAGCCGAAGCTTGTCATGCCGGGCGTCTACCAAACTCAATAGACAAGTATATCACATGAGGCCCTGTGGTACGCAAGTTCTGACAATATTGTAATGTAAACTTCTAGGCTGTCCTGTCCAAGAAAGGCAGAAGTTCAGCTGGCTAAGGTTGGAGACGAAGCGGGGCCGATACTTAACGTCATGAAGTCACAAAGATCCTCAAGCTAGTTGACCTTCTTCTCTTCGTACAATGATTTGAGGCGTGTCATTTTCAGAATCAGCAAATATGAAGCCAAATTGCTAGTGTCGTCCATTGAACTGCCTGTCCTGTTGCGGATTTCGGCAATATCGAACGATCCGACCTTGCTGAGCGCCATAAAGGTAATCAGAAGGGTGGTGTTAGATCCAGGGGACAACGGGCTTTGAGGGACATCTTGGATACATTATCAACATAAGTGCACAGAGGACTCACAGTGGACGTCTAAGTTTCGACACAGTATTTGATGGAAACAGAAAAGAGCGAACGAACAGTACTTATGACACTGCCGCACTCATTGAATTGTGCTGTGGCTGGACGATCATTCAGAGTGTGATGAGGCTAAGACTATTAGTACTGTGCTGGATTATCATGGCGACGGTGGTAGGTAAGGGGGAAAAGCGGAGAACAGATGTTGAAAGTGCACGGCCTGAATCGAGACTACACTGATACCAGTGCCTATAGCAAAGGCAGTTCTTCTGTCCTTTGGTTCAAGTATCCATATACTCTTATCACATTCCGGAGATACGGAATTTAGCACACGATACGTTTACCAGTTACATCTTAATTCGTCAATTCGATCGAAGCATATGTACAATCCTCCATTGGCTAGTCTTCCAGATTGATTAGAGAAATGACAGCATCCGACCTTGGTCGAATCGAACACTTGAACGGCATAGGATAACTTCCAAGTATGTCAGCAGAAGGGTTATGCTAACAGTTTCAGACTTACGACAACATCCCTGAAGTGTACTCCGCAGATGGCACCATAGTCTTCCCACCCTCATCGACAGCCTTTCCAAAGTCAAAGACTCCCAACAGTGATGCTATCGTTATCTTCACTGAATCGATCGCTAAATTCCGCCTAGGAGCCATTTTACCCAGATAACACATACAGCCATATGTAGCTACAGGACAATATAAGTAACAAATGAGAGAACATCTTGTACTTCGGAGTTTGAACATCTGAATACCATGGATGATAGGTGGCCCTACTGTTTTTTGGGTCAAGGAATCCGATTCTGATAGTCCCCAAGCCATAGAATGAGCAGAACATCGAAATATGGGATGTGCTCCTCCTGTTTTACAGAATGATCTGCTCATATCTCATTCAATACATTTCAGATATCCATGGGGCTTCGTACACACCATTGTACAATATATATAGTCTGTTATATAACAAGAATACCCTCCCTAAGTATTAGAAATGCGAACTATAAGGTATGTCTCCTCCATCCCCCTATTACTCTTTTTATCACGTATTTCTGATGGTTTCCTTTATCCTGTGGGGTCATTTGAGTGTTATTTAGGTCAATAAACACAATAGACAAAACTCCGAAGTGGTCCGAAGCCCAGAAATAGGATTTATTACATGTGCTCCTCCTAAATTGTAATATCATTATTTCTGTCGTTTTTGAGACCCTATAAATGAAGGCTGGAGTCGTTTGAGGTTTTTAATATCAGGGAATCCATTGGTGATGCTCCCCAGGCCATCCGAAGTGCGAAAAACAAAATAAGCGATGTATACCCCCTAATACCCCCTTTTATACTGTATTATACTGGACCTATATTACGAAGGAGGATGTATTCTAGGGTTTTTATAGCATAGGAATCGACTGGTAATGTTTTAAAAGCGATCTGGAGCATGCTGCACCCTAAAAAGCGAATATTTTCGTTTATCTCCAGGAATAAAGTGTGCCAAAAGTACTGTGGAGGGGTCGTTTGGGTGTTTTCAAGGTCAGGGAATCGATTGGTGAAGTCCTCCAGCCGATCCAATGCATGCAGCAGCCCCCAAAAGCGAATATTTATGCGATTTTCATTATATTACCCTTTTATCCCACTATCCAGGGCTCCTATGCATCATTAGAGGGCTCTATTTTATGTTGTTTATGTCTATACAGATTATAGTGCCATCCCCTGGCCCAGCCAGTAGGCTGAGAATAGCCCAATAGCTACTTTGACCGGAAAATAGCCCCTATTTTGGGTATTAAAAATGCGGCACTGCCACTGGATCCAGCCAAAATTGATGGGCTGATTTGGGGAGCCTAAAAAGGCAAAAGAGCGCACCAGAGCGGAGCAAAGGGAGGGCATCAATATGAGGTCATAAATGTTAAGGGAGGGAGGGTATATATAGAGATGAAAAGACATATATATAATGCCAGTATGGTGTAGTGGTTAGCATGTGTGCTCGAGAAAGTCATGTGATATTATTGGATTTATTTTTGAGGTCCCGGGTTCAATTCCCGGAATTGCCCTCTTTTCTAATGATGCCATCATTGACACAGATTGGGAAGCTTACTAAGCCACTTTGTCATCCTGATGGAATTACTGTATATGGGCTGGATGTAAACTGACACTCCTGATGTATCACAATTAACTGTCAACTAACACCTTTCAAACAGAAATCTAGCAGACCAGGCTGGCCCTGGACATTTGTGCTGACCGAAGCCAAAAGTTTCAGATGGGAACGGAACGTTGGGGTTCAATTTCCCGTCTTTCATGAACCTGTCAGGGTTGAACTTGTGGGTATCTGGACCATAGGTAGTCTCATCATTTAGCAGTGCCCTAATGATTGACGTTATCGGTAAAACTTTAACAAGAAGGTAGCTCAGACTAACCAAACGTTACCCACGACAGTTGCACCAGCGGGTACATCATATCCACGATACTTGTTGTCTTCGCTACAACGATGAGATATAGCTTTAAATACTGATAAGCTGGATGTGCGAAGACTTCCATGTTGGAGAACCGCACCTAAAGGCACTGACCGGCGCCCATCGCAAGACTTCATTGACAATAGCTTGAAGATAGGGCAGTGACTTGCAGTCACTGAAGTCAGGTAATCGCCCTGGTCCAGTTGCCTCATCCACGGCAGTTTGTCCCTTTTTCTGTACTTCAGGATACAGGACCATCGCCAGGATGAAGGAGCACAGCGTAGAAACAGTCTAGGACACTATCAGTAAGAACTTAAATACAGTGTTACATTACACACAGTGTCCGCACCACCTACCACATGCATCGGATGTCAGTGTTCGAGAGATAAGGGTTGAAATCACAAATATGTACCTGTGTAGAATGAGGCCATCGTCCCACTTATGATATTCTCAGCTTCCTTTGTTTGTGCATTGTCAGCATCCATTTGGGAGACGTATTTGTACGCAATGGAGGGTTCCGCAGACCCATTTTTCTGAAACGACCTCAAGTTCAGCTATCTCTGGTGTGGGGAGAAAGGCGAGGCTCACAATCGATTGCTCGACAAAGTCCATGGTTACTAGAGGCATCGCAGTGATGGGCTTTCGCCATTCTTTCGCTTTACGCTTGAAGCCTGCTCCCGGGAACCAATCGGGTGTAAACCTCAATATCAGGAATACGTCGACAAAAAAGGAACCTGCATTCGCAGCAGCAGCCATTGCCTTGAGAGATGCCTCAGCGATCCGAAGATAATAGTCATCAGCCATTTTGACATCGATGCCATACGTAATGCCCAAGATCATCCGTCCAGCCATCCTGAGAAGAAAATCAGTAAGTATAGACTGGAGGGCTGAGGATGTCACGCACAGTCGCACACTATCCATAAATATTTCTGGATCATCAAGAAGCCTTCTTAACAGAAATCTCGCCGAATCAACTTGTTGTTGGTTGTATTTTCCAGAATTTGAACCTCCAAACTCTTGATAGAAGATCTTGCGATGTGCTAATAAGACATCGGTTGAGATAGGAAGCGGCATGAAAGCAAAAAGAACAAACCTTTCCATGCCTCTCCGTAATGAGCAAAGGCAGTTTCCCATTCAAAGCCCATCCTTGAACCAATACAAATGGCTGAATGGGCATTTAGGCATGAACTCACAAGTCATTCAACATCGGAAAGTCTGGTCTACAGCATCGCATAAGCGACACGTGATAGAGCATTGGAAAGACAAACCTATCTGCATATATCGACGACCGTACCTCCAACAAATCCTTGGCGGCATCTCGAGCGTTGATAACGATGACCGGGGTATCCCACGAGGTTGAGAGAGATGATTTCGGAGTCTGATGACATATTTAGGTAATTGTAACCAACGTCTAGGAATTAAATCAGCCAGGCTCACCATACTGTCGACTCAGATCTCTATACGTGACCCATTCATACTTTTCTGGAATGTCGTAAATGTTTCCTATGATAGGAAGTCCTTTGGGACCCGGAGGCAAGTGTCGCTTGGGCTTAGATGATAGGAACCTGTTCAAGGTGTAGACCAGTGCAAGGAAGGCAACGATATCTACCAGTGAAAGATCCATCAGTGCTTGATGAAATTTTCGTAAAGTTTTCTGTTTATATGCACTTACCAAAGACAAATTGGGCCAGTCCATCCGAAGATGAAAGTGGTCACCAAACCAATGTGGGAAACCAGCAGAATGTGACGTTGAAATCCATGGCAGCGATAGATAATGTAGAACATACCACGAGGTCATCGGATGACAGAGCCTAAGAACCGAAATATGGAAGCCAGGTCAGGCGTGCAGATGATGAGTATGGTGCCATTCTGCTTGTCAAATGTTGCTGTTCCTTTGATCCTTGTGCCAGCTGGAGCAAATGAAGAAAACTTCGAATTTTGTTTAGATGATGTACATTGAGGCAGCATCGCGGGTATGTAGGTGGAAGAAAAAGGACATGATGGCAGAAGGCAAGAAACATCTATCGGCCCGGAATTTGCTGTCTCTGTTCCCACGCACTCGCCAACTTCATCTTTGTTCGATTATTTGAAAGGATCCTACTCTGATGTACAGAAGGTGACGGCCACACTTTAACATATATAAGATAACATGTCCCATACATAGGACCAAAGAATATGCAAGCTAGTATACTGAAACTTCTTGTACTCAACCCACAAGTGCCGCCTTAGGAAACTTGAACACCGGACTGAATCAAAAATACTGAAATTTGTGACCTGGGCTTGATCTCGCACTCGAATGGAACTGGATGGCTGTGGCAAAATGTACATTGGCATCCATTCATCAAAGGGAAGAAACCACCTGCCTTAGCATGCCCGATGTTACCTTGCCCGACGGCTCAATAACGTCGCCTTTATCATCGACCGCCTTGGTAACATTGAACACAGCTAGGATCGACGCAATCGACATCCAGATAGATGCTTCAGCCATTTCCTGGCCTGGACAGATCTGTCGCCCGAAGCCAAAAGCCTCGCTGGGATGTGGAATATCTGCATTTATCTTTCCATCCTTCAAGAAACGATTTGGATTGAAAACGTTGGGGTTTTCTCCATATACTGAGACGTCATTGACCATCGCCCTAGCAGAAGTATTACACGCTAAGCCATACGGAGTAGGACAAGTGATACAAACCACGCATTACCAACGACTATTGAGTCCTTGGGGATGTGATATCCTTGATATTCATCGTCTTGAGAGACTCTGTGCGGAACAGCTAGCACCCATATTAACAAAAGCTAGTTTATTCCAAGGCTTAATTAGATTAGACTTACCAAGTGGTGTAACTAGTTTCCACTGAAGGACTTCCTTGAGTAAGGCATTGATATAGGGTATTGTGTTGTAATCGGAAAATTCTGGGAGTCTATCGCATCCAATGGCATCGTCAATCGCCTCTTGCGCTTTCCTTTGGATGTCTGGATTTTGCGTCATGGCCAGTAGAAAAGTGCTCAAAGCGGAAACGGTCTAAAGCAGAGATTTCAGCATGACATGGCATAGTAGCAGGATGAACGCTTACGGTGTCTGATCCAGCTGAGAATAACATGAGTGAGATGAAATATCAAATAGACTCAGAGGCTCTTACCGGCATATGAGGATGCCAGTACATTGCGCAAAATCTCTTCCTTCTCTGATGAACGCTCTGCATTTTCCTCCATCTCATCAATACACTTGGATGCGATAGAATAATTTGATGTACCGGAGACCTGTCTATCGTTGAGTGCAAGTATGAAGCAAAGAGTGTATATTTTACCTTCGAATCATGGACGAATTTCATGGTTACATGCGGCATCGCCTTGACCGACAAGTTCCAATGCGCGGCTTTCCTCTTAAAATCAGCTCCTGGGAACCAATCTGGAACATACTGTAAGATAGGAAATGAGTCAACGAGGAATGATCCTGCGTTCCCCGCCTCGGCCATTCCTGCCATAGCAGTTCTCCGCTGTTTGAACAGTAAAAGTTGTCGTTATCCCGGACGTCTATACCATAAGTGACACCTAGTATAACTCGTGCCGCCATACTGGAGGTAGAGTGTTATAATGCAAGCTGTCGGAAAGTGATTTGGACTTACAAGCGTATGCTCTCTCAGAAATTTCCTGGGTTATCCAGAAATCTCTTCAGAAGAACCCTTGCTCCATCGAGCAGATGAGGATAGTGGTTGGTCACTGCAGGGGCCGATGAGCTCTTTGTGGAACAGTTTACGGTGCTCTGAGGAAGTAATATAATTAGCCCTTTTTTCTTGTTGGTTGTAGTAGTAGCTGACCTCTCCAGTAAGCGCCGTATCGATAAAAGGCAAAATGCCAAGTGAAACCGATTCTGTAAGGCAAATGAGCTTAATGAGACGCTGTTAATCCTAAAGGGTCAAGCATTACAATCCGTTCAACATAGGATAGGACGGCCTATATGGTCGCCGTTAGATATGGGTTTGTCGAGTAGACAAGAGCTCCCGACACACCTGTCAGAGTATATAGCAGAACGTTTGTCGAAAAGTTCGCGGGCGGCTTCACGAGTGTTGACAACAATAAGGTTGGTGCCCATTAAATCGAGGTGGATAATATCGGAGTCTAGAGCCATTATCAACACAGGAAAAGCGGGATAGAGATATTTATTTACTGTATCGTCGTGCCATGTCCCTGTAAGTGATCCATTCGTACTTTTCTGGGACATCATAGATATTCCCGACAATGGGGAGTCCTCTGGGTCCTGGCGGTAGACGAAGTTGAGGCTTCAAAAAGAGCCGGTATAGCACGTAGCTCAGCGCAAGAAACGCCGAGAGGTCTGCAGCCCGAAAGAAATCCATGATGGTTGGGTAGTCAAGGCTTGTCATCCAATATTTGCTGGGATTTATAGCGAGAGCAAGATTCTTCCAAGTTCAAAGCGAATAAACGATTGCATAGAGATAGTTATAGGAATGCTTGCGATAGCCGACCGCCACTCTTGCATTGCCGCGTTGGATACGCAATCTCTATATTGTTAGCCACTAACTCTTATCGACTTAGATCGGGTTAGGATCGCTACTCGCACTTCGGTAGACGATGCACTAACAAGTCAAAGGCGATGCAAGTCGATGGGACAGATAGTCATGAAGAACGGAGTTCGATGTTAGGTAGAATAAACCTTAGCCGAAGCTGGGGTTTAGACCAGCTGAGGCTCTACTTAAATACACGTTGAGTAGACTAAAGATAGTACTGTGAGAATGTCCGATCAAGACCGCAGCATAAAGCGCAGCATAGAGTAAGCATGAATACGTAAGAAAAGAAAAAGAAAAGAATAAACCATAACATTACCCCCTCCCTAAGACTCGTTCGTCCCGAATGAGTTCTCGCTCTCCGTCCCGCTTTCTGCAGACTGACTATAAAAGGAAAGGATGGTATCATCATCGTTGTCATCATCTTCTGAGTCGAAGTCCCAGTTTTCGTAGACCCGTTGTAGATTTTCGAGATCTAACTCGGAGTCCTCGTTGTCCGATGTCTTTTCCACTACCGGGATTCCATCTGCTTCTTCTGCGGTGACTTCCCGCATCGCTATTGACGACTGTAAATCGGAGTGTTTTGGGTTCGTGCATTCAGAGGAGTAAACGGTTTCGATGTCCGTGACGCATGGGGTATCCGGGTCGTGGTAAGCCGTTTCAGTGCCCGGTGGTATTTTGTCGTCTCTCCCCACCGTCCTTCCATACTTGTTGACCTCCCAATGAATCCGTTGGAGATGTGCCTCGTACTCGTTTACTAGCTCCTCCGCATTGGCCATGTCCGAACGTTTGACCCAGGAGTTCTCCTCCCTTGGGTAACCCTTCCATTTCACCAGGTACTCTGTTATAGTACGACGGGTGCGTCCGCGACCAATGACCTTGTCCCGCTGTTCCACGATTTCTTCGATTTCGTATTCTTCTTCGTCGTCAACTAGCTCTGGAGGTGGTCGTTCGGGGCGTGGTTGATGAGGAAATATAGGAGCCACGTAGGGCGTCAGTAGTGACTCATTGAAGCGGTTGTGAATCTTCCACTTTATTGGTAGTTTCAACTCGTAAGCAGAAGCCCCCTTTTTTGCGATGATGGTGAAGGGGCCAACACGGCGGTCCCCAAGTTTCTTGGTCGGCCTAGGGAGATGAAGGTTGGTCGTATCGAGCCATACCTTATCCCCTGGCTGGTAGTTCACTGCCTGGCCTACACGCTTGTCGTAAGCTTTTTTCATCGAGTCCGCCGCCTTTTCCAGGGATATTTTGGTCTCCTTCTGCGCTTTCTCGATTTCCGTCACTAACTTTGCCGCTGCTGGGACTATCGTTGGTTTGCGGGATGTAGTGATGACCTGCCCATCTCTCCCAAAGACTACCTTGTACGGGGAATACCCAGTGGACGAGTGTTGGCGATTATTGTGGGTGAAGGCTGCTAAGGGCAGCCATTCACTCCAATCGTCCTGTCTATCGTTGACAAACATCTTGAGGTATTTTTCGATTTCCTGGTTTACCCTTTCCGTTTGCCCGTCCGTCTGTGGGTGGTATGCGGTGGAGGGATTTCCCTCAACGTGAATGAGGGTATAGAACTCCTTCATGAATTTAGAGACGAAGACAGAACCGCGATCCGAGATGACCTTTTCGGGCATTACTCCGTAGGGCACGTAGACATAGTCCCTTAGGATTTTGGCGAATCCAAGGGAGGTGAGCTCTTCAGTGCAAGCGATGGGGATGATAGTTTTAGAAAAGCGATCGACGACAACTAGGATGGAATCGTAGCCCTTTGAACTCGGTAGCTTGGTGATCATGTCTACCGAAATGTGGGTCCAAGGGCGAACCGGAACCTCATTTGGATGAAGAGGTGCTTTCTTGGGGCGACGGTCTGCCTTAGTACGTTGACAGATGTCGCACCCCTTTACGTATGCTTCGACGTCCCTACGCATTCGTGGCCACCAATAGTCGCAAAGTACCAATTCCTTGGTCTTTTCGATCCCTGGATGTCCTGCGGTAATGTGGTCGTGCTTGAGGGCTATGATCTGTCCTCGTAGGTCGCGGTCGACCGGTATGTAGATGCGCCCGTCATACCATAAGAGGTCCTGTTCACGGGACACCCCCTTCTCATGATTGAGGGAGTCCGAAATTCCCCTGTCCCAACGGCGGGGATCATGAGTGGCGATCTTAATCCTTTCGTGCAGCTCTTCAGTAGTCGGCATGATCAGAGCCCTGAAGTGCTCTGCCTTGAGGACTGTTATGTCCTTGTTGTCCTCCTTTCCCTGATCGTGGTCCGCCCTTCTCGACAGAAGATCTGCCTTGCGATTTTGTGCCCCGGGTTTGTGGTGCAGGGTAAACTGGTACTCTGCCAGCTCAGTTACCCACCGTGCTTGTCGTCGGTTGAGCTTCTGAGGCTTGCGGAAGTACTGGAGGTTGGAGTGGTCCGTCCAAATCTCAAAGTTCTCCCTCGCTCCCATTAGGTACTGACGCCATTCCTCGAGGGCGATCATAATGGCTAGGAGTTCTTTGTCGTAGATTTCATAGTTCCGTTCCGTCACCGATAAGGCTTTGGAAAGGAAAGCTACTGGTCTCCACTTCTCGTCTTGCCATTGGGAGAGTACCGCCCCTATCGCTCCTTCACTGGAGTCCGCTTCCACCCTGAACCGTCCTTGATCGAGCGGGATGGCGAGTACCACATCCTCCCGGAATAATTCTTTGAGCCTTTCGAACGCCTCTTCTTGGGCCTTCCCCCATTTCCATTCTTGTTTGCCAGTGAGGGACGTAAGTGGCTTGACGTGCTTGCTGTAATCGCGAATAAATCGTCGATAGAAGTTGCAAAACCCGAGGAAAGACTGAAGTTCCTGCTTCCGGCGGGGAACAGGCCATTCCAGTAACCCAGCAATTTTTACTGGATCCATGCGAATCTTTCCCTCGCTGATGATAACTCCCAAATACTCGGTCTCCTCCACTTCGAATTCGCACTTCTCCGCCTTGAGGAATAACTTGTTTTCCCGAAGAATTTGTAGCACTTTGCGTACGATACGTCGGTGCTCTGCCTTGGTTTTGGAGGCGATAAGGATGTCGTCCAGGTAAACGGACACTTCTCCGGCCGCGATGAGGTCCTTGAAGATATTGTTCATCATCCATTGGAACGTGGCGGGAGAGTTGGTAAGTCCGAAGAACATAACCAAGGGCTCGTACAGCCCACGGTTGGTTCGGAAAGCGGCCTTCCACTCGTCCCCTTGTTTAATCCTCACGTTGTTGTATCCCCAGCGTACATCCAACTTGGTGAAATACTTGGCCTTCTTCAGCCGGTCCATCAGTTCCCCAATAAGCGGTAATGGATATCGGTTCTTGATCGTCATTTCGTTCAGTTTCCGGTAATCCTGAACTGGGCGTAGCTTGCCATCTTTCTTCTTGACAAAGAAAAAGGGGGAAGCCATAGGGGATTTGGAAGGCTGAATCCGACCGGTAGACAGGTTCTCGTCTAGGAACTTGTCTAGCTCCTCTTGTTCGGCGTGATTAAGAGGGTACACCTTGCAGTCCAGGTTGGCGTTAGCATTGGGGGTCAACTCGATGGCGTGATCCCAGGGTTTACGAGGGGGCAACTCGTCAAAATTCTCTTTGTCGAAAATATCCTTGAATTCCCGATACTCCTCAGGTACTATTTCCTCGAAGGACTTGGTAGTCTTTTTGGCGTTTGCTTGGGCCGCCAACTCGTTAGCCCTGGTTCCCATGGCTCGTACATGGAAGGCTTCCTCGAAGTCTATTACTAGGATGGTGTCTCCCTCCTCGTATTCATCCCATCGTGCCGAGGGATCGGTGTCGGGGAGCGAGAATGGGATCTTTCTGCAGGTGCATCGGGCTAGGGTCACCGCTCCGGTGTCCCAATCAATGAGCGGATTATGACGTTGCAACCAGTCATGCCCTAGGAACAAGGGAGTAGAGCCTAGATCGACTACCGCTAGTTCGATTCGCTCCACGTGATCCCCTATTCGTAGCCGTACCTCGGCGTACTCGGTAATATCTCCGCCTTTGTTGCGGGTGCCGTCGGCATTGTAAACCGGAACGGGTCGGGCCGCCTTTTTGAGATTAAGGCTGTGCTCGTGGGCCCAGGCCCGATCTATGGAGCTGCCCGTGGCCCCGCTGTCTACTAGGGCGGATATGGCATGGATCTCCCGAGTATCGAGCGTTTCCAACTGCACTTTTATTGAAACGTTCCGTCCTTTTCTCCCCCGTATGTACATTGGTGGTTTCTGTAGATCCTCCATCCACCGCCACCGCTCCCTAGCCTGTTCGGCCGTCTCCGTCTGCTCCTCTAGTTGATGGCATAACTGGTCGGTCACCTCTTCACGGCGTCGAGGGTGTACCCACCCATTGAGGACGGCGCGAGTCGCCGCGTCCCCTCGGGCGATCCGTAGGGCTCGGTGGGTCCACAGGATCCCATGGGGTTCGTAGTACATCGCCGCGAACACCTTCTTGTCGTTAGCGTTCGGGGTGAGAGACATGGCGGGGGACGTCGACCTTTTAGGGGTCACGACCGGTATGTCGGATCGTAGATGGGCTTCTTCGTCTTCTACTTCTTCCAACCGAACCATTGGGTTCTTCCCTCGAAGTGGCATTTGGTCACCTGGACGAGAAAGGTCCAGAGGCGGCACTTGGGCGCCTTTGGAAGTCGAGGTGGTGGAGGAGGGCTCGCTGCCCTGTGTTCGACCCTGGCCACGGGCGCTTGTGCTCGGCGTTGTAACCTCCACAGTCGATCCAGTGCTTACGCTCTCCTTGGACCCGGCGGTACTTCGGGTAACCCTTCGTGAACGCACACATGTTGGCTCGGACGGGGGGTCTACACCGTTTGCCGCAGC